ATACAGTGTGCTACGAGGGAAATTTTCCCTGGACAGCAGTGCTATGGCCTACTCTTATATCGAATTCCAACTGCCAAGGGATCTTTTACGTGCACGCTGATGTGTGTCAGACCTCGGTTTTACGTCCCATCCGAATGACTATACATTGTCCCTTGCCAGACCCTCGGTCCTCCACCAATGACAAGGAGGAACCATGCCGGAAAATCCTGATGAACTCCCTCAGTCAACACCGGGATCGAACACGGGACATCCAGGTTAGTGAGCCAACATCTTACTCACTTAGCCACCGTGGCTCCTATATTTATGTCAGGAGATTTTCTGTGTTACATTTGTTTTTGTTATGATGATCTCCGTACTTAGAATAAAACGCTTCAAGGCGACTTGTCAATATAACCACTTGCACCTGTATCGACTTATACTAATACCATGCACGATAAACAATCACAACAATTCACATTTAAAAACCTTTAACTTTAAATTTAAACATATGTTATGTAAGAGCTAAACCTGCCTATTACAGGTCTTTATTTAGGCTTTAAATGTTATATAAACTGTTAGACATTTATTAACATGACAAGCCCATAATCAACTCACTAGTGCATATAATTAATGAGATTTATTTCCAATAAAAGTATGGCAATTTTGGTATATATGGAAAGTAAAAGTAAAGATATCCAATCTTACTAGAAAAATACTGGATTCCCCGAAAAACACTCATGGAGCGTATACAGGACAAAAATGTAAGGGTAACCCGACGAATTAGGATTCGATATTTGTAATAAATAGTAAGCGATTAAAGACATCGTCTTGTGTATGCAATGAATCCTCCTCTGACTTCCAAGAGAGGTAGGTCACGTGACGTAAAAATGACCGGGTTTGATTGAATTTTTATAGCAGGGCATTCCTTCGCAATTACAATGTTTGAGAAGGATTTGAAGCAAAATTATGACAAATTAATTAGTTTGAATATGTTTTTAGTCCATTTATACCATTAAATCACCCAGTTTGTACGCGGGAATGTATCTTTAAATGGAGATTTAAAAATTTAATGATAAAATTAATAAACGAGACTTAAGTCTCCCGAACAGGAGGTCATAAATAGCTAGAATGTCAATGTCCTCCCTTTCCCTCTCCTCTCTCCCCCCCACCCTCTCTCAAAAAAATAGTACAAAGTGTATATTATTGCAAATTATAAAAATGAAGCTTTGATTTATGTTAACAAAACTAAAATGTGATATATTATTGCAAATTGTAAAAATGAAGCTTTGATTTATGTTAACAAAACTAAAATGTGATATATTATTGCAAATTGTAAAAATGAAGCTTTGATTTATGTTAACAAAACTAAAATGTGATAAACAAGTTTTATTTATGTTCTACATGTAGTTTAATGGTGCAGTATTGAGTGTCAGACCAACGAGCATCGGGCCATCAATTCACTGTAACACGGGTATCATATAAACTTGTTTTACATGTAATATCAAAACTTTGTTTAAAAATTCGTAAAAATCATTTAAAGCGAGAATTTCATATTTTCAAAGAAAGTCAAAACATAATTATTTCTATGTCTTTTGCTCAATAGGTTGTCAACTCACTATTATACGATCATAGGTATCATTCTCACACTTAAAAATCATTCACCCCGGAAATGATAACACAATTACCTCCCTTGTTTTTTTATTCCCCCAATGAAATAGCTATCTTTATTTGCCAATTTCTCAACTGGCAATAGTTAATTATAGGATTAATAGGATTATTCTTTAACAAGGTAGGACTTTATAGATATCATCTATTTTAAGGCTTTATTTAATACATTTTAAAAATATAACTTAAAAATATGAAATAATCGCTTTAAAATCAGTCAGCTTTAAATTGGACACAAGTACAAATTAGATGATTTTGAGTGATTTTAAATGATATTTACGAATTTTTTGAAAAAAGATTTGATATTAAACGAATATGAAAGAAATTAGTGCTAGATACACAAGATTAAATGATTCCCGGGTTACAGTGCAACATGTTTCCATTAAATTCTGACCACAAATTTATCTCCTACTGACAGGGGTTGTTGGGTGGCCGATTGGTTAGCACGCACGCGCTGTATCATACGGTCTGTCATTGAGTCAACTAGCGGGGTTGCGATTCCCCGGTTGTACGTGACAAGGAGTAGGGTCGCCTGTCCAACCTCATGGGTTTTCTCCGGGTCCTCCGGTTTCCTCTCACTGCTAAAGACCCCTACGCGCAAGCGAATTATTGAAATAAAAATGAACCCTGTGTTAGTCCCGAAATGACCTAGTTTATGTTGAGTGGACATTAAACCCTCTCTCTCTCTCTCTCTCTCTCTCTCTCTCTCTGACATTATCAAAAACATGGATTAAAATACTACAATGTTAAAAGCATTGATTATTATTAGACTAGGGCCGGTCAGAGTCAGACTACTTTAACAGGTTGATATTATTAGATGATGAGAATAATTACTTGTATCTATATATATCTTGTCTAGACTGTCAACCCTACTCAAATTATTAACACTCTATTCTTGACAGACAGATAGATGAGATATTCATTATATTATAACAAAGGTTCAAATCTTTTCTCTTTAGGGGGGTTGGATGGCCAAATGGTTAGCATGTGTGTACTGTAAATGTCTGTCAATGTCATTGAGTCAATTGGCGTGGTTTCGAATCACCGGTTGTACGTGAGTAGGAGTAGGGTCGCCTGTCCAACCTCGTGGGTTTTCTCCATGTCCTCCGGTTTCCTCCCACTGCTAAAGACCCCTACTCGCAAGCTAATTATTGAAATAAAATTGAATCATATGTTAGTCCTGAAATGACCTGGTTTGTGTTGAGTGGACCTTAAACTCTCTCTCTCTCTCTCTCTCTCTCTCTCTCTCTCATTTATATCAAGGTTTTGTATAGGTACATTATGTTATAAATGTACCATACAACAATAGAACGAATCAAAATTTGATTGCTTCATAGTAATGCTGTACCATTTATAGACCATTTATAGACGCTGGCTCGCAAGCTTGGGGGTCTCCGGTTCTCTCCAGGTGTTGGCCGAAAAAGTTCCTCAGGATTTTATGGCGTGGTTTCCCCTTGTCAGTGGTGCAGGACAGAGGGCCTGACAAGGACAGCTGTCTAGTCGTTCGGATGGGATAAAAAAAAACTAAGTAGGCTGTAGCGCCGCTGTTAGGCCAAAATTTCTCTCATAGCACAGTGCAAGGCATATGACTGTCTTCATTAGCCCAATAGCACATGACACAATTGTATGGAATTCAAGTTACTTAAAGGATTTATTTCAGCGACGTTTCGACGAGGGTTCTCCCGTCTTTATCAAGCAAAGAGAGAGAGAGAAATGAGGTTTAACGTCCACTCGACACAAACTAGGTCATTTCGGGACTAACATATTATGGTTTAATTTTATTTCAATAATTCGCTGAGCGTAGGGGTCTTTAGCAGTGGGAGGAAACCGGAGGACCCGGAGAAAACCCACAAGGTTGGACAGGCAACCCTACTCCTTGTCTTTAGTACAAATGAAGATATATATAGTTAATTCATTAGCCCAGTCGTTAGTTGGATTTTAGTCTTCCTTTTATTTCCATGTATAGACAAATTATAGGAAATGAAAATTATCGATGTCAATCTCGAAATAAAGATTGCCTCTTTGTTAGTGAAGTAAAAATGTAGTCAGACTGGGTTGATGAGGATATGACAAGGCTTGTCACTCATATTAATGGACAGGTCAATAAACTTTATTGATCTTACTACTAGGTTTCAAGATAAATACGGGTATTAAAAATTACTTGTATTGAGTTATAAGACATTCGCTTCACCAGAAGAACTCTCTTTCAAAGTGCTGTGAAAACGTGGACGTCATGGGTATAGGATACGTGTATGTACTAATGGCTTTTATTACATCTTGGAAAAGGAAATTAAATTAGGTTTAATTATGGGTTAATATCTTTAATTTTTGCTCCATCTGGACTAATGATAGGAGCAATTTATTAGTCCATATGGAAACATTAGGTCTACTTTTATTTCGATTAAAAATGCTGCCAAAGGTATTCACATTCATGACCAGGTTTTTAGAACCATTCTAATAACTAGACACACCTCCCTGAATCTATCTATTTGTTAAGGCCAGCTCAATTTTCGTCAAGGTCGCTGATATGTAAATAAGGTTAGGGCATGTGATTGTTGGCGAGATTGTAGGTTGGGGTTAGGATAATTATTAGGTCCAGGGTTAGGGTAAGGGTTGGGTTTAGGGGCTAACCCTGTTTACATTTTGTGACTTTTGACCAAACTTGGAGTTGGCCTTATCAAATAGATCTGAGATCAACTCATTACCTCCAGATTAGTAGAGAGAGAGAGAAATGGGGTTTAACGGCAACTCGACACAAATTAGGTCATTTCGGGACTAACATATGGTTTAATTTTATTTCAATAATTCGCTTGCGCGTAGGGGTCTTTAGCAGTGGGGAGAAACCGGAGGACCCGGAGAAAACCCACGCGGTTGGACAGGCGACCCTACTCCTTGCCACGTACAACCGGGGATTCGAAACCACACTCCAGATTAGTAAGCCAGCGCCATATTTGCCGGGCACCCATTTTGTGAAAAATCAGCTCTTCACACTATGAATAAGTGAGTAAGTGAGTAAGACGCTGGCTCACTAGCCTGGAGGTCGCGTGTTCGATCCCTGCATTGGCGGAGAAAGTTCATCAGGATTTTCCTTCGTGGTTTCCCCTTTTCAGTGGTGCAGGATGGAGGGCCTGACAAGAACAGCTGTCTAGTTGTTCGGAGGGGACGAAAAACTGAGCCGTGCACGTAAAAGATCCCTTGGCAGTTGGGATTTGATATAAGAGTAGGCCATAGTGCCGCTCCCCAGGCAAAATTTCTCTCATGGCACACTGTATGGCGTATGCCCGTCTTCATTAGCCCAGTCGGAGCAGAACAGTAGGACATTAAACTCCATTTCATTTCTAATATTATATTTTCAGATATTTGAATGGTGGTATTTTAAGAAGTATGGTACATCATTTATAGAGCAAGTTTCATTAAATCATATTTCTCCGTTACTATGTGGCAGTGACAATGCACCAGAAACCACAAACCCTACAAATACCACACAACAACAGACAATACCAGGTCAGTATTAATAGATTACACAATACAATACACCACAACCCTTACAAATACTACACAATAACAGGCTATACAAGGTCAGTTTTCATAGATTACACAATACACCACAGCCCTTACAAATACTACACAATACCAGGTCAGTATTCATAGATTTCACAATGCACCACAGCCCTTACAAATACTACACAATAACAGCCTATATCATGTCAGTATTCATAAATTTTACAATACACTATGATCCCTATAAATACTACACAATACCAGGTCAGTATTCATAGATTTCACAATACACCACAACCCTTAAAAATACTACACAATACCAGGTCAGTATTCATAGATTACACAATACACCACAATCCCTACAAATACCACACAACAGGCTATACTAGGTCAGTATTTCTAGATAACACAATACACCACAGTCTCTACAAATACCAGGCCAGTATTCATAAATTATACAATACATCACAGCCCTTACAAATACCACACAACAACAGACAATACCAAGTCAGAATTCATAGATTACAAGGTGGGGTGGTATATTGCAATAAATAATGAAATATTAATACCAGTATATTGAAAATTTCAAGCAAATTACTTTATTTTGTGTGATGTTATGAGTGTTTGACAGAATATAGCGTAGATTGTTTCAAGTCTTGATCATCTGTTTTATCGTTAAACTCTTAAATGGCTGCGATATCGCGGAGAGCTGATTATGAGCTTGTCATGTGAATAAATGTCAAAACAATGATTTATAAAATTTGAAGCCATTAAATGACCTGCAATAAGCAGAATTAGCTCTGACATAATGCATCTTTCATATACATTTACCATATTGGATGTGGTTCAGGATGGAGGGCCTGATAAGGACAGCTGTCTAGTCATTCAGATGGGACAAAAAAAAAACAGCATGCACGTTAAAGATCCCTTTGCAGTTGGAATTAGATATAAGAGTAGGCCATAGTGCCACTGCTCAAGTAAAATTTCCCTCATAGCACACTGCATGGCGTATGCCTGTCTTCATTAGCCCAGTCACAGTAGGACATTTCCATATTGGATGGTTATATCGGTTTATATATTAAATGTTTCTATATTTCATCTTGTAGACTGTAAGTTATGGCGGAACCCACTGAATTTATTTCGAGGTTCAGAATATCAGAGATTTCAGTGGGCAACTAATAAAGAACCTCTAACATATTATGATATGAATTTATCAGCTCAGGATCATCAGACGTTCTTTACCTGTGAAGCAGATGCAGGGAAAGCTGAATATGAGAGTAAGTTATTTCACTACAATATGTGACCCGTGATAACAAAATGATTCGGAAGTCACACGTCATTGTTTACAATATTTGAACAATAATTTCAAAATATGCGAAAAATATATGATAAAATTAGTGTGCTTTATTTGTCTAATCTAAACTTTTACTTTTCATGCTATATTTTTGTTCACATCATAAAAGATTTCCAAGTCATTTTGCTATCATGCTCCACTTATGTAGTTTCATTTTGTATATCGAATTTTAACCTAATTGAGTCATTATAATTTATGGTAGAGTGGTTTCCCCTAATTATCAACCAGCAAAGTGTATTGATTATACAATTTACTTAGTTTTTAGGATAGGACAAAAAACTGAGGTCCTGTGTACATATTGACCTTTACGTAAAAGAATCGTGGCAGTTGAAATTTGATATAAGAGTAGGCCATAGTGCTGCTGTACGAGCAAAATTCACTCATAGCACGCTGTATGGCATATACCCGTCTTCAGTAGCCCAGTCGGTGCAGAACAATAAGATGTTGATAAAACCCATTTCAATTCATATGTGTTGATTTTACGAATGCTATCTAGATCTATATCTATGATATCGCAACTGTAGAGCAGACATTAAAATAACTGGACATGATTTGCAGTTTGCGGAAAATATTGAATTTCTCACAACTTAATCCACACTAATATGTACTCAGACTGATTCATTGATATTTAAATTCACAAAACAAAATCAAAATATTAATGGTAGATAAAATACCAGCTTGGTTGGAATCAATCAGATCAAAGAATTTGAACCATCCGCCGCTACGACTACTGTGCTCGATAACGACAAGATAATTGCCTCATAATTTTTATACGCCCACATTGAAATGTGGTTATATATTGTCGTCTCCGCCTGTCGGTCCGGCGTCCACAAGCTAAAGTTAACATCTGATTGATTTTAAATTTATGCACAGTTTTTAAGATCATGAGATGAAGAAGTCTATTGATTTTTAGCAATTTCCGGTAATTACTGCCAGAGTTATGGCCCTTGATCACTTTGAAAAATCTTGTGGACGCTCTAGAGTCTAGAGTTAATATCCGATTAACTTTAAATTTATACACAGTGTTTAAGGTCATGAGACGAAGACGCCTATTGATTTTCAACGATATCCGATAATTACTGCCAGAGTTATGGCCCTTGATCATTTTGAAATATCTTGTGGACGGTCTAGAGGCTAAAGTTAATATCCGATTGACTTCAGATTTATACACAGTGTTTAAGGTAGTGATCACTTTGAAAAATCTTGTGGATGCTCTAGAGACCAAAGTTATCATCCGATTGACTTTAAATTGATAAACAGAGATTAGGGTCTTGATACGAACAAGTATATTGATTTTCAATGAATTTTGATAACTTGAACAGCTAAATTCATGGTGTTAAATGTTTCGTATACTAAACGTTAGCATGGGGCAGAACTAAAAGCCAAACAAATATTCTAATGATTTTCTTAATGAGTTGTTACTCTTAATCAGATTTTAGTGTATTATAAATGTTTCATTACTGACAATAGAAAAAACATGTTGACTGCTCGGACGACTTAGCTGCTGTGGGAGTATGTTTTGTTGCCTGGCAGCCTGTCTTTGTATAAGCTTCAAAATGTCGTCCAAATAATTAAGTAGCTGTTTTTCCATAAGTGTGTGTGTTACAGTTTGTTGACAAGACAATGATTGTTAAACATTACTTCTATTAAACTCAGTAATTGTATTCCATCAAGTTTTTTATATTTTTTTAATGTAACCAATTACAAAAATGGCACTTAAACGATTAATTGTATCTTTTCCCTAAAGACTATCATGTTCTGAATTGGCAATTATAAAAGTTGTCGGTTTAATAATTTTTATGTTTCCATGGAAACAAATTGGTTTACAAATAATATTCCAGAGGAAATCTCAGTAACTGTTTAGAAACTTTGTTCATGCATCAAGCTATTGTGTATAATACACATAGATATGATTTTTGCTAATTAGAAAATTCGTAAGTGAATGATTTTTTGTTTCCATAGAAACAAATATGACTCAGTTTTTGGTAGAAAGTTAATATTAAGGAACAGTTCAAGAGACAACACATCAAACTTCAACAGTAGTTGTGAAAATTCTCATTTGAATAATTTTCTGTTTCCGAACTGGGCTAATGAAGAGGGGGCATATGCCATACAGTGTGCTATGACGGAAATTTTTCCCGGACAGCGGCGATACGGCCTACTCTTATATCGAATTCCATCTGTTATGTGTACATGGGACCTCGGTTTATCATCCCATCCGAACGACTAGACAGCTGTCTTTGTCAGGCCATCACTGACAAGGGGAAACCACGCCGGAAAATCTGGATGAACTATCTCGGTCCCATGTAGGGCCTACACATTGGTGTGCACATACACATTGGTGTGCACATAAAAGATCCCTTGACAGTTGGAATTCGTTATAAGAGTAGGCCATAGTGCCGCTGTCCGGGCAAAATTTCCCTCATAGTACACTGTATGGCGTATGCCCGTCTTCATTAGCCCAGTTCAGAGCAGAACAGTAGGACGTTAAACCCCATTTCATTTATCTTGTGTTTATATTTGTAGTTATGCAGATGGCGTGGAGAGAGCGGAATCCTCAAGCTAGAATAAAAGCAGCACATGAAGCATTAGAAAAAAATCCTGAGTAAGCAAATTAATGTTTAATGTGACCTTGTGACCTGGTTGTTAAGACTATTTCTAAAGACAGCTTAATGTCAAAATAACTTTTCCAATCACTAATTGCTGTATCATTCTCTTTAAAATGCAGATGTGACGTCATCCCTTGATGTTGATATTCGATTATTCTATCATATTATATTGTGATTTAGTAGTTTAAAGATGGGTTCCCGCGTACAAACTGGGTGATTTAATGGTGTATATGGACTAAAAACATATTCAAACTAATTAATTTGTCATAACTTTGCTTTAAATCCTTCTCAAACATTGTAATTGCGAAGGAATGTGCTGCTATAAAAATTTGATCAAACCAGGTCATGTTTACGTCACTTTGACTTACCTCTCTTGGAAGTCAGAGGAGAATTCATTGCATACATAAGACGATGTTGTCTTTAATCGCTTACTATTTATTACAAATATCGAATCCTAATTAAATTCTTGGATTATCCACTGCCCACGTCTTTTTCCATGATTTTTTATCTCAGAATGTGTTGTGTGTCTAACTCTTCATAAAGTTTATCAACTTGTACATCAAGCACTCAATGTTCGCATGTAACCTTTGACATCACGCGTGTATTTCTAATCATCGGGCTGTCGATTAGAGGAACCCTTACATTTTTGTCCTGTATGCGCTCCATGAGTGTTTTTCGGGGAATCCAGTATTTTCCTAGTAAGATTGGATATCTTTACTTTCCATATATACCAAAATTACCATACTTTTATTGGCAATAACCACCCGATAAATACTTTTCTGGGAACCCATCTTTAAGAGTTCTAAATGAGACATTGTATAATATTTTGCATAATAAATATATTTGGCCTCATGTAGCATCAACATGTCTCCTTCACAACCATTAAACCACACACGTGTTTGCACTCACAAAATGCAGGTTAAACTCATATCAGGGGAGGTAATGCCTGTATTAAATTAAAGGGAGATCAATCCTGAAGAAATACACTTGACTCCATATATAAGACCCAGCTCACCAATTATTCCTACGCCGTCACCCACGAAACAAGGGCCAAAGTTATTTTTAAATCCCTCTCTCCCTCCCCCCCCCCCCCATTTGCATAGCAATCTTTGTTGACGTTTAGGTGTAGAATCGAAGAAAAGGGTTTTCTTCCAGGTTTTGGTGAATATTTATGATTTTGAGACAGAAGAATATGAGGGTTAAGAGGTTGGTTAGGTTGAAATGTAGGGTGGAAAATTGCATATTTGCTAATCTCTACTTCAGTTTATGTATCTCAAATTTTCCATGATAAACCTCATACGTGCTTTTGAGCAAGAGATTGCCATATATTGCTCCATCTGTTTTAGAAAGCATTCTACCCAACGAAAATTTGGGAAAAAGTTAGAGCCGATCTAAGAGATGAGTATTAACATTAAAATCAATGGAGAAATTATTGGTGATCTGTGGCCATATCATTTTACTCTTCATAATTTATTTATTTCTAGATGTGTACCAGCTTTGATATTATTAGCAGAAGAAGAAACAACTACTATATTAGATGTGAGTTATTTCCCTTTATATTCTTTGGATTGAGTTTTGAAGCTCATTTTCGACACTGTCTGCAACTACTGCTCCCTAGAGCTAGTATACGATATTTAAATAGTTAACAGCTTTCACAGGACTCATGCAATTATGGGAGCTAGTGGGAGCAGTAGTTATTGACAGTCTAATGGTTAATTTCTATAGATTTTAGACTGTTTGTTCATATTCCATTTAGCAGAACAGTAGGACGTTAAACCCCATTTCATTTCATTTAAGGTTCTTCAAATGCGTAAGTGAATAATGCTTTGGCTCGCTAACCTGGAGTTTCTGGGTTGGATCCCAGCGTTGGCCAAGAAAGTTCTACAAGAGTTTATGGCGTATTTTGCCCTTGTCAGTGATGCAGGACAGAGGGCAATGCAAAGCGTCTAGTTGTTGACATTCACATAAAGAACGCTTGACAGCTGGAATTTGAAATAACTCACTGATCAACAGCCCGAATGGAGCAGAATAATAGCATGTTTAACCCCATTTCATTTCAAATATGTAACCCTAACTGAACGACATATAATCAAAAGACATTTGCATAACTTTGATAACATTTTATGTATTTTAGAGTGAGAAATTTTTAAAACAAGCATATAAAATAGTTGAAGGAAATTATAAGAAAACTGTACCTAGTCAACATATGACACCACAACAAGAATCTGTACACAGTAAGTACTACTCTCACCTTTTCTTTCTCTGTCTTTATTATCCTGGTGGTCGGTTGGATGGCCGAATGGTTAGCACGTGTGTGCTGTATCATAAGGTCGGTCATTGAGTCAACTGGCGTGGTTTTGATTCCCCGGTTGTACGTGAGTAGGAGTAGGGTCGCCTGTCCAACCTCGTGGGTTTTCTCCATGTCCTCCGGTTTCCTCCAACTGCTAAAGACCCCTACTCGCAAGCGAATTATTGAAATAAAATTGAACAATGTGTTAGTCCCGAAATGTCAAGTGGACTTTAAACCCCATTTCTCTCTCTTTTACCAACATCAATTCTGGTGCTGCCTGAGATTTTCAAGTCTTCTGGTTTCCTCTGGTCAGCCTGGCACGGAACAACATCTAGTCATTCGGATGGGACGAAAAAACCAAGGTCCTGTGTATACATGTACCATATGTAGCAGGCAAAAGCTTCCCTGGCAGTTAGAAATTCAATTTTCTCTAATAGCATGCAGTATGGTTTCCTCTGGTCAGTGATGCATGACCAACAGCCTGGCAAGGAACAGTGTAGTCATTCAGATGGGATGAAAAAAACAAAGTCCTGTGTATGCATGTACCATATGTAGCATTCAAAAGATTCCCTGACCGTTAGAAATTGAAATTTCCCTAATAGCATACAGAATGACCTATATACCCATCTTTAATAGCCCAGTTGGTTAAAAAGAAAAAAAAAAGTAAAATACTAAACCACATTTCATAAATTTCATTAGTTGTATATATTTAATTGTCTATATATTTTACAGGAAGAGATAATAATTTAGTTGTATATATAAAAAGAAGATTAGCAATGTGTGCTAGAAAACTTGGCAAAATAAAAGAAACTATTAAAATGATGAAAGATGTACGTTTTGACTGAAATCTCATTAATTTATGTTCTGTTATGAATTAATTTTAATAAGATATAGGAGAATTTGTTCACTATTGTTCACTATGGTCAGCAGCTTCCTGTGGCCATTTTTCTCATAGATCATTCTTATAATAATTTTTCCAACATGGTTTCCCCTTGTCATTGGTGCAGGGCAGAGGGCCTGACAAGGACAGCTAGCTAGTCGTTTGGATGGGACAGAAAAATCGAAGTCCCGTGTATATATTGGCGTGCACATAAAAGATCCCTTGGCAGTTGGAACTCTATATATGTATGGTGTATGCCTGTCTTCGTTAGCCCAATCGGAGTAGAACAGTAGGACATTAAACCCCATTTCATTTCTTATAATAAATACATAATGACAATTCGTTATTGGTCAATATGGTTGCTATTCTCAGAAAGTTTCTGTGGCGTAATGACCCACATAATGAAAAGGTTATGATCAAATTTGTATTCCTGCAAAAGTAACCAATGAAAGGAACCACAATCTTTATTATGACAGACCTCTCATTATACTTTTTAAACAAAATTTTATTTAGGATATCTGAATGGGGTTGGTTCAAACTGGAAGAGCATTTTTAAGAGCGCAATTTAGGGTTAGGGTTAGGGTTGCAAATTGAGCAATCTGATTAAAATACAGATCTATATTCTTTCGATGGCCCACACTACCACTCGGCAAATCTCGACAGATTCCGTTACCCTACATCTAATCTCGGCTGTATGACAGTAAGTGATATGTACCTACGCCCATACATTTGCGATGCGGCTGCCGGTTTACTTTAAACAGGAAAACGTGTCACTTTTATAAAAAAAGTCCCAAATTGCATCTTTTGTAGAGTGTATATACCTAAATGAGCAGAGATATTGTCTCAAGGCTGCTGGTTTGATAAAATTCCCTGGTAATTCCCCAAACCCAATGCCAAACGTGACGTTTGTTGATATAATACACTCTCCACAGAAATCTCCATGGGGGCAGCCATTTTTCATTCGGACCCTTTAAAATAGTTCAAATATGGCGGAAATGGTCATACAGCCGAGATTAGATGCATAGAATCTGTCGAGATTTGCCGAATGCCACACTACAAGACCCTATGATGTCTGACATTTGATTAACCAATCAGCATTGATGTTTCTAGTGGATTACCCATGTTCCGTGCACCTCTTGCCAAAAGCTCGCCGTAACAGACCGTTTCATTGACTCATCCCTCACATCATCCAGAACACGTTAATGATAACAACTCTAATAGATCCTAGTGTAGTAAAGACAAGTAAATCGAAATTTTGAACTATAAAAAAAAAAGGTGGGTTGGATGGCTGAATGGTTAGCGTGCGCGCGCTGTATCATAAAGTCTGTCATTGTATCGACTGGCGTGGTTTCGAATCCCCGGTTGTACGTGACAAGGAATAGGGTCGCCTGTCCAACCTCGTGGGTTTTCTCCGGGTCCTCCGGTTTCCTCCCACTGCTAAAGACACCTACGCGCAAGCGAATTATTGAAATAAAAAAATTTTTTTTTAAAATTATATGTTAGTCCCAAAATGACCTAGTTTGTGTCGAGTGGACGTTAAACCCCATTTCTCTCTCTCTCTCTATAAAAAAAAAAAAAAATAGGATCTGTGTTTTAATTAGATTGCAAATTGAGGAGAGCTTTTCAGTTCACCTGTCGCATACAGAAAAACTATGATTGATTTTTTGTGTTAATATTAGTAAATGTTTATGATTAATTGTAAATATTTTTCAGTTATTAAAAGAATTTCCTATGATGAATTTTAATATCCATGAAAATTTAATAGAATGTTTATTAGAAGCCCAATTATACTCAGAAGTACAAACATTATTAGCTAAATATGATGGTGAGTATGTTTATATTTAAGATGTCGATTATACTCTCAATTTATGTAATTGATGAATTTTAGGGGGGGGGGGGAAATTTGCACGCTCGCGCTGTATCATAAGGCCTGTCATTGAGTCCACTGGCATGGTTTCGAATCCCTGATTGTTCTTGACAAGGAGTAGGGTCGCCTGTCCAACCTCGTGGGTTTTCTCCGGATCCTCCGGTTTCCCCCCACTGCTAAAGACCCCTATGTGAAAGCGAATTGTTGAAATAAAATTAAAACCATATGTTAGTCCCGAAATGACCTAGTTTGTGTCGAGTGGACGTTAAACCCCATCTCTCTTTCTCTCTCTGTTGAATTTTAGTCCCTGTTTCTTATCAATCTGTTAGATCTATTTCACATGGCCATCTGCAGATTTACCCAAAGTCACGAGGTGTAAACAGGGTTATAGCATGTGATTGTAACCAAGGATTATGGGTTAGAGTTAGGGCTAGACCTTGGGTTAGGGTTAGCGCTAGCCCTGTTTACGTCTTGTGACCTATGATGAAATCTGCAGGTGTGCATATGAAATAGTCTAACTGTTTGTCTCTTCCCAAGTTTCACATGAATCTTTTAGCCCTTCCCATCAAATTACCAAACTGATCAGCAGTAAATATTCGCTTATCGCTAATATCACTGATAGCTCACAATATTAACTTTTTTTCTTCTGCAAATTAAGTTCAAGAAGAATTTTTTGAATTGTTAGAAAAATAAATAAAGGTGTTTGAAGTAGATCTGGATAAAAAATATTTCCTAATTAGTGCAAATGGGTATATAAAATAGTAGGCCCAGAACGCACATGTTATTGACGCCATATGTGACTCGCACATAGAACTCGACTGGGCATGCTGTGAAATTACTAGATGACAATTCAAATTGTTGAGGAAAACTGTGATTTCAAGAAGAATCAATGTGACCTTGTTTTGGGGTCTTAAGACCCACGGTTTTAACCAAAACAAGTTTCTCATTTCCACAAATAATAATTACCATTACACTTATCATATATAGGGCTATATATAATAATAATTACCATTACACATATCATATATAGGATTATATATAATAATAATTACCATTACACATATCATATATAGGATTATATATAATAATAATTACCATTACACTTATCATATATAGGATTATATATAATGATAATTACCATTACACATATCATATATAGGATTATATATAATAATAATTACCATTACACATATCATATATCAGATTATTTGAAAAATATTACCACCAATGGATTGGAATATTTTATTTATAAGATTTTATTACCTGTAGTTTTGATATTATTTCAGATATAAGTTCTGATTGTGTATTTTTGATATTATTTCAGATATAAGTTTACCAAAATCTGCTACTATATGTTATACAGCAGCGTTATTAAAAGCCAGAGCTGTGGCTGATAAGTATGTATAATCAAATCAATATTTATATCGAGAACACCTGATACCCATATGGGGTTTAACGTCTTATTTCTACGTGACAGGGAGTAGGGTCCCCTGTCCAACCTCGTGGGTTTTCTCCGGGTCCTCCGGTTTCCTCCCACTGCTAAAAACCCCTATGCGCAAGCGAATTATTGAAATAAAAAAAATAAACCGTATGTTAGTCCCAAAATGACCTAGTTTGTATCGAGTGGACGTTAAACCCCATTTCTCTCTCTCTTTAACGTCTTATTTGCCTGCATCAACTGGGCTAATGAAGACAGGCATACGTTGTGTAGTGTGCTATGAGGGGAATTTTACACCCTACTTTTAAACAAAATACAACTGCTATATGGATTCTTTTATGTGTGCTCTGACAAAGGGAAACCGTGCTTGAAAATGCTGACATATTATTGGCCAGCGCCCTACTCAGTTAGAAATTTAGTTGACTAGACACTGTTCCTTGTCAGGCCTTCGGTTGTAGGGTCGCCTGTCCAACCTCGTGGGTTTTCTCCGGGTCCTCCCCACTGCTAAAGACCCCTACGCGCAAGCGAATTATTGAAATAAAAATTAAACCATATGTTAGTCCCGAAATGACCTAGTTTGTGTCGAGTGGACGTTAAACCCCATTTCTCTCTCTGGACCAGCGAAACCCTGGTGGAAAATCCTGAGAAACTCTTTAGGCAAATACAGAGAACTCTTGATTAATGAGCCAGCACTTAAGGCACTGAGCCATTTAGTTGTGAACTTCAAAGGCAACAACTTTTGTTGTATTTTAGCATTAAGACAAGTCAATTTTTTGGGTTTCTCAAATCATTTTGAGGATATTTTTATGAATACATAATATATCAAATTATATTTTGACTTCAGATTTTCTCCTGATATAGCCAGTAAAAGAGGTTTAAGTACGGCTGAGATGACTGCTGTAGAAGCTATACATAGAGCTGTAGAATTTAATCCACATGTACCAAAGGTACGTAAACAACAGAGTCGGGTCTGAAGATAATTTGAAACAGGCCCATCAATTTGATTCATAGCAAATAGAGATGGTGTCTGTCTTGTTACATAGATCTATATAATTTTCTTTTCATAAATACTGAAGGGAATGAATCATTTTTGGATTGATATTCATTTTAAAAATTCAACTTTCAGAATATTGTACTTTGCAAGGCATTTTATAGCACTAAAATCATGCATGGAGTCTTTAATTCAAAGTTAATTAATCAATTTCGGTACTAGCATTATTAAGTTGAGTAAAAAAATTTACATTTTTTGAAAAATGCAAATGCAACAGGGTTAATAATGCTTGATTTCATTACAGTATAATAATATTGAATTTATTTCATATATTTCAGTACTTATTAGAAATGAAGAGTCTTATATTACCGCCAGAACATGTATTAAAACGAGGCGACAGTGAGGCCCTGGCATATGCATTTTTTCATATTAATCATTGGAAGCGAGTGGAGGGTGCACTCAACTTATTACACTGTACATGGGAAGGAAGTAAGTTTGGTTTATCTTTAAATACAGACGTGAAGTCCAGGGGTGGGAACCTTGTGGGTTTTCTCCAGGTCCTCCGGTTTCCTCCTACTGCTAAAGCCCCCTACGCACAAGCGAATTATTGAAATAAAATTAAACCATATGTTAGTCCCGAAATGACATAGTTTGTGTCGAGTGGACGTTAAACCCCATTTCTCCCGTGACTCAGACTGGAGTCCAAATTAAGTCGCATCAAGGACTCAGACTCAGCGGTCGTGACGACTCGCGAATTGAAAAAGCTCAGAAATCGAGTTGCGCTGAGGAGGCATAACTCTAACTTGCCTTATTTGCCATGAACTGGCGATGCAAATGGGACTCAGGCTTTGTGAAGACTTGGGACCCGACGCGACTCATGGTCTTGGGACTATTCTCAGACTCATAGTCTTGGGACCCGACTCGACTCATGGTCTTGGGACTCAACTCAGACTCATGGTCTTGGAACTCAACTCAGACTCATGGTCTTGGAACTCAACTCAGACTCATGGTCTTGGGACTCAACTCAGACTCATGGTCTTGGGACTCAACTCGGTGAAGTCATCCTTGTCAGTGATGCAGAATGGAGGGCCTGACAAGGACAGCTGTCTAGTCCTTCGGATGAGATGAATAACCGAGGTCCCGTGTATACATTGGAATGCACGTAAAAGATCACTTGGCAGTTGGAAATCGATATATGAGCAGGCGATAGTGCCGCTGCCCGGGCAAAATTTCCCTCATAGCACACTGTATGGCGTATGCCCGTCTTCATTAGCCCAGCATAGGAGCAGAACAGTAGGACGTTAAACCCCATTTCATTTCATTTCTCTGTAAGAATAAGTGTTTTTCTAAGTGCTATCATCAACTGTTATATATTTTAGCATTTAGAATGATTCCATACCCATTAGAGAAAGGTCATTTGTTTTATCCTTATCCAACGTGTACAGAAGCTACTGATAGAGAATTATTACCCAGTAAGTATTACATATACCATATACTTCCGCACAATTAATATTTAACTTTAAAGGAGCTCAATCTCTAATCTTTGGAACCTAGAAATTGACATAAATGGGCCGCAACACATATAATAATGCATGTTCCTGAAGCAACAATTGAAGATGATGATAATGTATTATGAATGTATATAAACTGATAGCCGAATGGTTATCGCGTGTGCGTTGAATCATAACATTTGTCATTTGAGTTAACTGGCGTGGTTTTGATTCCTTGGTTGTATGTCACAAGGAGTATGGTCGTCTGTTCAACCTCGTAGGTTTTCTCTGTGTCCTCAGGTTTACTCCCTCTGCTAAAGACCCCTACGTGCAAGCGAATTATTGAAATAGAATTGAACCATATGTTAGTCCCGAAATGACTTAGTTTGTGTCGAGTAGACGTTAAACCCCATTTCTCTCTCTCTCTCTCTCTCTCTCTCTCTCTCTCTTTCTCTCATGTATGGTTTGAAATTGTATATTTAATTATTATTTGGATAGGTTGTGTCTTGAATACCTTTGTTTAATCTATTCCAGCATTTCATGAAGTCTCTGTTTACCCAAAGAAAGAATTACCATTTTTCATCTTATTTACTGCTGGTCTGTGTTCATTTACTGCTCTCCTTGCGTTATTAACACATCAATATCCTGAACCAATGGGTGTTGTAGTCAGAACGGTAAGTTGTCATCAATGTTAGGGAGCCACGGTGGCCCGCTAGCATGGAGGTCGGGTGTTCGATCCCTGCATTGGCCGAGGGCTCTCCCCTCGAAAATTTTGAAAAAAGAACCCCAAATATGCGATTTGGTGGCATCTCTGAAAGTAACGAGTTAATAAAATAAATGTCAAGGAATGTTTAACACCAGCCTCAGGAAATAGTATCGCGCTCAAATTCAGCCAGCAGACCAGCTATCATCAAATCTTGCTGAGACCTTAAAATTGAATTTTTTGGGGAGTTACAAACCACCGGCAGACGTTTCTGGCGTATCCCCAAAAAGAGGGTGCAGGTGACTTAATAATTAGTAAATTTGCGAGCGACAGTGTCGGGTGAATCCGATGAAATTTTCGGATGAAATTCGGAATCCCCAGCACACCCAGCCCATAAAGTCTATTATACCAGCCCATTCCAGACTCCAGTGATGGCGTGGCGGCCTGTTAAAGCCACCGGCCACATACAACATGATCATTATCGCTTCATGTCCGGTCCATTACCCCCCCCCCCCCACCATAATGTTCAGCAGAAAATGTTTTTTTAGACAAAATTATTTTTTTCATTTTTTGTCCCCACGATGGCCCAATCCGTCCCTGATGATGTGTGATGTGACATCACATGTAGAAGGCATACTTGAACTTATAAAGGTCAGTCATCCTTTACATAGGTATAAGAAGGCTTTTGCAATACCTCTTTGAAACAGATTGCAACCGGCGGCCTAATCAAAACGGACATACACCGTGCAGATTATCCACTCTTCATCAAATTGTCAGGCACCAATTGTCACACAACCACCCCACCAAATATCTTGCGCCGGCCACTGCAATTGATTTAAAGTTAAAGAGATTTAAGTTTTTGTATATAAAAGTCTTGAGAATTATGTAATTAATTTTGTTCGAACCCTGCATCGGCCGAGAAAGTTCATCCAGATTTTCTGGCGTGGTTCCCCCTTGTCAGTGATGCAGGACGGAGGGCCTGACAAGGACAGCTGTCTAGTCCTTCGGATGATACGGAAAACGTAGGTCCCGTGTATACATTGGAATGCACGTAAAAGATCCTTTGGCAGTTGGAATTCGATATAAGAGTAGGCGATAGTGCTGCTGCCCTGGCAAAATTTCCCTCATAGCACACTGTATTTAGTATGCTGCCTTCATTAGCCCACATAGGAGCAGAACAGTAGGATGTCAAACCCCATTTCATTTCATTTCATTTTATATAATTAATTTTGCTTATATTTTTAATTTTAGATGTTGAGTTGGTTATATCTACCACTGAGTTATATACTAGAGAAGTTAGAAGCCATTTTACCTGCTAATTTATTACATCAATTATCACGGATATAGACTTCAAATTTAACAATATATACAACAATCAAAACATACAAATATAAAATCTGTCTTCAAGTTTCCCAATGATACATTCATTACCTGATATAAGTACATTTTGACTATTCCTTCCATATGGATGGTGTAAAGTTCCGAACTGTTCCAAGGACATATTGATCAATCAGATGTTAGTGTGCAATCTTTATAGATATCTGATCCACGTGGTTAGTAAAACAGAATGTCTTGTGGATGCCTTGTAAAACAGACTTTTGGTAGTATCCTTCCTTGGTTAGGGTTATCGCATTATCGGAATTTACGATAGATGAATTTTCCGTACGCAATTGACTTATCCAACCAGACAGACAATACAAGGTTCACACCCTCCTTGAAAATCCTGGAAAAATGAAAATGTGATTTCCAGTACTGGTAAATCCTGAAAAAACAAGGTTACTCCTTGAAACTCATGGAAAATTAACATTTATTTTTTCGCTATATATTTTAAGATATAAAACTGAACGTAGTCATCGAAATTCTCTTCAAAAGTTCAGGAGTTTGTCGCGGTAAATGGACTCTTCTTCAGTGGAATTCTCTACAGGGACTCCTGGAATCTGGTAAATAACTCCTGGAAAACTCCTGGAATTTTAAATGTTCTGAGTTGTGCACACCCTGCAATAGACTCTCCCCATATTAATACCACAAAAAGTGGCTTTTCTATTGTGGAACCATTGGAATTCGACAATGGTAACTAAGTTACTGGAGTAACTTCCCTTTGTTAAGAAGAGCAATGGGGAATCTTCACTATACCCAACCGGGTAGACACTAGACTCTCCCCATTTTAATACTGCAAAAGGTGGCTTTTCTATTGTGGAGCCATTGGAATTCGACAATGGTAACTAAGTTACTGGAGTAACTTCCCTTTGTTAAGAAGCGACCTGGGTAACTCAAGACATTTTATTGTGATGAACTCTTCAATTAATTGATAGATGAAAATATAATATTATAAATGATATTATTTTCATGTATTCTGTTGAATTTAAAACTTACGTCAATGTTTTTAAATGAAAGGATTCATGTTTTTTGAAGATTTCTTTGAAATATATATTTTTAATATATTGACACATCGGCATACAGGACAACAGGGGTTGGGGGTGGGGCTGCAAATATTTTGACCATTAGCTATTATAGATATACTAAGTTCTCTAGTTTTGCCTCACAAATGATTAATTTAAGTTTTCGGAAAAGAAAAAAATATTGGGGGGGGGGGGAACTGGAGCATTCTCATCCTATTATTGTATCATGAATTCTATTTGGGCGAACTGGAGCCAACCTGATTAAAACACAGAATCTATTTCGTTTCATTTTTTATAGTTCAAAATTTCGTTTTACTTGTCTTTCCTACACTAGGATCGGGAAGGGTTGTTATATTACCAGCATTTTGATGAAAGTGAGGGATTAGCGAGTTGTTGGCCTTTTGATGCACGAAATCACTAGAAACGTCAGCGCTGATTGATTAATCAATGTCTGACATGATAGGGTCAAAAGCCGCTCGTTTGACCCCTTATGTTAACTCCAACTATAACTTATCAGATCTTCATGTAGTGTAGGCCATCGAAAGTATAAAAATAAAACGGAAATGAAATATAGATCTGTATTATAATCAGTTTGATCTGGAGCATGCTCATCCTATTATTATATCAGGAATTCTATATAACGAGCTTTACATGACATTGTTAAATAATAAAACTATGTTACAGATTTTATATATATTTGATAAATCTTTGTTGTTCAGATAAAATACATTGTTTAAAACCTAAATCATGATACAATATATTATTTTCTTATCATATACCTGATGCACATTAGTAATTCCAAACCTGGTGTCCGTGCTCCTAATATGGGTTCCTCTGATATTTGTAAACTAACATACAAAAATAATCACAAAAGTAAAAAGATTTTTTTAAGTGCAGTTCAGACAGAAAAATTTCAGATGTGTTCTGTGATGTAAAGATTCTAATTATGTACTTTTTTATTAGAGAGTATGTCTCTGAACATCATTTGAAGGATTTTTAATCCCTTGTCGACTTCAATATTGTGAATATTCTCTAAGCAGGAACGTCAGTCGAAAAATGGTTCAGCTCTGTTCAGTATTCATAAAGATCTGGCACAGAATTTAGAATTTATTCAAAATTGTTCGCCTTATTTTAACTAAATTATTACCTTTTATAAAACTTTTGTTGTTTTAATGTATCAAATACATCAATAAAAAACGTTTTGTGTTTCTGGATCAAAGATATTTCTCATAAACAGTGAATGAAAGCTGAGTAAATTCTAAACTTAAGTCTGAGAATGCCTTTGTGAACTCGGGGCCAGATGAATTGAAAATTTCCGAACATTTGCATTCTCTACTGACGATATAAAGAAGCCCACTCTACATAATCTTTTGATGGATCTCTTCTTAATCTGATTGAATCCAAGCAGAGGAATTATCTGGCGTTGATATTTTGTTTTGTTTTTTTTAAACAAAATATTAAATAATTAATTTGTATGCATTTTACGGTGAATTAGATATTGGTCGAAAAAATGCAAAAGACGATCAACTTTCAGTTTCCTCAAAGAAATACTTCTCTTGATTTGAAGCATTTCTATTTTTACAATTTTCTGTGTTCAGATTCTTAAAATGGTTGGAAGATTTATGAGTAATGAAGTTTTAAGCCTTTTTTAGATATAATTTACACACTTTATTATTGAGAATTATAATAAAACAAATGTATATTTGAAAAAAACATTTAACATATCAGATCTTCTCACTGTTGTCCGATTGGGTGGTGGGGATCCGGACGATGATACCAGATGTCAGTTATTTCTTGAAATCAAAGAAATAGCTGCAGTGTTGGTACACTTAATCAACAAAGCTTTTGAAAATCATGCTGAAAAAATTAACTGATTTATTTTGTGTTGTGTTAAAGATGCATTATGTAAGATTTAGATAAATAGCTGGCCGTTTTTTTTGCTATAATAGTTCAATAATAGATAATGGAAAATTAATATATTGGAAATTTCATTCAAATTATATTATTCTGAAGAAATTATGTTTTTGAAATTTTAACAAGGTGTAGCATGGATTGTTTTTTATCGTACCAACGGCACTTGACAATCGAGACCAAGTCTCAAATCACTATTTTTAAATTAAATTATTAAATGGCCATCATGTTTCAATCCATTAAAAATCACGACCATCCAATGGTGTAGAGAGTTGATTATGAGATTGTCATATGAATAAACGCCAAATTAATAATTCATATAACATTTGAGGCCAAAAGAAATGAAATGAAATGGGGTTTAACATCCTACTGTTCTGCTCCGAACTGGGCTAATTAAGACGGAAGCGGCCAAAAGAAAGGCCTGCAAAAGGCAGATTTAGCTCTTTCATTATGTATCTTTTAACAAAGATTTAGAAAATCATGTTAAGAAATGTGCTGATTTATTTTGTGTTATGTTAAGATTTAAAGAGAACTAGTCTTTGTTTGTAAATTTGATGCCTCTGAATGTTTTTACTTGTCAGAATCTGAGAGTTTCAAGTGTTGTTATGTTGAATAAAAACCCAAAGAAGAAAATATGTCTTTTTTTATATTTTATTAGTCAATATATACATCTCCTCATGAATTATGTATAAAAGATTTTAGGGTGTGTACAAAAGATACCCTTAGCTGAATTAATCATATGCAGTCAGAATTTTACTCCCAACAACACTGACAAAAATCAAAATGGCTGGAAAAACGGCGGGAAATCCTAGTGAACTTTCTCAATCAACACCTGGATTGAATCTGGGACTTTTTGGTTAGTGGGGGGGGAGGGGGGGTATGGCCGAATGGTTAGCGCGTGCGCGCTGTATCATAACAGTCATAACATCTGTCAGTGAGTCAACTGGCATGGTTTCGAATCCCCGATGGAAGTGCCAAGGAGTAGGTTCGCCTGTCCAACCTCGTGAGTTTCCTCCCACTGCTAAAGACCCCTACGCGCAAGCGAATTATTGAAATAAAATTGAACCATGTGTTAGTCCCGAAATGACCTAGTTTGTGTCGAGTGGACGTTAAACCCAATTTCTCTCTCTCTTGGTTAGTAAGTACCACATACTAAACTTAGGCTACCTGTCTACAATTCGCTCCGCTTGAGAACAGACACTAATCATTTTAAGTCATGAATAGACGATTTTAGTTGAAAACACTAACTATATTTTGAGAAGTATATATTCTGCTTTCATTTGATAAAATAGATATCACTCTACGCCCCTTTTACGAATTATGTACTTATACAACTACGCGGCGGAAGTAAATACACCATTTGTACAAAGCATAAAATATGTCTAATTAATAAATTTAACGATGCTTAACTTTCGAAGAGTTTTTTTTTAAGCAAATCTCAATTTCAATAATTCACTATAAACGTTTGAGTAATTCAATTAAAACAAACTGAACGAAGTACGATATAGTCAATGTCATTTATAGAGATCATGAAAAGTACAGACGACAAAGGGGCACCTTGTTTAACTCCCCGATTATTTTCGATAAAATTGCTCTCTATGCGATAACTATAAAATTTATATATTTAATCTACGGTTGGGACTTTAAATGATTTTGTACTGAGTTCATTATTACCAACGTTAGGTTTATCGTAGAGAGCGAGTCTTGTTAAAAATTGGACAAAGTGTCTCTTGACACAGTTAATTGGCCTGTTATAACAACAATCATTTATTAAAGAAAATCTATAGAATTTACAATACACCCTTTGGTGAATTTTGTACTTTTACAACTACAGCGAATATACCATGAATATACCATTTATACACCGCATAAAACTGTCTAATTAATAAATTAAGTAGTTTTTTTTTACCTTAGATAGAGTTGTTTCTTAAGCGAATCTAAATTTTCAATAATTCTCTATAAACGTTTGCGTAATTCAATTAAAATTAACTGAACGAACTACGGTATAGTCAATGTCATATAAAGAAATCATGAAGAGTACAGGCGATAGAGGGGCACCTTGTTTAACTCCTCGATTAATTTCGATAAAATTGCTCTCTATGCGATAACTATAAAATTTATATATTTAATCTACGGTTGGGACTTTAAATGATTTTGTACTGAGTTCATTATTACCAACGTTAGGTTTATCGTAGAGAGCGAGTTTTGTTAAAAATTGGATAAAGTGTCTCTTGACACAGTTAATTGGCCTGTTATAACAACAATCATTTATTAAAGGAAATCTATGGATTTCACAATACACCCTTTGGCGAATTTTGTACTTTTACAACTACAGCGAATATACCATTTATGCACCGCATAAAACTGTCTAATTAAAAATTAAGCAATTTTTAACTTTCGATGGGTTTTTTCTTAAGAGAAACCTAATTTTAAATAATTCACTATAAACTTTTGCGTAATTTAATTAAAACTAACTGAACGAACTACGGTATAGTCAATGTCATTTATAGAAATCATGAAGAGTACAGGCGATAGAGAGGCACCTTGTTTAACTCCACGACTAATCTCGATAAAATTGCTCTCTATGCGATAACTAAAAAGTTTATATATTTAATCTACGGCTAAGACTTTAAATGATTTTGTACTGAGTTCATTATTACCAATGTTAGGTTTATCGTAGAGAGGGAGTCTTGTGTATAATAAACAACCAGCACTAAAGCACTTGAGTACCAGTAGATGTATCATGGGATAACGAATAGTCGTATCGTGATAGTGTTAAGCGATACTGTCTATCATTTTTCTATATTTGAATCTTATTTCTATCAGATGCGATAACAACTCACTTCAACCTTCTCTACTAAACTTCTGTTTATTTTCATACGGTTTCCCCCACATCTTTATCAGACTCACAACAAGTATCTGAAGATAAATATAAGCTATACTCTCTTACACAGACCTTTGAAGTCGCCGACTGACGTAAACATCAAAGAAAAGACAGTACTCGCCGCCACATGTTTATTTGTATATTTTTCCATGTAAAACATATAAAAGCCATAGATCCGTGCATATCCATCTAGTTCTTGATTTGATTCAACTTCATTCACTTCGTTTAATTCACCTTGAATCATTTTCAATCTTTCGTGCATTCAGTATCAAGGAATATTAACTATTATTAATGAATGATGAAATTTAGATTATTGCCGAGCCATCAAACTGGAATTCCTTCGCCTAAACAAGCAGATGTTTTATTTTATTAATGATGTAGGCTTCAAAAATAAAAATTCACATAAATTCTCAGGATTTAAAAATGTGATGAGTTTTATTCTACTGGAAGACATATGTTGAAATATTCAATTTTCCATGGAATTAATATTTGTAGTTTGTCATTTCTAATATGGTAAGTATTTTGATAAACTCTGATAAGAATTAGCGCCATTTATCGCTTTTTAGAATTAGCGCCATTCATCTCTTTTGCTTTCTTTTTTTTTCGTTGGGTTTTAATTATTGATAAAAGAGGATTTTATTTTAGATCATCATAATGTAATGCGTGTTGCTTATTTTAATAGCATTTACCAATTTATATACTTAATAAACACAAAAACATAATATGGAAGACAATTTTATTTTAATTCAATGCGACGTTTAGTTGAGGTCCTTTCAGTGTTATTTTAAAAAATGAAAATAAATTATTTATACAAATTCGGTCAACTACAAGCGTAATGAGATATAACATGTAATGGAAATTACATTCTTTTTTTTAAATAATCGAAATTAACAATTTTGCTTAAGTAAATGTATTTTATTTATTGCCAAAGTGTACACGGGATATGGTATGGCCTTTACATTGTACATATATTTTCTATAAGAAGGCTCAGTTAAAAAATTTTGAATTTAAAAACACAAATGTTGCATGTTGAAATTGTGTGATTCGTTTTAAAATATATGGATCACATATACATGTATTCACTTGTACAGTGTAACAATAATAAAAATAAAATCAGAAACTAAAGAGTGATTTACTTTGCAGACCAAACATATACACTACATTTTATTAGGACATTTCAAGAACGAATATATTTTGTAATATGAAAATTCAAATATTTCATAATATCACAAATATTTTTAATATCAAATATTGATGATATTAATGTAAACTATTTAATATTTAATATTTTCGAATATCTCATAATATCAAACATTTCATATTATCAATCAAACATTTCACAATATCAATCAAACATTTCATATTATCAATCAAACATTTCATATTATCATTCAAACATTTCGTATTATCAATCAAACATTTCATATTATCAATCAAACATTTCATATTATCAATCAAACTTTTCGTATTATCAATCAAACATTTCACAATATCAATCAAACTTTTCACAATATCAAATATGATATTAAAATTTTATAACATCATTCTTTTTCTGCGCAGTAATAATTGGGAGATTGTTTTTCTTCGTCCCTGTTGGCTTGAAGAAATGCGCATTCTTTTAAATTTGTACACCTATACGTTTAAGTTATAACAACCATTGATTGGAAACACTAATTGAAAGCCTCGCTTGTCACGAAAGTAATTGATGAAAGTAATTTGTTTCTTATTTTAGAAATGTCAGAATTGAAACTAATCTTCGCAGGTGAAATAGAGAGGACTGGCTCGTCGCTCTGAAAACCAGATAGGCCTACCGGGCTGGGCTTGTTGAAAACGTCGTATTTAATTTCTTTTTGACATTAGGGAAATTAGTATAGAAGAAATTAGCGTGACATGATGAATGAGCGGACTTCAATCTGTCTGTTTGGGTGTTCTAGAAATCTGAATGATATTATATCGTCTGTAGCGGCACGTGTCTGCCATGCTGCGTGGTGTAGAATTTTACCTTCAAGCATCTTTTTAATCACTTACCACCTACAGTTTATGGAATTTGTTTTCGTGTTTTACAAACCAGAGAATATGATTCTTATTCAGTAACAATTAGAACTGATTCTCGCTTAGTTATCAGAGAGAAAGAGATGGAGAGAGAGAGAGAGAGAGAGAGAGAGAGAGAGATTAACATCCACTTAACACAAACTAAATCATTTCGGTACAAACGTGTGGTACTCTTTTATTTCAATAATTCGCATGCGTTTAGGGGTCTTTAGCAGTGGAATGAAACGCAAGAGCCCAGAGAATCCATGTGGGAATCAAAGCCATTGACTCAATGACTGACCTTATGGTCTAAAGCGTATGCGTCACCCCCCCCCCCATCCCCACTCAGTTACATTTATAAAGGACATCATTCTCGTAGTAATTCTTGGCAGGAAATTTTTAAACAATTTAGTCACCTTGTTCTTCCGTATCTGAAACATCTATGAGGAAGATTGGAAACGACATGTCGCCTATGTAGCAATTCGATTACATTAAATAATGAAATAAAAATTATAATATCAGCTTATTGTTGTTTTCAAAACGTTATAATGCGACTTAGCGTAAACGCGATTTACATTCGTTGATACTGACGTTGTTGCCAATGGTGTACTTCAAGGTCCCTCTCTTGGGCCACCCATTTTATGTGTATGTAGAAATGAAACTATGATTGTAGAATATTGACGAAATTATAAGCATAAGACATCATTAATAAGGAAATGGATGCATAAATTAGAATTGAGAAGTAAATCTGTTGCCCATTTTTAACACAAGTGTGTGACTGTTGATGGCAATTGCATTTTATAACAGTAGAAATTAATCAAGTCTTGTTTTCATGGTACTGTTATAATTGGAAAAGATGGTTTTACTTAGTATACTGTTGTAGCTTGAAGCGGTGGCGTGAATGTTAGACGACATCCCGCTAATAATAGTTGATTATCAGCCATATGTCAGGTTCACCCCGGGGTATTGTTAAAGGTAACACTAACCATCATACAGGCCTGAATAGCAAATAACAACAATATGTTACATTAATTTTATACCATAAATAACACCCAATACTTATATTTCACATCGATATAGAACATTGAAACTATTTCTAACACCATAGCAACAAAGCAGGTAAATGAACTAAACAAAATAATGTTATTATTGTACTAATTCAAATCTGGAAATATATTCACTTTCCAAATAAATATCCCCACCCTGGAAAAAAACCAACAGTGTGTTGAAATCAGCAAAATAATGTCAGAACTTATATTTTTTTAAAAATATTTCTGTACGAATTCCTAAAATGGAAAAAAATATATTCATTTTGCTTAAATAAATAGATATCCAGATATTTCCCTAAAAAACAATGTTTTGTAAATTTAAAATTTTAAAATGATATGGCATTTTGCTTTTTAAATAAATGGCCATGGATTTGAATTACTATTCCATACATTTCTGTATTTGTAAAATGGTGTGTGTGTGTGTGTGTGTGTGTGGGGGGGGGGGGTGACCGAATGGTTAACACGTGCACGCTGTATCATAAGAAGGGCTGTCATTGAGTCAACTGGCGTGGTTTCGATTCCCCGGTTGTACATGACAAAGAGTAGGGTCGCCTGTTCAACGTCGTGGGTTTTCTCCGGGTCCTCCGGTTTCCTCCCACTGCTAAAGACCCCTACGCGAATTATTGAAATAAAATTGAACCATGTGTTAGTCCCGAAATGACATAGTTTTTGTCGAGTGGACGTTAAACCCCATTTTAAATTTTTTTTTTTAAAATGGTAAAATGTTTCTGATAAATGTATAAATAGTCAATAAGTTTGTTTGTAGAGGTCATGTTGTTGATGTCAGTTTTTTTTTGCGATGTTTACTTTGTGACTTTCTTGTTTATTTGAATGTGAGAATATTGCAAAAATGTTACCGAAAATTAGGTCCTTATCTGGTGACTTAAATGTTTCAAGTTTTAAAAATAAATCCGTATATACATACAGTAAAAATAAACAAAAATTGATACAATAGCCTAGTCACTTTCTTTGTGCTAATACGAAGACAAGTAGCTAAATATTCAATTCGGTATTGGTCATCAGTAACATCGATTTTAATTTTGGGATTTTGCGGAAAAGACCTGATTAATCTTAGTTTCGGGTACAGTATTATTTAATTGGTCTACAAATTGAAGTTTTTGGGCAATGGACATTATTTTGACATGATTTCTAGATCATCATAATGAGTATTAAATGAGTAGGCCCTATTTCAATCACATTCCATGTACTACCAATAACAATATATATTCAATTCTGCATTGGTCGTGACACAAACATCGATTTTAATTTGGTGGTTTTAAAGAAGAGAACAGACTAGTCTTAATTTTGTGTACCAACCTCCGTGTATTATTTAGTGAATCTACATATTGAAGTTTTGGACAATGAACATATTTTGGGCAATGAACATATTTTGACATGATCTAAAAAGAGCATTAATATCAATATAATGAATATTATAGCTAAATCGCATTCCATGTACCTTAACAAATAAACCTCAATTCAGTATTGGTCGCATGAAATATCGATTTTAATTTTGGGATTTTACGAACTAATCTTCGAAAATATTGTGTAGGTCTAAAAATTGTATATTTGAGCAATGAACCTCTGATCAAGTTAAATAATATTTTAAAAACTATAATGATATATTTTTGATATTTTATGGCGTTTTTTTTTCTTAGAGCATTCTCTAGGTATTTAAATCAAAAATACTTAAATATCAATCATCTTGTTTTAATTGTAACACCACGAGGCTATTTAAAACCAATTTGTCTTTATTTTTAATAGTTATACATTTCAATGGGTCTCCAGAGAATACTAAGTGAGCGAGGGCATATTAACTCATCCAGTTGATACATTACATATACATCCTATAATAATATGAAGCTAGTCGCTAATTCTCAGTTAAATTTTATTAATCCCTTGAGAATATTTATGAGTTCTGGGGAATTAAAGATAGATTAATAAAGCGAAGAGGGAACTAGAGATAAATGTAAACGGGGGGTTGACAACTTCCAGATTGCCCTTTCAAACACGTGTATATTATAAATATCCTAAATAACAATTTGTCCACAATGATTGGTTGGATACGGTTTGGTCGCAAGGTAAATAATTTGGCTGTCTGACAAAATCGGTGTATAGTCGCCCCTCCTACAGAAATAAGCCTCAGAAGAGTGCGTAAGAAAGAAGTCGATCTCAGGTCTAACGTGTATTCTTCTCTCATCATTAAATTTAATCAACTACTACAAGTGATATTTTCTGGATTGATCGACATTCAACTCGTTTGGTTTAAATAGGAAAGATTTTTTTTTTAGTTCTGCTGTTATTGTATATTATTAATCTGCTGTTTGTTGAAGAATTCACGATGGTAGATCTAACTGTTTGTCCATCTGACATTGTCAATAACCTAAAGCCGCGTATTTGTAACTTGTGACATGTCTGCTTCTATACGGGTAACTTTTGTGTGTTTGAGTTTTGAAAATTGTAAATGGCTTTAAAACTATGGGACCGGGATATATGTATCTTAAAGGATTCATTTTATTATTAGTCAGTCTTCAAATAAAGGAAATTGTAGCCACTTGGTGGTAAGTTGTCATTTTTCTTTTACATTTTTTTATCATATTTCATATATACGTATATTATTAATCAAAAATCTAACAAAAGATATACGCAATACGTATCCTAATGATATTGGAAGTGTCGGATAGTTTTATTTCGAAGATAAACTGCACTGCTATTTACAAAATACGAAAATAAATCTAAGTATTTATATTAAAACGGTGACATTAATTCAGATTTATCTCTTCCGGTGATTAGAGACGCATGTATATAATTATATATATCCAAAACTATTAGCACAACCGTAAGCTGCACTACTTTGTTTCACGGTAAACGATGAAAAGACACAAACTGGTTTAATAACATTTTAACATTTTCGCTCGTCTTTGGAGCTGTACATAAATAATGTCATTGTGATGATGATTTTCATAAATTATAAAGCTCCCAGCCTTGGGATTACTCATGAAGCTTACCACCCATGGCCGCTATTAAAGCCCGATTAATTTTAAAGATTTTTAGAATATATTTCAGCACGTGATTTATTTGTATATAGGTATATATAAATCTGCCAGTAAGTAAGACGGGGATCAAGTAGAAGGGAAAATTAATCGGATTATTTTATTAAACAATGTATTTAATTGAGCAAACAATAAAATGTAACGCGCAATAAGGTGGGTAGTGTATATCGAAAGGAAAGTAATTTCTGAACTCTGCTCCGTAAATCCGATAATTTTGACACTTGGTTGGTATAATACAAAGCTGAGAGAGAGAGAGAGAGAGAGAGAGAGAGAAAGAAAGAGAGACTAACACTTGGTACAGTTTTATTTCAATAACTCGCTTGTGCGTTGTTGTCTTTAGTATATATAAGTTCAAGGAAAGCAGAAGACCCATAGAAAACCCACGAGGTTAGACAGGCGACCCTACTTCTTATCACGTACAAGCTTGGGATCGAAACCACACCGCTTGACTCAATAACAGACCGTATGATCTAAAGCACACGCGTTAGACCACTCAACCACTCCCCGACATTTTAATTAGAAATTAGAGTAGGCTGAAGTGCCGCTGCCCGGGCAAAATTCCCTAACAGCACGCGGAAGACCACCCGACACCCCCATCTGTTGGAACGTAGCTGATTATATCTTGGATTAATTTGGGTTTGTGTTGTGTCATTTTATATAAAATATGCATTAAATTAATTGATTATGAACGACAATGCGATATTTATAAATTATATATGGGTTGCACTCATATACGAATACGGAATGTTTAATTTTAGTACCGACAATAATCAAGGTGTGAATAACTATTTAACATACTGTAGGGTGGTGGTCTTCGAGCTCCAGCTATCGTGGTTTCGATCCCTAGTGTGAGCGTTTGTGGGTTTACTGCGGGTACTCCTGTTTCCTCCCAAGATAATAAAAAATAAAACTTGTCTGCAATATCACTCTCGGTAGACGCGGACGTTAAACACCACGAACAACAACTATGCATTAGAATATTTTACAGATTTATTAGCCACAATATCACTAGTAATTTATATGAACAGAAGAAGTTTCAAATCATCTTCATAACAAAGTTTGATTTATAAATATTAATAGATATAATATATGTATTTTATTTTTGAATTGTAATAAAGGATCAAGTTGGAATAAGTAACATATTGATCTAAACGGTATGATATCTGATAAAAAAAATGCAACGTTTCAACTTTTAGAAAGGAATATTTGTATAAATTAAAATAATTATAGCGAATTCGGTTCGTTCGTATTTTCAATGTAATGGGCACCTCTTTGTTGAATGCTTTGTATCCAAACTTTTTCGTCATTGATAAAAAATAAATTCGTTCAATGTCATTGAATTGAATTGGAAATAAACAGAAGACAATTATATGGAACTCAAATAATATTATACTGTATATATTATATTGTATTCCACATAATAATGTCCCCAGTGAATAAATTGGTTCAATGTCATTTACTAATTGAATTGAAAATACACAACATAATTATACGGAATTCAAATATACTGTTTATATCAATTATATTGTATTCCACATAATTATGTTCCGTGTAAACGATAAACTGTTTTCCATTTAGTGTTATATAGAGCTTTATATTACATTTCAAACTGAATATGAATAATACCCTTATAAATGTCATCTTGTCATGTCATAATCCTATCATTGAAATTATTTCTTCCGGAGAATGGCATTTTATTAATGAATTGACACAGAATCTGATGGTCTTGGGAATAATTAATATAACTCTATTTTGTCTGCCAGCAGTTTAGAAAATACAAAATTTTCGAGTTCTCTTCCAGTACAAATATTTTTATAACAATTTTTTTTTCCATTTTTAATATTCATCGAAATGAAATGAAGTTTGCTTCAACGTCCTATTGTGCTGCTCCGATCGAGATAATGAAGACGGTATTGAACGAAAAGCTACCCTTTCAAATTATTTCGTTGTAGACCCTGGTCTAAATTTTAAATAAAAAACTAGCCGGATTAAAAGAAGCTTGAACAATAGATCTAGAAAAACCCGATAGAGTGGGTCAATTAACATATGCGCCAAATTTCGACTTTTTAGGATGATTTTTTGACACATTGCTGTCGTTTCGGTACAGTATTCGTTACAAGCGTCGGAAGACCAACGAGCCAAAGTTGTTTCAATGGCATTCAATGGAAGGAAATACACAGGGCACATAATTAATTCTGAGGAATACAATTTCTGTTTATTACTGAGCGAAGTTTCGACTAAACTTCTCTAGCGCTTATAAAGTAATGGGGGGGGGGTAGTTAGCACGTGCGCGCTGTATCATAAGGTCTGTCATTGAGTCAAATGGCGTGGTTTCGATTCCTCGGTTGTACGTGACAAGGAGTAGGGTGGCCTGTCAAACCTCGTGGGTTTCCTTCGGATACTCCGGTTTCCTCCTACTGCTAAAGACCCCTACGCGCAAGCGAATTATTGAAATAAAATTGACCTAGTTTGTGTCGAGTGGACGTTAAACCCCATTTCTCTCTCTCTCTATATATATATATAAAGTAATCATACAGTTGTTTGATAAAAACTAAAGAATCCTAGTCGAAACGTTGTCCAGCCATAAACAGTAATTATTGGGGGGTTGGATGGGCGAATGGTTAGCGCGCGCTGTATCATACGGTCTGTCATTGAGTCAACTGGCGGGGTTTCGAATCCCCGGTTGTACGTGACAAGGAGTAGGGTCGCCTGTCCAACCTCGTGGGTTTTCTCCGGGTCCTCCGGTTTCCTCCCACAGCTAAAGACCCCTACGCGCAAGCGAATTTTTGAAATAAAATTGAACCATGTGTTAGTCCCGAAATGACCTGGTTTGTGTCGAGTGGACGTTAAACACCATTTCTCTCTCTCTCTCCATTATGTGTCCTGTCCTCTATATAAAGGACCATCGCAAATTTACAGCACTTGCGTCCAAACGAATAACGCACAGAACTGACACCGAGGATACACAATGATAAATTAAATGTTGAATCATAAACAGAAATATGAAATATGAGTTGGTGGGTCAAGATCTATACACTGGTCATTCGTTTGAACGCAAGCTTTGAAATTTTGCGACTGTCCCTTAACCATTAATTCTAGGTTCCCCATATCACGATTCGTGCTACGATTGAAATCGTGGTTTTAATCGTGGTGATCCTATCAGGTCTTATTGTGGTCATATATTAGAGACTTTTGGCAAGCGGAATTTTTACCATCCGTATCACGTATCCGTATGTATACGTGATACGTTGCGTCAATGCAGTTTTTGAGTTTTGGCAGATTTTCGCGTCGCGTACGTTTGTACCGATGAGCCGAGCTTAGTTCTATTACAGCATGATGGCAGATATCTACCAAGGTCACCATCAGTACTAGTCAAGTGCCTAGCCTACAATTTCTCGGTGCGAGTGAAGTCGCTCGATATTAAAAAAAATTAATGTCGACTTTGGTTTCACTAATGTATCATTTCAGAAAGTTTAGATTTGTAAGATCCCACCTCCCTAAATTTAGCACGTAGATCAACCAGCATGCAGACAGACGGGAAAAGTATGAAAATCCCGAGAAAATCCCATTAAATTAAATTCCAGTCTTTATCATGGTTAAATCACATCAAATATATACCTTCGTGTTCTAGGATACACAGAGGTTCATAAAAACGCTATGATACAACATTTCAGCGTCTAAAAGTAGCAAAAAAAAAGACAGTAAAAAGACGACAATGTATGAAAGCTGTTCGATACGTGCTGCCGTATCCGTGTTATGTATCACGTATGAGAAATACACACACATTGATGACGTCACACGCAAAATCCATACGGATACGCGATACGGACCAAGAATTTACGCTTGCCAAAAGTCTCTATTGTTGATCGTATCGTAACGTATCCGAACGTATCTGCACATACCAGATCGTTGGCTCAATAGGGACCATCCTATCGTAATGCATCGCACGATAAGAGTCGACCAAATATGTGCTCTCATGTTTGTTATGCCGTCTTTTGAACATCTATTTTAATAAGAGGCGGCGTTTCTTTTGATATTTTATTTTCTTAAAACAAATTAAAAAGATTCGAGCACAAAATATATTTTTAGATTTTTAATTATCTTCAGGTTTATAAGCCAGCTTCCACTACACGCTGTAAGTACTGGCGTACTGTGTGACAATATTCCAGGTTTAGTTGGTAGACAGAGGAGATTGTGTCGACACCATCTCGACGTTATGGTCTCCCTTAGAAAAGGGGCACGTCTTGGGGTCGAAGAATGTCAAAATCAGTTCAAAGATCAAAGATGGAACTGCAGCACGTTAGACAGAGATGCTTCGGTGTTTGGAAAAGTCATGTTAAAAGGTGAATTTATTTATTTATTTATTTATTTTTTTTTTGGTTTCATTTGTCTGACGATATAAAGTGGGTATGACAAGTCAAGCTCCATGGCGAGGGGGGGGGGGCTAGTGATCTAGAGTGTCGCACCTCGACTTCTAGCTGGCTGGTCACATCTGGCTTGCGATTGTGGTTTCGATCCCTGGTGTGAGCGTATATGGCATGGAGATAGGGGCGTCTTCTCAACCTTGTGGGTTTACTCCGGATACTTCGGTTTCCTCCCACAGGAAAGACCCCTGCGCGTACGCTTAGATAACAAAAATGAAAATAAGATTACTTGTCTGCGATATCACCTTCGGTAGAAGTGCACTTTAAACACTAAGAACAACACCAAGCTCCATAGGTATTGGTGAAGATTCGTGATTGGTCCATCTGATCACCGACAAGAACCGACTTAATATCGCCCAAAATATTGTAAAATGTGATCGACAAGGAAAGATATGTTATATTTCATTAAAAAATTTGACAAAATTATGGATAATTGAAATTGCCCCCAAAAACCCCGGCCTGGTCAGTTCTACTCGGGGTTTAGTAACGTATGACCGCCACTGAAAAGTAATGTTAAAGAGAAGATTTCTTGTCCCAGAGCCACGCCCCACCCCACCCCACCCCCTCTTCGTTTCTAGCAAAGAATGATTCCGAACCTTTAAGAGATAAAATTTAGCATTTTCGTCCCAAATTAACAGGGATTTCTAATGTAAAACAGCCACTGAAAGTTAATATTAAAGAGAAGATTTGTTGTCCGAGAAAGCACCCCCCCCCCCCCGTCGTTTCTAGCAAAAAATGATTCCGTACCTTTAAGAAATAAAATTTTGCATATTCATCACAAATTAAAATTTTATAAAAACATGTGCTTGCTTGTGTTTTGTTATCTGGCTATGCATCATGAATAGAACAGTTGTGTCTACGAAGAAATATCTGCTGCTAATAAAACTTTTATCTTACTTCTTCCGATTATAGTTGATTAAATTTAAGCTGGGAAAATAAGATTTTTAAAATTGACATGACCTTTAATAAAATCCTCTAGTTGGCAGTTTAATAATATAACCCTTGTGTTACATAGATATCAACCAAGGATTTGTTTTAGCAGGATATTTTGGTGGACTTTTGAATGCTGACCTCAAGGATTCATATACGTATTTTACGAACAGACGAATGTCTAGCCGACAGTTTACAACAACCAGTTTTTTGACGAAAATATCAAGTTGCTAAATGCAAATTTATAAATGTAACGGATCAGGCGCAAAACTGAAAATACGCCCTCTCCTCACTCGGTAAATCTATTGATGCAATACAGAAACGTTATTATTACTGAACACTATAATTTGTTGAATCAGTGCCAATCGTCAATGGTGTTTGGTTGGAAAAAATACAACTATAATCTCTAGAATAAAAAAAAGGCACGTTGTTTAAACAGGCATTATGCAAGATCTAAATCTAACTATTACAAGTCTTTCTTTAGGCCTGAAATGTTATCTAGATTATTAATTAGACATTAATTAACTTATCCAGACCATAATCAACTCTCGATGGCATCGCTAGCCTGCGATGTTTATTGGATTAGGTTCCGATTTGCTGCTCGACTTCCATTCATAATTTAATCATGAAATGGATAATCGAGACTTTGTTTTTTATTCTACCGACTTTAGTAATGATGATCGAGGCTAGGCCGAAAATTCAATCGCTAAAATCTCGGTTCATAGTGGATCAATTTGACTGAAATTTTCAACAAATTTCCATTACAGTATCTAGTTTTTAACTTTTATAGTGAGAACTTCCAACTCTTTATCTAATCTCTCATACATCATACAAACTACGATATCAGTTACTTACTGTACAAACCATCAGTAATTGCCATCGTAAGAGTAGCGCAGCAAGAGTGGGGCGAGTAAAGCGGTTTGCCTGGGACAGCTCTTTTTCTTGAGGGGCGGGCGGGCGGGCGGGAGGGGGGGGGGCGCATTGATCTATTGCATCGAAAAAGAACAGTCTTTTTTATTTCTGACGGAAGAGTAGACGAATAGGATACTTATGCCCTATTTACTTCCAATATTCCCGACAATGGTACGGATTACGTTCCTTTTAAGATGGATTTATTAACCATCATCACACCTTTTAAGATGGGCTGATCAACCAACATCATACCTTTTAAGATGGGCTAATCAACCATCATCATACCTTTTAAAGCGCATGAATTGCTTATAGAAAAAGCATGTATACTTCCGTTGGAAAGTATTGTAGTTAATTTTTTCATGTCAGAAGTAAACATAGTGTCCACATTTGTTGACCGAAAATTGATTTTGTCGTTCCAGTGTCAATATGTTTCATGTGTTTCGTGCGAGAAGGGACCGGGAAACTCAAGAACCACTCTAGTCAACTGTATCGTAACCCCTGAAAGAAGTTATTTTTTTTCATTTGCAGGAAGTCGAGAAGCTGCATTTGTCTACTCAATATCGTCAGCGGGAGTTGTCCATGCTATAACTCGTGCCTGTAGTAAAGGCGATCTTCTTCATTGTGCCTGTGACCCCACAAAGAGAGGTAGCAGCAAGGATTCTAGGGGAGAGTTCGATTGGGGAGGTTGTTCAGATAACGTTAGGTTCGGAAGTCATTTTGCTCGAATGTTTGTTGATGCTAAAGAAAGAAAAGTAAGAGATGCCAGAGCATTGATGAATCTTCACAACAACAGAGCTGGGAGACGGGTAAGACTCTAAATTATAGCTCGTAATGATAATCGTGCAATCATCCATTGGATAAGTGGCAGGCGGGTGCTGTTTGGAGTCAGGAACTGAACTTTAATCCTTGCAGGAGAGCTTTTTCTGGTATCGCGTAATGTAGCTGGGTGGCTCGGCGAGTATATTGCTGGGGCTCACTAACCAGATGTTCCCGAGGCTCTGTCCAGTCTGGCTTGCCCTTGTCAGCGACGCTGGGTCTGGCAAGGAAACACGTCCCGGTTTTTGGACGGATGACATGAAAAACCAAGATGCCGTATATGGCAGCACGATAAAGAATCCCTGACGGAAGCTCGATGAGTTTTAACCTCGGGGTTTCCATCCTCTTTCCCCTGTCAGTCATGCAAGACAGAGGTCCTGCCGCAGACAAGCGTCCCGTGTATACCATTCCAGGCGCGTTAAAGACCCCTTTACAGTTGGAGATCGACACAAGAGTAGACCAGAACGCCGCTGTCCGTCAAAATTTTCACCATAGCACACTGTATGGCTTAGACCCGTCTTTATTAGATTAGAATGCTTGATGTTGAAGCGATGTTAACCGCCATTTCATTTCTATTGGAATTTAAATTCTTACTACTGTGCTCACCTTATATTGTATCCTTTACACAAATATAAGGGGGTTGGATAGCCGAATGGTTAGCACGTACGCGCTGTATCATAAGGTCTGTCATTGAGTCAACTGGCGTGGTTTCGATTCCCTGGTTGTACGTGACAAGGAGTAGGGTCGCCTGTTCCACCTTGTGGGTTTTCTCCGGGTCCCCCCCACTGCTAAAGACCCCTACGCGCAAGCGAATTATTGAAATAAATTTGAACCATATGTTACTCCCGAAATTACCTAGTTTATGTCGAGTGGACGTTATCCCCCCCCCCCCTCTCTGTCTCTCTCTCTTTTACACAAATATACTGTTAAATACCTGATCATCACATACATGTATAGTTGTGGGTTTAATTGCGAGAACTGATTTTTTGCCAGGTAGTCTGAAATACAGCATCATAGATTCTTATGGTGTTTTACTGAAGCTGTCTGTAAATCAGCAGGTGTTATACTGTAAAAACATTAAAACATGTTACATCTAATTAACTACACCTCTCTCTATTATCATTATATATGAGATATTTGACATGGGAATCTTCTACGCATGTTATCTTTAAAGTTTGCTCGATTCAGACGTTCTCGCTGGTATGGACAGAGATTGGCACCAATATTAGTGACATTAACATAAACGTTTAGGTATTCGATATGACTTGTCCCATGCTGAGATTTCTACCAGTTTCTGTAAGTCTGACCTATGTTCTCCTATTTCTTCCAGGCAGTAAAAAGATTCCGGAAACTTGAGTGTAAATGTCATGGAGTGAGTGGATCGTGTACTATAAGAACCTGCTGGTTAGCTATGCAGGAATTTCGCCGGGTCGGGGACTACTTAAAACTCAAATATAATGGTGCTACCCAGATCATGATTAACCAGGCGGGCACTGGATTAATCGTGGCTAACAGAAATCATAAACGCCCCACTCGTTCTGATCTGGTTTATTTTGAAACATCGCCGGATTACTGTATAAAAGATATTGAAATTGGTAAGTATGGCATTCCTCCGCGTGGTAACACAATGGTCATTAAATTTGAACTCAAGCTGCACTCAATTTGCACTCAATTTCGCACCTAATCTATTATCTATGGAAGCGATTCTCTCTTCACTTCCTTGTGTTCTGATCTGGCCCTGGGTTTACAAAGCATTCTCAGACTTAAGTTAAGAATTTATTCAACTTTCAATCACTGTTTATGAGAAATATCTTTGATCACATAAATTTTATAAAGCGCTATTTTTTTTAGTTAAAATAAGGCGAAAAGTTTTGAGTAAATTCTTAACTCAAGTCTAAGAATGTTTTGTGAACTTTGGGCCTGGTTGATTTTTAAACATCGCCGGATTTCTGTAGAAAAGATATTGAAATTAGAAAGTATGACACTGAGTGGTATTACAATGGGCATTAAATTTGCACACAATTTCAAATCGACTCGTGAAATTCATAATTGCCTACTATCGATAAATTGTGATTCATTTCATAACATCGTGAAGTGGTTGCTACATACCGTAATAAAATAAAACCAAATTCAAATCGATTTGTGAAATGCATAATGGCTCATATATCGATAAATTGTGATTCATTTCATATATAACATCGTGTAATGGTTGCTACGTACGGCAATAAACCAATTCTGTGAATATTTGAAATTTCCAAAATTTAAACCTATGGATATCAGCATATTAAATTTGATTTCGAATTTACAAAAGCAATGCGAATCATAAAAAATAAATAAAAAAAATATTCAACCATGTAGTGTGAACCGGCATCTCATGATTTTGGATAACCATGTCTGTCCAATTTGTCTAATTTCATTTTTCTGGGTCCGATTTTAAAACCCATCATGGCCTGATTTCAATAACAAGATTAATCATTAATTCATCCAAAAAACATCGGCTAAGGGTAGTGAGGGGTAACGTACACGAGGAAGGGTAGGCTGCCATTTTCCTCGTCCTTTTTTTTAGTACACCAATATCTCGTTTGTAATGAAATTTCACCCAGATAACAATATCCGTTGTATTTTTATCCATACAGATATAATTTCGGGACGTTAATAATTTCATATTCTCCGGTGGTCTGCGGCTGAAATGACAAGATATGTTATTTATCAATAGAGATTTCAAATTCTTAAAATATCTGTCAGCTTTATATGAAATAATATAGAAAATGGTGTAAGATAAGTCTTGAATATACACCTTTCATAAATGAGATATTTCAATATGATAACGCCTGCCATCTTGTCTACGAACGTCTGTTTTAGTAATTTGAACCAAGTAAATATTTATATAAATTAGTAGTATACTAGCTGTATTCACGCACTTGTCACCCCTATAACTATATCAAAACATCCCACGTGACAGTGATTGACAGTTGAAAGCGTATATGACATTATAAGACATATAATCAGGGGTTAATTTAACTTAAGATCTTTTTAAGTCAAAAATGACGGACAATCTAAACGTTGTTATTATTATATCGCCTTAATTGGAATATTTTGATTTACCAAGCTGTGTTTAACTTTTGATATAAAAAGGAAAACAAATAATTATCGGCATAGACAACCCCCTACTCCGAAAATTAACAAAATGAAATTAAATGGGGTTTAACGTCCTACGTTCCTGTGCCAACGGGGATAATAAAGACGTCATACACTGCATGCAATGTTCTGTGACGGACATTTTGTCTCGACAGCGGTGCTACGGCCTACTCTTATGTTCGTCCCATCTGAACGACTAGACATTGTTCCTTACCAAGGGAGGGGGGGGGGGGGGTGGATGGCTGAATGGTTAGCGTGCGCGCGCTGTATCATAAAGTCTGTCATTGAGTCGACTGGCGTGGTTTCGAATCCCCGGTTGTACGTGGCAAGGAGTAGGGTCGCCTGTCCAACCTCGTGGGTTTTCTCCGGGGCCTCCGGTTTCCTCCCACTGCTAAAGACCCCTACGCGCAAGCGAATTATGTAAATAAAATTAAAAACCATATGTTAGTCCCGAAATGACCTAGTTTGTGTCGAGTGGACGTTAAACCCCATTTCTCTCTCTCTCTCTCCTTGCCAAGGCCTTCTGTCCTGCAGCACTGACAAGGAGAAACCACGCTTGAAAAATCCCGGGGAACTTTCTCGACCCACAGCGGATCCCCTGGTTAATGAGCCGCTGCTATACCCACTGAGCAATCTGATTAAAACACAGATCCTATTTCGTTTCTTTTTTTATAGTTCAAAATTTCGTTTTACTTGCCTTTACTACACTAGGATCTGGAAGAGTTGGCACGAAAAACCGAGGTCCCGTGTATACATTGAAATGCACATAAAAGACCCCTTGGCAGTTAGAATTCGATATAAGAGTAAACCGTAGAGTAGTACTACACTAGTAGTAGTAGTTAGTTGTATTTTACGTCCGCTTCCACCGAGGTGATATCGCAGACAAGTACTACACTAGGATCTGGAAGGGTTGTTATATTACCGGCATTTTGGATGAAGTGAGGTATTAGCCAATGAAACGGTTTGTTACGGCAACTTCTTCGCGTGCCATACACGGAACTGTGAGTAGGCTAAACCACTAGAAACGTCAACGCTGACTGATTAATCAATGTCTGACGCCATAGGGTCAAAAGCCGCTGGTACGACCTCTGACACGACCTTTGAGTACAACTTGTTAGATCTTCATGCAGTGTAGCCCATCGAAAGTATAAAAAACCGAAACGAAATATGTCTGTATTTTAATCAGGTTGGCCCACTGAGTAACTGCGGCTCCTCAAAATTAACAAAATTTGCAATAATTTAAATTGTAATCTTATACGAGTATTCACATTTATAATAGAAAATGGTGCACACTGGTATCTGTGTATGGTTCCCATCATTTTTTCTTTCATGTGAAATATAAATTAGAAAACGCTTTTCAAATATGTGAACACTTAATGACCTTTGAAGTAAAACTTTTGAGGCATTTGTATGTATGTGTGTACAATATGTGAATGGCCTGTGCGAAAAAAACCCCCTAACAAACAGATGAACAAAATGTTATCGTCAAACATTACCCATATAGATGTACTGCATGAGAAAATTAAATTTGATTTTTTCATAGAAATTCTATAAAATTGTTGCTTCTGGCTAGTTGTATTATTCAATCTTAAGTTTTTTGTGAATTTATAATGTAATTGAAAAATCGTTCTTGAAATTAAATATTTCTTTGTTGAATGTGCAATTACATAGCTGAGTTGAACTGTGTCGCACGGTTGCTAAACGTACTTTCAAAAACAGGAGTGTTATTGATAACACTAATTTAACAATAATATTTATTGTAACAAGATGAGATAATCTGAAGAATGCTGTTTATATTTAAATTCAAGACGATGGTCCACAAAATATTTCTCCATTACCTTAAACCCATTTATGCACATAGTATCTCAATGCGCGGGATAAATCTGTATGGATCATGTTATGCCGCAAGGTTCCATATTAGGGTCTTTATTATTCTAATACTTGTCATTGCTCTATATAATCTAAACATAATTTTCAATATAACACTCGTGTAAATTGTAATAACTCCTTTATTTTACAATTCTTATTCGATAGGTTCTCTAATTCTTGGCAGTGTTCTTGGCTATAATTTTCGTTATAGCGCTTGTGTACAATTTTAATAATCTGATCGTAATTATTTCTTTATCTTTGGCAGGTTCTCTTGGAACAGCAGGTAGAGTTTGTAAGAAGGGTTCTCTGGGAACTGACGGTTGTGATATTATGTGTTGTGGTAGAGGTTATGATACCAAAACTGAGAGAAAATTAGAACAATGTGAATGTAAATTTCATTGGTGCTGTCTTGTTAAGTGTAAAGAATGTTCACGGATTGTTGACGTCCATACCTGTAAGGGAACTCTTTCTTCATCTCCGTCTTTTGTCTCTTCTTCATCTTCTACAACGGAAAAAATAGAGAGTCAAAATCGACGGCAAAAGTGAACTTTATAACTTGGAGATCATCAATTATGAAACATTAATAACATAGCAGAAATTATTCGACTTATGTGGGAAAAGTTAAAGCGCCAGTACTAGCTATATGTGGATATCGCAAGATGGAGATTACGATGTGAATTGGTTTTTTTTTCGTCGTCAACTAAACGAATATGATGATGTAGTAGGTCGAATTAATGTGACCTGATGAACTTGAAACTGTGTCTTGTCCAGAAATGGTGTCGATTGTTTGTCGCGCATCATTCGATTACATAATAATAATATAAAGAAACAAGCTGATTAAAACACAGAATCTATTTCGTTTCGTTTTTTTAAAGTTTAAAATTTCGTTTTATTTTTCTGTACTATACTAGGATCTGGAAGAGTTGTTACATAACCTGCGTTCTGGATGGCGTGAGGGATTAGCTCGCAACTGTAGTTAAACCATTAGAAACGTCAACGCTGATTTATTAATCGTACGGTCCCCGACATGACCTTCCAGTACAACTGGACAGATCTTCATGTAGTATAAAAAAAAAACGAAACGAAATATAGATCTGTATTTAAAATGATCGTTATTTAGATTATGTTGAATAAATTAATTTAGTTTATAAATATGCCAGTGTAATTGCCTGTTCTTTTTTTATCCATTGAGTGTTTGTGAGGGATTTTAATTTCAGATATGTAATGGGCTTTTTTCCTCATTCGTCTGATTTTTAATACGGTATTTGAACTTGTAACGCAATGGGGAGCCGCGGTTGCTCAGTGAGTAAGGCTCTAGGAGGTCTTTGATTCGCTCCCGGTGTTAACCAGGGCAATTTCTCGGGATATTTTTGGTGTGGTTTCTCCTTATCAGTGGTGCAGGACGAGGTGCCAAAACCCGAGGTCTGTGTACAGATTGGCGTGTACATGAACTCTTGATAGTAGGAACTCGAAATAAGAGTAGGCCGTAGCGCCACTATCCCGGCAAAATACATGGTATATGTCAATCTGGTTAAAACACAGATCCTATTTCGTTTCATCTCTTACAGGCGTTCTGATTGATGTGAGGAATTAGCCAATGAAACGTTCTGTTACGGTACGGCGAGTTCTTGGCGTGCTCTGCACGGAACTGTGGGTATACCCATAGAAAGGTCAACGATGATTGATTAAGGCGACCTCCTAGTACAACTGGTCAGATATTCATGCAGTGTAGGCCATCGAAAGTATAAAAAAACGAAACGAAATATAGATCTGTATTTTAATCAGATTGGTTGTATGCCAGTCTTCATTAGCCCAGTAGGTGGTCAAAAGTAAGACATTAAACTCAATACTTCACACCAGCCTCTACACTTACACATCTAAAGTGGTCCTTAGGTTTAAATTGTGCTACTACCAACCAATGAAATGTATTCTATTATTAACCCGTTTCACAAATTGGAATTTGTCAAGAGTTGTAATATGCTATTATCCAACAGTCCGTAATTTTGTCATAAACTATTATCAACCAGTCCCTAAATTTGTAATGTGCTGTTACCCAACAGAACAGTCCTTACAGTTGTAATGTGAAATTATCTACTAGTTCATAATGTGCTAATCCTTTACGGGCATTTAGTAACTGGACAGAGCAATAAACTACTATACATAATTACTAATTTATTTTTTGAGGTTTCGAAGAGTATTCACTCAATGTTTGGTTGGGCGATTGATTCGGGTGAACTTCAAACCTCTGGATATTAGTGCGATCCTGTGGTAATCTGTTAGATAAAGCGGCTGTTAACGGTCTTAGAAAGGAACTCTGATTTCTCTGCCTTGGTTGTTGTGTGGGATTTGGGAATGGTTTTAAGTTGGTCGAACTTCTTAACATGGTTGGATTGAGTTGTCTGTCTGGGGTAGGAACTTAAAGCTACCTGAAAACTTTGAGAGAATACTCTTTGAAACGTCGCCAAAATCAGTTAGTAATTGTAATGTGCTATGACAGTGTGTGGGAGCCATAGTGGATAAGTGAGTAAGACGCTGGCTCCCTAGCCTGGAGGTCTCGGGTTCGCTCCCGGTGTCTGAGAAAGATCATCGGGATTTTCCGGCGTGGTCCCCCCTTGACATGGATGCAGGACGGAATGTCTGACAAGGACAGCTGTCTAGTCGTTCGGATGGGAATGAAAAACCGAGGTGTGCACATAAAAAGATCCTTTGGCAGTTGGAATTTCGTTACATAAGAAAAGGTCATAGTGCCGCTGCCCGGGCAAAACTTTCCTCGTAGCACACTGCATGGCGTATGCCCGTCTTCATTAACCCAGTCGGAGCAAAAGAGTAGGCCGTTAAACCCCATTTCATTTGATATCTACAATTCCAACACGTGGCTCTTCGCCAGTTCATAGATTCCAAGTATATTACGCGACCTTATAAATTTTTTGAATTATTTGAAAGTTATTTGTATATACCCGAGTCAATCAGTGTTGTTAACAAGGTCTACGCCTATATGAAATTACAATGGCCCACCCTTAAAGTGATAACAGTGGTTGAATTTGATCTAGGGATTTAATCAATAACCACACGCTACTTATATTACTGCACGGGATACTTGATTCGCTGGAGGTTAATTGAGTATCAATATTACCTGCCCGTTTACACCTTTGTTACTGGAGCCGACACCTGATTAACTTATATTACATATCATTCCACTTAACCACTTCAAAGACACCGACAGTCGACCTACCTGTCCATCATGGCATGAATAGAAAGAATAATATTGACATAGCATATTACTACCTGAGCCATCAACAAATTCACCCAATATAATAAATGTCTGGGCATAACTCTGATTAAAAACACACACGGTTTATTATCAGCAATTATTGCCTATTATAAATTGTAGGGAGAAATTCTCAGACTTTAATTTCCTAGCTCAAGTCTGTGTCAATAAACTTGAATGGCGGAGAAACTGAATATTTATATCAACAAATATCTCAATGAATTAAATATTTCCAACCCTTTTCACTTGTTATTTGTAAAACATCTTAGTGGAACTTGGTTTAATATGGCTGACGAAATAAATTAATGAAAATAAAACTTCCCCATCTCAATCCCTTTGATAAACTGTATACAGTTATTAAAGAAATGAAAAAATGAAGACGGGTCTACACCATGCATTGTACTATGGGGGAAATTTTGCTGGGTGAGCCAGTGTGTAGGGCGTTGGCTTTCTAACCTGGATGTACTGTGTCCTATCCCTGCGTTGGGAGTCAGTGGGGTTCAATGTGTAGGGCGTTGACTTGCTGACCTGGCGGTACTTTGTTCTATCCCTGCGTTGGGGGGGGGGGGGGCACTGTGGTGGGGCGTTGGCTTTCTAACCTGGAGATACTGTGTTCTATCCCTGCGTTGGCCGAAAAAGTTTAGTGGGATTTCCGCTGTGTATTAAAATACTTTCCTGCACAAATGGTCTTAATGAAGGTGAATCCCCGGTTGTACGTGAAAAGTCGAGTAGGGTCGCCTGTCCAACCTCGTGGGTTTTCTCCGGGTCCTCCCACTACTAAAGACCCCTACGCGCAAGCGAGTTATTGAAATAAAATTAAACCATATGTTAGTCCAGAAATGACCTAGTTTGTGTCAAGTGGACGTTAAACTCCATTTCTCTCTCTCTCTCCCATTCTCGGGTGTGCTATCAGATTTTTCTCTGACAGTGGTATTACACTATAAATACACTTCGTTTCCTCCATTTTCCGGTGTGCTATCAGAATTTTCTCTGACAGTGGCATTACACTATTAATACGCTTCGTTTCCTTTGTTTTCGTTCTGTTTTTAAGGTCTGTCTTTCATGTCATTGGTTGATTTTGTATGACAGAAGGTGAACCTCCGTTACTATTACAGGTCCATACTCGCTTGCATTTCAAGTCGATCACTTTGATACGGCTCCCATTCAAATCCAGACGGGAATGGTGCCAATCACGCTTAGAAGCAAATGGTACCATCAAATTTTAAGTCGATCACTTTGATAATGCTCCCAATTAAAATCCAGATGGGAATGGTGCCAATCAAGTTCAGAGATAAATGGTGCCATCAAATTTAGTGGTAAATGGGGCCAATCAAGTTTTCCAACTATTTATCAATTTTATAAACTCGTCAGGGGGTAAAGGGGTGGAGGGGGTTCTAACACGTGCAAGTCTGTCGTGGACTTAAGTGGCATGGGCTGGTACGTGACAAGGCGCAGGGTGGCCTCCTCAGCCTAGTCAGTTTTCTCCTGGTCCTCCTACTGTTACAATTATTATCTAGTAGCAAGATACCTGGCTTCGCCCGGGGCCCAAATTCACCTCGGGGGCCCAATTTACCCGGGGCCAAAATTCGCCAGGGCCCAAATTTGATGGCCTAAAACATTCACAGGGTCATGCTGGTTAATTTTATACCACATGTGGTGGGCCCAAGCCTTATTCACCCTGGACCCAAATTCGACGGCCTAAAACATTAGGGGTCTTTAGCAGTGGGAGGAAACCCTCGAGATTGGACAGGCAACCATACTCCTTGCCAGATACAACCAGGGAATCAATGACAGTTGACTCAATGACAGACCTTATGATACAACGTGCACATGCTAACCATCCAACCTCGTCCGAGATTAAGAAGACATTTAGTAGTAAACATGTTATTTTATAGTGTGTAATAACTAGGGTGATATTAACCAGATACTGTTATCACATATCAGAACCAGACACATATATCATACTACATCTTTATTACAAGTTATACTAGAAAAAACACCCCATTCATCAAGTTTGTTCAACAGTTTGTTCATTCTATCCTACTACGACAACATGTGATTTTGTAGATATATTACTGACATAAATTTGAATACCGTACGGGAATTAAATATGAGAAATAACGAGGCGCACCTATTTTTTTTATTAGATATGAATTTGAATATTTTGTTGACAAATGATTTTTAATTGTGGTCTGAAACCGCCTGCTTAAATAATGATAAGAATTATGCCCCTTTGTTTTCGTTTCAAATGTCCGACAAGACAAATTTTGAAATCCCGTCACTGGTTTGTTGAACCATGGCGGGTGCTATCTAACTCTTCTGTTGTAGTACTAGAAATCGGGTGCTCGTGGTAGTTGACTGGTCAGAACACTCTAACATCAACAAGAATGTGTCAGTTCGAATCCCGGCGTAGCTGACAGGGGTGGTTGACAAGCCTAGTCGTTCGGATTGGAAGAAAAAAGTCCATATGGGTAGACATTAAAGAACCCTTGCCAGTCGGAAATCGAAAAAGAGCAGCGGAAACGCTGTCTGGGGAAAATTAATAATCATTTTCAGAAATCTCCCTTTCTACCATATAAGCTGGGTTCGTGTTGGGTAGACATTAAAGAACCCTTGACAGTCGGAAATCGAAGAAGAGCAGCGGAAACGCTGTCTGGGGAAAATTAATAATCATTTTCAGAAATCCCCCTTTCTACCATATAAGCTGGGTTCGTGTTGCAGCGACAGAGCCACGGTGGCTAAGTGAGTAAGACGCTGGCTCGCTAGCCTGAGGTCATGGGCCCGATCCCCGAGTTGGCTGAGAAAAGTCATCAGGATTTTCTGGGTGGAATCTCCTTGTGGTGCAGGACGGAGGGCCTGACAAGGACAGTTGTCTAGTTGTTTGGATGGCACCAAAGTCCTGTGTCACATTGGTGTGGACATTAAAGATCCTTTGGCAGTTGGGATTCGATATAAGAGTAGGCCGTAGAGCCGATGTCTGGGCAAAATTTCCCTCTACACTCTGTATCGCGTACGTCCGTCTCCATTAGCCCAGTCGGAGCAGTATAAGACGTTTTATTTCATTTCGCTCTTGTTAGTAGTGCTCAAACTCAGGAGCGGATCCAACCCCCCTCCCCCCTCGGCTACATATTTTTTTTCGTAAAACAACACTTTTTATGAGAAAATTTTCTCGGCTGTGTGCTTTATTCTTTATCATCAGATGGTGGGATGGGATGGGCATTCAAAGCTCAAGAAAATGATATAGACATTGTGATATCACAATTAATGCATCAATGAAATTGAATCACAATGTCATCGTGTTAATTCATAATAAAAATTGACGTCAAACAGGATTTCTCCGTTTAAAAAGCTCAATGGGTATGTATATAGGCCAAAATGACGAAAGAGAGCATATATTTCTCAAAAAATTTCCAGGCCGGGGGTGTGTGCGTGCGTGTGTGTGTGAGAGAGATGCATTGTCTCAGGAACCTGGCAAACCCCTTCCTGCAAAAATTCCTGGATCCTCCCCTGAAACTGTTGCAAAATTTTTAAATATATTATGACCATATCTATAACGTATCTTTTGACAAAAATAAAAAACTCCGCTCGTCAGTCTAGTAGAACCCCTTATTAACTAATCACAGACTCTAAAACTGTTGTTTATTCAATAGGGAGAAAGAGAGAGAGAAATTGGGTTTCACGTCTACTCGACACAAACTAGGTTATTTCGGGACTAACACATGGTTCAATTTTATTTCAATAATTCGCTTGCGTGTAAGGGTCTTTAGCAGTGGGAGGAAACAGGAGGACCCGGAGAAAACCCACGAGGTTGGACAGGTGACCCTACTCATTGTCACGTACAACCGGGTATCGAAACCACGCCAGTTGACTCAATGACAGGCTTCATGATACAGCGCGCACGTGCTAACCACTCGACCATCCAACCCCCCAGATAAAAGAAGAACACAATGCTTTATAATGCTATTTAATAGTATGCGAATTCAGGAAAAATCAATGAAAAGAAAACTTGTTATTGCACATCATTGTTGATATTTTCATCTTTGCATATTAACATTTAATAAATAATATATAACATTAAAGATATAGCTTGAGATATAATAATAATAATAATAGAGATTTAGAAATAATAAACACATTTATGCCAATATACAGTTCACAATTCTATGGAATACAACCACTGCTTATAACTGAACGACTTAGACTAGGTTTCTCTAGTCATTATCAATAAATTCTATGGAATACAATTACTGCTTACTACACAGCGAGCTTTCTACTGGGATTTTTTAGTCTTATTATTGCAGACAATTGGAATAACAATTACTATGGTTTTTTTCACTGTGACGTTTCAACAAGATTTCACAAGTCGTTAGTGAAATCTTGTTGAAATGTCGCAGTGAAATAAACCATAGTGATTTATGTATTTCCAGTAACAAACAGTAATTGTATTCCACCGTGTCTTGTGTATTTCCAGTAACAAACAGTAATTGTATTTCATTGTGTCTTGTGTAGTTCCAGTAACAAACAGTAATTGTATTCCATCATGTCTTGTGTATTTCCAGTAACAAACAGTAATTGTATTTCATTGTGTCTTGTGTAGTTCCAGTAACAAACAGTAATTGTATTTCATTGTGTCTTGTGTATTTCCAGTAACAAACAGTAATTGTATTTCATTGTGTCTTGTGTATTTCCAGTAACAAACAGTAATTGTATTCCACCGTGTCTTGTGTATTTCCAGTAACAAACAGTAATTGTATTTCATTGTGTCTTGTGTATTTCCAGTAACAAACAGTAATTGTATTTCATTGTGTCTTGTGTATTTCCAGTAATTGTATTCCATTGTGACTTGTGTAGTTCCAGTTCAATTACTAAATGCCATTGAAACACAGCTTGTAAAACAATATTATAGATTAAGAAATAAAACCTATTTTCATATACGCTTAATGCAATATATCAGATTTAAAAATAACATGTATTTTTTGCTTGGTAACCCCCCATATATCCTAAAATCCAAGATAACAAATTTCTGTTTATAATTAATTAAGTACTGATTAGAAATAACATATTCAAATAATTTAATATACACCTTTTCATCTAAAAGCTTCTTTTATGAAACCCAAATGTAATGTTGTAGAGTTTATAAAAAAACCAACAATACCCTTTATTTACATGTAGTTATAATAAGGGTTTTACGCCCCGCTCCGTTTCCCAACACCATTCAGAGTTTATGTCCTTATATAAGATTGATTTGAAGCAGAAAATTTTAAACCATAAACCAATGATCAGTTAACATAACACGGAGATATTTCCAAGTTTCCACGGAAACAATTATCTGTGATATCACCCAAGATGGAAGTGGATGTAAATCTCCAGTTAGTAGTAGAAATATTTCCTGGTTTATCACACCTTACACCTTGGTTTATCACACCTTACACCTTGGTTTATCACACCTTACACCTTACAAGAGAGAGAGAGAGAGATTAACCTCCACTCGACACAAACTAGGTCATTTTGGGACTAACATATGATTCAATTTTATTTCAATAATCTGCTTGCGCCTGGGGGTCTTTAGCAGTGGGAGGAAACCGGAGGACCCAGAGAAAACCCACGAGGTTGGACAGGTGATCCTACTCCTTGTCATGTACAACCAGGGAATCAACCATACAAATGATATGAGCGGCTTTAATATAGAAATACTTCAACTGTATCAGTAAATAGATACACGGAATAAATATTTGTATTATAATAACAGTAATTAATAACATTTAATATTATAGATTAAACATACATTATGTAAGAGTTAAATTTGCCTATTTCAAGACTTTCTTTAGGCCTGAAATATTATATAAACCATTAACTAGACATTTATTAAACATACATTATGTAAGAGCTAAATCTGCCTATCTTTAGGCCGGAAATGTTATATAAACTATTAATTAGACATTTATTAACATGGCAAGACCATAATCAACTCTTGATGGCATCGGATACTCAAGATTTTAACTAGATTAGAAAGGTTCGCCATTTAAAAATGGGAAAGTGAGGCCAAGTCTCGAATATACCAGTGCCCTGGTTACAACAATGCACACATCTTGTCAAATCTACCAACAGTGATAACTTGGCTTCGAATGAAGTAATTTGAATGAAATTTTCAATATTTTCATTTTACATTATCTATTTTTGAACTATTATAGCAAGAATCGTCAGCTCTTTATCTAAATCTTACATAATGCATCTTTAACATGTCAAAGTTTAATTAATCTTCTGACAGATATATGACATTAAAGTGTGACTCTTTAATTGTAACAAAACATATAATTTTATTAATTTTTGTGACTATTTGGAATATACAGTAGCATGCAGTGAGGGAGGCAGAGGTGGTGATGGCCCATTCTGGTGGCATACAATCTAAGATTGTAATTTACATATTTAAAAAGGTCTTCTTTTCTCACATTTCTCCAAACCAGGCTCTAGGCATACATCATGGAGTTGACCCCTGGGCATCACCAAACATCAGCACGCTACTAGCAATATGCATTTTATTAGTTTTTGTGACAACCTTATTTTTGTAATTATTATTGTGACTACGCTAGCTATATATATTGTAAAATAGAAATTATTACAAATATATGTTTCTAACTATAAAAATTAAGGAATGTTTGTAACATTGACTATTAGTACTACCATAAATTGTAAGTTTTATAACAGGAATAATATATATATAAAAAGTATACACAATCTAGAAAAACAACCTGGCAATATTTCTCAATTACCCTGGATACGATAACAAAACAGAGTTTCACGATCGATGGCTATTTCGGACAATACCAAAATTTACACATCTTAATCCAAGCTCAAATTTATTTAAATTGAATATTTAACACTTCAAAAAACAAAACTGAAATTTCAACTATCAGCGACTTTAATGTTTAAATGAAGTTTTTTCTTGTTATCAAAAGGAATGATTCAAATTCATCGCTTGTATAATTATCCAACAGGGTTTGAAAAAAATCTGTGACCCCACTCCCAAATTAAATGCAGTTCATTCGTTTCAGGAGCTTATTTCATTGATGACTAAAAAAAGATTATTTTGATAAAGTAAAGGTTGATATCGCTACAAAATAAAGGATAAACATTGAAAATACAATTAAAATCACACCCTTGTGTACAAAGATTAATCAAAATCGATAAGAACATGTTTTTTTCTGATAAAAGTTCAATCTGATTAAAATACAGATCTATATTTCGTTTCATTTTTATAATTTCGATGACCTACAGTGGTCGTACAAGTGGCTTTTGACCCTATGATGTCAGACATTGATTAATTAACAAGCGTTGGCGTTTCTAGTGGTTTACCCACAGTTCCATGCATCGCACACCAAGAACACGGCGTAACAGACCGTTTCATTGACTAATCCCTCACTTCAACCATACATGTAACAACTCTTCCAGATCCTAGTGTAGTCAAGACAAGTAAAACGAAATTTTGAACTATAAAAAATGAAACGAAATAGGATCTGTGTTTTAATCAGATTGGTATTCTTAGTTCAGTTTAAATTTTCATGAGTAGGGGTCCAGGTTCATTGTTATGATAAGAATAACTGGAATAAGTTTGATTAATATATTAATATCACCATATATTTACTGTAATAACAGATCAATACAAATAAACAGTTATACAAAGTAAAATCAACAAAAACAGGAATGTTATTATAATGGTCATGGCTTACTTTATCTTGCCTTTTAATGTTATTATAATGGTCATGACTTACTTTATCTTGCCTTTTAATGTTATTATAATGGTCATGACTTAGTTTATCTTGCCTTTTAATGTTATTATAATGGTCATGGCTAACTTAATCTTGCCATTTTTTAATACTTGAGTTATAATTATATTGGAGACATCTATGATTCTGTCATAATATCAAATACTGTTTCCTATAAACACGACAACAACCTGCTAAATATATTATCATACATTCATTTATAATTTTCTTAATGAACGACTGTCTTTTTGTTAAATGACATTAAGAAGTAGAGGTATATATCGTTAATGGATTTACTATTTCTACGTTTATTTGATGCAACATCTCAATATTCTAAATGAGTCGATTGTGTTATTTCAAGGTGTTGTTTTATTTGTTAATATCCATTTTTGAAACAGGAAGTGAGCCATGTGTGTTACTTATCTTATTCTCGTCATTGTGCTTCTTCTTCGAGGACACGCTCTTTAAAAAAAAACCTAAGGCTCCGTCAATGAAACTTGACATGCTTATTCCTTAGGCAATTGCACATGGATTAAGAGACTTCACTTTTTGATAGGACGTCGTAATTCCAAGATGGCGGGATGACGTCATGCTCATACATTTTTTATTCACTACTCGATAAAGATACCTGTACGAGTATTGAAGCGTTGCATGAAATAAATGAAGTAGTAGTGAGTCCATAAAATTATGGATGTTTTAATTTAGGATTGTTTTCATTTTTCTATTAATAAATGTCTTAATATTGTATTAATGATTGTCCATTTGAGTGACAGAATAAACATCATAGTTATTTATTTAAAGTACGCATTAAACTTAAATTATTACTGAAAAAAATCAGAGAGACAGATTATCAACGTAAACCAACAAAAAAATATATAAATAAAAAAAAACGAGATTCAACAAACAAAAATTATATAAAAAAAAAACAATAAAGATATCGTAACATAATTCATTCATAGGATTTCTTTATATTCAACAATAATTCTGTTTAGAGACAGAATCCAATCACTGAATGATAAACACACTATCGATTTAAATAACACATTTTTTATGGAATAACAATTACTATGGGAGCCACGGTGGCTAGGTGGTTAAGACGCTGGCTCGCTAGCCTGGAGGTCGGGTGTTCGATCTAGATTTTCCGACGTGGTTTCCCCTTGTCAGTGGTGCAGAACGCAGGACCTGACAAGGACAGCTGTCTAGTCCTTAGGGTGAGACGAAAAACCGAGGTCCAGTGTATATATTGGAATGCACGTAAAAGATCCCCTGGCAGTTGGAATTCGATATAAGAGTAGGCGATAGTGCCGCTGCCCGGGCAAAATTTCCCTCATAGCACACTGTATGGCGTATGCCCGTCTTCATTAGCCCAGTAGGAGCAGAACGGTAGGACGTTAAACCCCATTTCATTTCATTTCATTTCAACAATTACTATGGTTTAATACACTGCAATGTTTCAACAAGATTCCACAAGTCGTTATCAAGCATATATACAAATTCTATTTTATGTATTTGTGTATATGCTTGATAACGACTTGTGAAATCTTCTTCAAACATCACACGGAAATAAACCATAGTAATGGTTATTCCATAAAAAGTGTGTAATTTAAATATGTCCCAATTATTAAATGTCATGTAAAGAACACTATCGATTCATTTATAATTGTGTTGTTTTTTGTCTTCAAAATTCATGAACTGTAAAAAATGTTTCTTTAATAGATGAAACACATAATCATTAAGAATAAGAATTAATGATTAATATTCTAATTAATATTCCTAATTAATAAAGATGGTAGAAGATGAAATTTATCTGTTAATAGCACATTTCTACGGTACTACTACTATGTCTACTTATGTAAAAACCTAAATAATAATTTGCATATTAAACAAACAACACTGAATGTTAGTCTAATTTATAAAGAAAAGGGGGGCGCTAGAAAGTAGTAGAACATGTACAAGGGATATTTGCATAATTAATTAATATCTTTCTACTTATCTAGATAACATACATATATCATTTATTAATAAAAACTTGTTATTTTAACTGATCCGATTTTATATCATTTTTATAATTAACCTACACTCGATATTTGAAATGATCCAATTTTATATCATTTTTATAATTAAACTGCATTCGATATTTTAACTGATTCGATTTTATATCATGTTAATAATTAACGTCCACTCGATATAAACTATGTCATTTCTGGACTAACACATGGTTCAATTTAATTTCAATAATATACTTGCTTGTAAGGGTCTTTAGCTATGGAGAAACAGATGAGGCTGGACAAATGATCCTACTCCTTGTCAGGTACAAGGTTGGGATCGAACCCACACCACTTGACTCAATGACAGACCTTATGATCTATAGGTTAAACCACTGGACAATCCACTCTCACTCTATATTATTTGCCACATTTAGTTAGATTTCATAATTACTGACTACCAATATAAAACTATTTCCAATTGCAATTTAATCTAGTGCTTTCACATCAACATGTTTACCTCGGATTAGCTAGGGGATCATGGTGGCTAAGTGGGTAAGACGCTGGTTCACTAGCCTTGAGGTCGGGTGTTCGATCCCTGCATTGGCCAAGAAAGTTCATTCAGATTTTCCGGCGTGGTTTCCCCTTGTCAGTGATGCAGGATGGAGAGCCTGACAAGGACAGCTGTCTAGTCATTTGGATGGGACGAAAAACCGAGGTCCTGTGTACACATTGGCGTGCACGTAAAAGATCCCTTGGCAGTTGGAATTCGATATAAGAGTAGGCCATAGTCAAGCTGCCCTGGCAAAATTTCCCTCATAGCACACTGCCCAGTCGGAGCAGAACAGTAGGACATTAAACCCCATTTCATTTCATTTTATTTCAGATTAGCTAGATGTTTTTTTTCCCAAAGAATGTTACGATTTTTAGTATGATAGTAATAGTCTATTTATATTGCACAATATTGATACACGAGCATACTCAATGCACAGTCCAAGCCCCGGTTTCACAAATCATTCTTGGACTTAACTTAAGAATTTACTCAAAATTGTTCGCCTTATTTTAACTAAAAGATAGCCCTTTATAAAACTTTTGTTGTTTTAATGTATCGAATAAGATCAACTCTGTTTATTAATTAAGGTTAAATTCTTTGAAATTCTAATCGCATGACATGTAAATTGATTAAACATAAATTATACAAGAGCTAAATCTGTCTATTGCAGGTCTTACTTTATGCCTGAAATGTTATATAAATTATCAATTAGACATTAATTAACTAACAAAAACCATAATCAACTCTTGATGCCATCGAATACTCTAGATTTTCAATAGATTTAAACACGATTTGCGGTTAATGATTTAACGTAAAAATGGATAGTCAATACTTTGTTTGTTATCTTAACAACAGTAGCAATGACAATCGAGGCAACATTGTTTTTGTAACTGCGATAACTCGACTCAGAGTGAAGTAATTTGACTGAAATTTTCAGCATATTCCCTTTTCATTATCTATTTTTTAACTATTATAGCGAGAACTGTCAGCTCTTTGTCTAATCTTACCTAATGTCCCTTTAAGTTCTTCAGTCAGTCAATTTCACTGGCTGTCAATCAAGATGGGTAAATACGACTCAAACAAGAAGACTGGTCAAATTCGATCCCCCTCCACCCCATGGTCCAAATCAGGCAATAATGGATATTTTCACATAATAATTTTGATATTAACATCAAATCAGTTAAAATAAGTCAATTTTAAGGTTTGATTTGTGTAACTAAAACTAGTAGTATTCTATATATAGCTTGACACAATTATTACTGATATATATATAGTATATCTAATAGACTAATATCTTACTGTGTTTATTTACATATGCATATAACAATAATACTTATTCTACACTAATTATTTGAAATTTAACTAAAAGGTTAAAGGTTAATAATTCATGACCCATACATTCATTTGTTCTAATACTAGCATTTATAATCATCATAAAATTTTCTACTAAGGGGAGACAACTGTGAATACAAGAAACGTTAAAGGAGCAGTTATTAATGAAAGGGGGGGGGGGGGAAATATCACACAATGTTTATATATATCATAACGTATCATCACAATCCACTAACAAAAAAAAATCCCCAAAAATATTTACACTAACCACATTATTCCAGGAAATAAAAACAAGTTTTAGGACATTTTTTTTTCAATCTGGGAAACTATACAAGGACATATTTATTTATACATTTGTCGTAATAAACGTACGATAACTATTTATAAAATATGAACAAAAGGTCGATGATAAATATATTTAATGTATTAACAAGGAAAAGGAATACCGTTTTTTATTGGTTATTCTCTACAAAAAAAAAATTAATACATGATTTTCTTTTAGCTTTATACATTCATGAATTTTATTTAAAAAAAAAAAAAATTAACCCCCAAAAAGCCAACAGTGAGACTGATGTCCCCGGATTCAATCGAAAATACATGGTATTCATTAATTAATTGCTCATTTATCTTTTTGTAAAGAATCCAGCAATGGAATGGCTTATCACTTTGCTTAATCTAAGCAGAAAATGCTAATCACTCTCACTCAATTTGAATCAGAGTTATTGTATTCGAAAATTGGGACAAAAAATCGAAAAAAAAAAAAGAAAAAAAAAGCCATTGACGAGCCGTTGATATGATAGATAATTTAACATTTTTAATTTGTAATCTTAGCAACAGAGCATCTTAACCCCTTTCACTACCAAATTCCTGTTCTTTTCGCTGGGCACCAAGAAGTCTCCGGGGAATCGGAAAGGCTATTATCTAAAATATCCTCGCTTTTAGTTCCTGTTGTGCCACTATCTATTGCATGGCTGTCCAACATCTGGGTGTAAAGTCATATTATGGATACGACGTCACTGCCAGAAATTTGGTAGTCATGCTTAAGGGGTTAATGGGGGCACATCAAAGCTCAGTAAAATAAGTTAAATGATTAACAGATTGATGCGAATGATGAGGACCATAAACAAAGCGTCCCTTAAAACCATAAAATAAAAAAAATCAACAACCAATGAAATTATTACATGCTGTATGGTGTCTTAATCTGATTCCTCTCCGCTGGTATTACTTGTAGCTTTTCCTAGGAATGTCGTTCTACTACTGCTCTCAGATTGTGTCACAGATTGGGTTGCTTCTTCAACCTACAACATAATAAATAACACTTATGTTATTAGCTGGCTAAGTGGGTAAGATGCTGGCTCGCTAACCTGGAGGTCGCGTGTTAGATCCCTGCAATGGGCGAGAAAGTTCATCAGGATTTTCCGACGTGGTTTCCCCTTGTCAGTGGGGAAGACCCGACAAGGACAGCGGTTTAGTCGTTTGGATTAAATATATTTAAACCTAATGTAACTCTGTCGCTTAAATGACTTCTAAGGAGGATATATCATAGAATAGTTTTTTTGGAAAGAAAAGAGAGGGATAGAAATGGGGTTTGATGTCCACTCGACACAAAACTAGGGCATTTCAGGACTAACATATGCTTCAATTTTATTTCAATATTTCATTTACGCGTGTAGGGTTCTTTTAGCAATGGAAGGAAAAGCGAACGACCCAGAGAAAACCCAAGAGGTGGGACAGGCGACTCTACTCCTTGTCACGTACAAGTGGTGAATTAAAACCACGCCACTTGACTCAATGACAGACCTTATGATTCAACGCGCACATATTAACCATTTGACCATCCAACCAGCCCTCTTGAAAGAAAAAAGGTAGCAATGTCATATTGAGACTAATACCCCTGTCAGACCGGGGTGGCGTCCTTACTGCACTGTTACAGCGATGAAAATTGGTTTTAGAGCGCGTCATAGCATATGCTTGTCTTCATTAGCCCAGTCGTAACAGAACAGTAGGAGGTTAAACTCCATTTCATGTCAAAGAAAGTACGTAAGTATAATTACCTGTAAGCGACTACATATGGTTTGATAAGTCTTACTATTCAACGAGTTTTCAGGTACACCATGCAGTTCAAAATCACTATAACATTTCTAGAAAATTAAAACAAAAATATTACTCAATACTATTTTGTAATTTTGTCAGTTACCATCTGGGCGGTGATGACGATAGTTGTCTTATTTATCCCCTCCCATCACTACTTTCGACAGCCATCCAAAGTATTACAATACAGTTAATTAATTTAACACATCATACGATTATAATTCTTGAGTGGGATTTAGTGATTGAGCACAATAAAAAATACAACACAATTGGAAAACAATCACTGGTTCATACAAATATAGCACCACGTTTCAATATGTGTTCTCTTATCATTATCAAAAGAGAGAGAGAGAGAGAGTGAGTTTAACATCCACTTGACACAAACTAGGCCATTTCAGCACCAACATATGGTTCAATTTTATTTCAATATTTCGCTTGCGCATAGGGTTCTTTAGCAGTGGGAGGAAACCAGAGGATCTGGAGAAAACCCACGAGGTTGGACGGACGACCCTACTCCTTGTCATGTACAACCGGGGAATTGAAACCCCGCCAGTTGACTCAATGACAAACCTTACGATACAGCGCCCATGCGCTAACCATTCGGCCATTCAACCCCCCTATCGTTATCAAGAACAAGTTTAAACCAGTGATTGTTTTCTATATAAATTGTGTTGTATTTTTATATCATAAAATTAATTCAACTTACTCTATTTATATTCATTAAACATTTGAGTTGATAAGGGTGTAAAGATAGATCTAATCTATCGGTCAACCAATCACACATCATCTTCATCTGTCCTGTATACCATTCCTCAAACATAGATAACGTATACAACTCATCTGTTATCTTCTGTCGTAACTGATCCAAGTTACATCTCATAAAATCAACATAGGCTTTACCCAGCTCATTGACAGGTTTCTGAAATAATACAATAACATGACCAAAACATAATCTAAATTCCCTTGTAACATGGACTCAAAATCTTCCATTGTTCTTTTCGTTGAATAAGCAGATTGTTTTCCCTCTAGTGGATTGGGTGGAGCTTAACCGTGCAATAACTAGACATGTTTAATGTTATTGCACATTTTTGCTTGTTTACGCCAGTTTTAGTAGAAATCATATAGAGAAGTGGGATGGGTTTTCTGTGCATAACAACGAGCATGTTCAGTGGTTGTCAATTTTACGAGTCATTTATAGCACGCTTCATTTGTTAACAGGTTTAACACCTTGGCCTACAGCCTCTGGTCAAACCTGTTAACTCATTAAAGCCGCATTCTAAATATAACTCAATTCATAGCACCATGGGCTTCCACATTGAAATTTTGACTTTCGGTCATTTTTGATAATACACAGAAACTTTGCTAACTAAACTTATATTACATGTTTTTTATTTATAGTACAGTATCGTGAATTCACGTGTCAGTAATTATTTAATAATGAAATAGTTCCTTCCTCAAACCGCACCAGATCTGTGAATAGCTTTCCAACCGTTTACTAGATTACTGTGCACGTGATGGGGTGGTTAGGGGCGGTCTAAGTGCTAAAGGTTTAATAACATAGAGACTGTGAACTATTGAATAGAAATTTCAGTCTGTGACAACAATATATACTCACTGTTAAAGATAGTATGGAAGCAAAAAAAGTTCCTTCGTCATAACGGGCTAGTTTACTTAATACAGCTTCCAATACCGTTAATAACTGTAATTTAAATAGAAATATTTATTCCACTGTAATATAATTCATATTTCAAGTGAGACACAAACTGTTTAAAGTGTCAATACAACCCAGGATAATTTGTCATCATAAATCAGTTTTTAATCATACTTATTGTGGAATATTTACATATTAATTCAGAAATTCTAACAATACTTGAAATATTCTTGAATAATACCCATTGTTTATCTCTCTATAATATCTCGTACTGTAAATAAACGTTATTTTGATAGCCAAACAATTTAAGAATTTTTAAAACCTGTATTTGAGAAATGTGGATATTTATAAGATTGAATAAGTTGGTAGATGACCATAATATAGAATGTTTTATGAAGTCTACGCAAAGACTGGACATGGTTGGTTTTTATAAATAATAACAATGCTTTTAAATTATCCACACTTTGCTAGAAAAATAAATTATTATAATACCAGAGTTTGATTCCCTCTTTTGGTCTAAATATTTTGACCCCCGAAACAGAAACAAGAATATATCCATACCTTTTCGACCAGACATTTAACCATTTGAATCTGTACACGTTCTAGAAATTCATCAATCTTGGTGTGATACTGATGCTGAAATATTACAAATATATATTTTTTTTCTTCGTATTACATTTGACATGGTTAGCTACCCTTACTCAATGATAAACATTTTAAATACAATAAATGAACCATATGCTTTTTTTTATATTTTCAGGACCATTAAAGGGACAATACCACTCTTGCTGGCTTGACAGCTCCAGAAAATAAATAATATCTCCATCTAAGTACTAGATGTTTAAGTGTCCTTCCTGTTGTGTAAATTATCCATTACATCCTATTTTACTTGTCCAGAGGGTTCAAAAATATTTTTAAATCGAAGTTTCATTTGAAAAGGTTTACGTTAGACATTTCAAACCATTATGTTGAATTTTTCAAAATTTTTAAATAAGGTGTGTTAAGATGAAATTTGTATCATCAATTAATTGAAATATTCTAAAATAGTACAATTTGTTGACCAGAATAAAGATTGGGACATATTATTCAGTTACAACAAGAGTGCTATTGAGCCTTTAATAGTCTTTATTTCAATTATGGCAAGACAACCATCTGTAAGATATTATGACTCTGTATTGTGATACAACCGGGTGTATTATGGTACAACCCAGGTGTATTGTTATACAATCAGGTGTATTATGGTACAACCAGGTGTATTGTGATACAATCAGGTGTATTATGGGACAATCAGGTGTATTGTGGTACAAACAGGTGTATCATAAAACAACCAGGTGTATTCTGATACAACCAGGTGTATTCTGATACAACCAGGTGTATTCTGATACAACCAGGTGTATTATAATACAATCAGGTGAATTGTGGTACAACCAGGTGCATTGTGATACAACCAGGTGCATTGTGATACAACCAGGTGTATTCTGATACAACCAGATGTATTATAATTTGGCATATAATAATGGACTGTTTAAAGTAAAATTCACATACAATTCAATTATTTATATAATTCAAATAGTATATTTGAAAACAAAGTAAAAATATTGTTAAGCCAAATTTTGTTTAATAGCGATACATTTCGCGCATAACCTGAATCAATTCTTTTTTTGACAGTCCTACAAAACATCACATCAAAAGCTATGTTTTACAAATTCCCACAACCAAATTCACCTGCAAGTTGTGCAGTAACAAGTGATAGGGAGAAAATAATAGTTTCAACTCTAGATTGATACTGACATACAGGGGTTCATTCTTCTAGTACTATTTATATAATACTGACAAATTACAATTTTCCAATGCTAACCTAAGATATAATATCTATATATATATATTTACATTAAAGCTTACAGCAAAATAAAGATATGTACTGGTTACTACAAATTGAACAGTGTATGAAGAGTTTTTAATAGATACCAAACTAAGCTTTAATACTCTGTCTCTCTACAGAAATGAAATGGGGTTTAACGTCCTACTGTTCTACTCATAAACTGGGCTAATGAAGACGGGCATACGCCATACAGTGCTATGAGGGAAATTTTGCCCAGGCAGCGGCGCTACGGCCTACTCTTTTATCGAATTCCAACTGCCAATGGAACTTTTACGTGCACACCAATATGTACACAGTTTTTCGTACCATCTGAACGACTAGACAGCTGTCCTTGTCAGGCCCTCCGTCCTGCATCACTGACAAGGGGAAACCACGCTAGAAAATCTGGTTGTACTTTCTCGGCCAATGCAGGGATCGAACACCCGACCTCCAGACTAGCGAGCCAGCGTCTTACCCACTTAGCCACGTGCCCCCCCCCCCTGTCTCTCAACAGTTAGCTCTGCTTGAGAACAGACACTAAGCTAATTGACCCATATTTTAAGTCCTAAATCGACGATTTTAATCAGAAACACTAACTGAATCTACAGTGGACTCTGTCAAATCGAAAATTTTGAGGAGTATTTATTTGGCTTCAATTTAATTAAATTAAAAAGGTTTATTTAGTCTTTGCGTATATGACAGATGTGAAACAGATTAGAACCGTATTACAAAACAGTATACTAATGTTTGAATATGGTGGCCATTACATGTGCAGAATGTAGTAGATGCAATGGGAGCCACGGTGGCTCAGTGAGTAAGATGTTAGTTCGCTAGCCTGTAAGAATCGGGTGTTGGCCGAGAAAGTTCCTCAGGATTTTCTGACGTGGTTCCCCCTTGTCCGTGGTGCAGGGCCTGACAAGGACTGTCTAGTCGTTCTGTTAGTACGAATAACCGAGGCCCGTGAATACACTGGTGTGCATGTAAAAGAACCCTAGACAATTGGAATTTGATATAAGAGTAGGCCGTAGTGATATTGCCTGGACAAATCTGCCTTAATAGCACACTGTTTGTTGTATGCCCATCGTCATATAGCCCTGTCGGAGCAGAAAAGTAGTACGTTAAACCCCATTTCATTTTGTTTTGTCTAGAAAATGTAATTTCTTCACGAGTCAAATAAATTCCTAGGAATATTAAAAGATCAACTAAAGTAGAGGAGTAAAAGTTTGATAACTAATCTCAATATACATTTTCAATTGTGTAAAAATTAAAAGTGCTGTAAAATAAAACACAGTTTAATAAAATAAAAAATCCAATATAAAAACCAATAGAAACCCAATCAACTTACTGACTCACTCTTCATCTCATTCGGAGGGGGTGTGGGTGGGGTGGGGTCACTATTAAGGTCTGACCCTTGAGTTAAGTGGCATGGTTTTGAACCCACACATGTACTTGACAAAGAGTAGAGTTGTCTGTCTAAAGCAGGGCTCGTGCTGTCAGTCAACAAAGTTGCAATTTGCGATAAAAAGTGAAAGTGGCGATTAAAATTTGATTTTGGCGTTAATTTTTGCGATCACATTTTGGAGTACTTGCGATTTAGGTGCCCCAGTTTCCTCCTACTGCTAAATACTGGCTAGTTCAAAGATGATGGACAAGATTGAAAATTGGGTAAATTTGACTGAAAAGATCATCGAAAAAGATCCTGACAACTTGCAGTTTGGTTGTCAGTTCCTAATATAGTCTATATCCTGTTGCCTGGGTTACAGATAAAGCCTTATTACCTCCCTTGAAGTCTTATAAAGCGACTACTGGTATCCTGCCATTTCATACACCATTCTAGTAGTACCACAGAGATCAATTAACTAATTCAAGGACACAAGAACGCAACGCAACATTCGTGACTCGAACCTGATCACAAGTCCTACTCGCTAACCGTTATGCCAAATCCTTCCCTGGTATCACAGGATGAAAAGTTAGTCAGTGAGCTGATGGGATTCCATGAATGGAGAATGGAGAAACTAAAAATAAAGATTATAGCCCATGCACCAATTGCTAAAAAGAAACTAAAAGTAGAAAGACTAGCTACTAGTATAAAATGTGCTAAATATATATTTGAGCTTTATATATATACATTCTATACCTACCATATTTTGACCACTGTCCAAGGCACACAAATGTAGAGCCTATCAGAAAATAAATGATGTACTAAACTTTGAACATCAAACCAATGATTCCAAACAACATGTGGGTTATCTGGGCGTGAAATCCTAATACACTACTCAACTTGTACCTTAAGTCATTATCCCTCCACACTAGATTCCACGGGATTGTTATGCGTGGTTCCCCATATCAGTAGTGTAATACAGAGGGAATAGCAGGGAACAGCATGTAGATGACAGACCAAGGACCTATGTACACATTTTTGTGAACTATTAAAGACTTCCGCTGAGTGAGGCAGTCCTTTGAATCTCTTAAAGTCCATATTTAATAATGACGGCTACAATATGGAGGGGGTGGGGGATAAGCCGCATTGAATGATAATGCCTAGACACGCACTTTGTTAAGAAAATGGCCAGTGTATTGTTAGCCGTGAAAAGCACTGCTATAATCATATAATACAACACCCGCTGAAATCAAACTTAACCTACAGAATAAAAATTGCATGTAACTTGTGAATTTATATACAAATTCTAAGTAAAGCCAAGAACCTGTCTGTAAACTTGGATATCATCTCTATTGGGATTGGGTTTATTATCTTTCTCAGCATCACGACATAATCATGCATTATCCCTTGCATAGCATATATATATAAATCATGAGACTGACAAAGCTATTATGACATGTTTTTCTTACTTCTTCAACACAAAAATACAATACAGCAGATATTTAAAAATGTTAAAAATAACAACACAGCTGAATATACAGGTCATAATTCTATCTACCTGATTAAAATACACATCTATATCTCGTTTCATTTTTTATACTTTCGATGACCTTTACTAAATGAAGATCTGACCAGTTGTAGTGGGAGGTTGTGTTAGAGGTCATCAAGCGACTTTTGACCCTATGACGTAAGACATTTAATTAATCAATCAGCATTGATGTTTCTAGTCGGATACCCACAGTTCCATGCATCGTACGCCAAGAACTCAATGCAACAGACACTTTCATTGGCTAATCCCTCACATCATCCAGAACGCATGTTATATAACAACTCTTCTAGATCCTAGCGTAGTAAAGACAAGTAAAAAAAAATTTTGAACTATAAAAAAACCGAAACCAAATAGGATCTGTGTTTTAATCAGATTGTAATTCTATGGAATACAATTACTGCTTATTAATGTGTGACATTTTGACTAAGCTTCTTTAGTCTTTATCAGACGTCTTTACCTGTCATATTGGTTATTAGTATGACCTTCATCAACCTTCATCAATTACGTTAATTAAAGATACATTATGTAAGATTTAGATAAAGAGCTAGCCATTTTTACTATATTAGTTTGAAAATAGATAATGTAAAATGAATAATTTGAAAATTTCATTCAAATTACTCTATTGCGATTGAACATATTAGCCTTTGAAGGTTTGACAAGACGTGTGCAATAATTTCAACCACCGTACTGGTTGTTCGAAGCCAAGTCTCGCTCCTCCATTTTTACCTTAAATCAATATATAGTTGAACTGTTCTAATCTATTTAAAATCAGAGAAATCCGATGCCATCAAGAGTTAATTATGGCCTGGATAAGTTAATTAATGTCTAATTAATAATTTAGAAAATATTTCAGGCCTAAAGAAAGACCTACAAACAATAGGAAGATTTAGCTCTTGCATAATGTATGTTTAAGTTAGGTTTGCTTCAAGGTAATTAGAAGGGTGTCTCTGGTTGGTCAGCATTAACCAAGTATTGTTTTTAACATACATTGTCTTGTTATATTATTGCTTCATAAAAACTAGAGAAGCCTAGTCGAAACGTTGTTCATTAATAAGCAGTAATTGTGACCTGTATATTCCAGTTCAATTACTAAATGCCATTAAAAGAATTAAACATAGGTAAATGACGAGATGTAGCTTACCTTATTTTTACAGTCTATGATGACGTTCATCATGGTACAGATCTCTCCAGGTGATATATAGTCAGATCCTTTACCACCTTTACGTAGATAACTCTCAAAATACTTCAATGTCCTGTTCAAAAATACAATTGTAACTGTTTAAATATACAAAAACATAATTGTAAACAGATTACAAAATACTTCAATGTCATGTTTAAATATACAAAATTACAAATATACAATAAAACAATCGTAGATACTCTCAAACTACTTCAATGTCCTGTTCAAAAATACAATCTTTACTAGATTACAAAATACTTCAATATTCTGTTTAAATATACAACACAATTGTAACTTAATTACAAAATACTTTAATGTCCTGTTCAAATACACAAAAAACAATTTGTAACTCAATTGCAAAATACTTTTATGTCCTGTTTAAATATCTGGCAGTATTATCATCAGGTGGTTCAACTCAATAGATGAAGAAGTATTATCATTGGGCGGTTTGACGCACTAGAGGAAGAAGTATTATCATCAGGCGGATCAACTCACTAGAGGGAGAAGTATTATCATTGGGCGGTTTGACACACTAGAGGGAGAAGTATTATCATTGGGCAGTTTGACTCACTAGAGGGAGAAGTATTATCATCGGGCGGTTTGATGCACTAGAGGGAGAAGTATTATCATTGGGCGGTTTGACTCACTAGAAGGACAAGTATTACCATTGGGAGGTTTGACTCACTAGAGGGAGAAGTATTATCATTGGGCGGTTTGACTCACTAGAAGGAGAAGTATTACCATTGGGAGGTTTGACTCACTAGAGGGAGAAGTATTATCATCGGGCGGTTTGACGCACTAGAGGGAGAAGTATTATCATTGGGCGGTTTGACTCACTAGAGGGAGAAGTATTATCATCGGGTGGTTTGACTCACTAGAGGGAGAAGTATTATCATGGGGCGGTTTGACTCACTAGAGGGAGAAGTATTATCATTGGGCAGTTTGACGCACTAGAGGAAGAAGTATTATCATCAGGCGGATCAACTCACTAGAGGGAGAAGTATTATCATTGGGCGGTTTGACTCACTAGAGGGAGAAGTATTACCATTGGGCGGTTTGACTCACTAGAGGGAGAAGTATTATCATCTGGCGGTTTGACGCACTAGAGAGAGAAGTATTATCATTGGGTAGTTCGAGTCACTAGAGGGAGAAGTAGTTTTTGGTGATTTAGGTACTTCAAATTTAAATCTATAAATATTTCACCTTTTAGCTGCTGCTTCTATCATGTCTGCCGCCATCAATTTTAATCTATGATCTAGATGTTCAGCAAAAACCTCTTCTGGCCAGTGAAGATCACGAATAAAAGCCTGTAGTGCATCTAACTTCCATAACATATCTTCTGATGTTGAACAACCATTTCTAAAAAAAACCACGCAAATCAGTTCTAGATTAAAGTAAAGCAAGAAATGTTTTTTTCGTCATTCTGTCAGCAGGTCCTAAAGTAATCTGGTGCATGAATACACCTATGATCCACTCCTATTTGATGATGAAGCACAAACAGATAATCAGTGAAACTACGATAATCTTCAAACCCTTCGAACGTAACATAAGAACAAATTGCATTGACCTAATAAACACCTACACCAAGTTTCAACATTCTACCTCAACTAGGAGAAGAGTTATTGTGTCCCAAAAAGTGTGATGGACAGACAGATAGACGAACCCATTTTAATAGTCTCCTGCTTTCTTCGAAAGGTGGGGGGACAAAAAATGAGAAGAATAAGAAGCCTGAAGAAATGAGTTTGATGAATATATAAGGGGAGATTCTCCTGATTCCTCTGATCTGCTTCAAGTCCAAACATGGAGCTACTCTTTCTGTTATATCTGTCTTTACTGACAAATTAGTTGAAAATTGTAGCAAGATAAGAACTTACCCCTGAGGTTCCCACTTTTCTCTTTCAAATCCTTTATGTATTGATTGTGCGATAGAAGATTCCATTAAATCGACGTAGCGGACAACTTGAGGAGCAAATACATCACGAAGATGTTGGTGAAATCGGCCATTGCATAAATTTTCTGAAAATAATGCTTAAAAATAATAATTTTGTAACAGACAACAGTAATAAAAACGTACAAGTATAGTATATGGCCCAGGAACGGAGCAGGATGTCAACACTGTATTCTGGGAATTGTGGCATCATATCAAAAATTGAAGTATTTAATCGATGCCCAATAGTCCGAAGAAAAGGCACACAAACTTTATGTCGATTGAACTTGAATTGGAGTGTCGCTACTCTTATATCAAATTCCAACTGTCAAGGGATCTTTTACGTGCACGCCAATATGTACATGGGACCTCGGTTTTTCGTCCCATCCAATCGACTAGACAGCTGTCCTTGTCAGGGACGCGTCCTGCATCACTGAAAAGGGGGAACCACGCCGGAAAATCTGGATGAAATTTCTGGGCCAATGCAGGGCTCGAACACCCGCCCTGCAGGCTAGCGAGCCAGCATCTTACCCACTTAGCCACCGTGACCCCCCCACAAGCCTAGAAATAAGATATCTGTGACAGGCTTTGTCAGGCATAAATTCAGGCTTTATCAAGCATAATCGCTCTTGTGTGACTGTCATTTTGTCAAGCACAGATTTGTTTATGTTCATATTTTTTTAAAGAGAGAGAGAGAAATGGGGTTTAACGTCAACTTGTCAGAAACTAGGTCTTTTCAGGACTAACATAAGGTTCAATTTTATTTCAATAATTTGCTTGTGCATAGGGGTCTTTAGCAGTGGGAAGAAACCGGAGGACCTGGAGAAAACCCACGAGGTTGGACAGGCAACCCTACTCCTTGCCACATACAAGCAGGGAGTTGAAACCACGCCACTTGACTCAATGAAAGACCTTGTGATTAAATGCGTATGCTTTAAAACCATTCGATCACCCAACCCCCCTTTTCTAAAGAACACTGCCCCAAGATAATCAACAAGAAGAATATTACCAAGTGTCTGAAGTCAGTCCTGGTTCAAAACCAGAAGGTGAGCGTTATCTATGGTAGCGCATTATACATGGCAGCTCGTTATACATGGGTGTTTATGGTACTCACAAAATGACATAACCTTACCATCAGAACGAAGATAATCGTTAAGTAATTGGAAGAGTGGGAAACTATCCCAGGTATCTGGTGGCTGTGATTCTAACACGGCATTCATATCCACACCAAATAACGACCAAAATATCTCGGCATGTTCCACTAGCAAATCACTAAACCATGCAAATGCCTAAGAGAAAATTTGTAATTAATGATTTTAGTTTGTTAATCATTTATTTAGTTTAATAAGGTACATGATACTTTCGATAAAATAATTCAAATTTTTATCCAAAAAAAAAAAAAAAAAGAGTAAAAAAAGAGAAGAATTTGTCAAATAACTGGTTAGATGAAGGCAAAAAGCAATTTCTATATGCAGAAGAAATTCTAATATTGGGAGATATTCATTAACTATTCAAAGTTCCAATAAGTTGATGTTTTTTAATTGATTGAATATTTGATGTATCTAATGTTTATGAAAAATATTACAATTATAAAAAACGTGAAAATTGTGAGAAAATTCACACAAAAAAGCTTAAAGATTCTGAGAAAAAAATCAAATCCAGACAGTGAAAGCATACAAAATACAATGACCAATCAAAATGGCATAAAAAACCAAGTTCTCAACCATAGCCTTTTAAAGTCAATTTTGTCAATTTTCCATTATCTTTGTTTTGAGTGTCTGACTTATTTTTTCTACTATAATTTTAAATTAAAAAGTGCTAAAATTTTAAAATTAATTACTTTCAATCAATCAATTATATAAAAGAAAAAAAAAAGAGTCTTAAAATTCATGCAAAATATTTTAATTATTTCAAATTGTCATCTATTATAAAATTTGAAAAAAAAGGAAGAAGAGGAAAATAAAAGCTTAATAATGTGCAGATGTTTATTATACAAAAATCTATAACTTTTTTTTTTTCATTTTAATGATCATTTTCATTATTTTTAGGCAATCATGCAACTTTTAAAATCAAAAATCAATTTCAAAATATTCAATTTATGGAATATCTGGCTATTTTCAGTGATTTTCTAAGATCTATAAAGCAATGTGTTAAGGTATGATAATAGCCTAACTAGTAACTCTCTCCGCTAATAAAATCACTACGATAAAAAATAGTTGGAAAAGTGTAAAAAAGATTCATTAAATTAAATAATGAAGTTTAAAAAAAAAAAAAAAATCATAATAATAATAATATAAGACGTAATTAAACCAAGGCATATTTCATTTGGAACTGAAGATGTGTTTTTTGTGTCATAGTGCAAGCACCCAATCAGACTCACCGATTTATACGCCTAAAAATACAGATAAAGAAAATCACAATATAGAAAAATTAACGACCAACCATGCTGTTTCACAAATATATAAACGTACATGGGGGAGGGGGGCGGATTAACAAATCTCAACCTAACATAAATAACAACGGGGGAGATTTCTTAGAAAAGATTGAATCCACAATTATTTCGGCTTATTGAAATTTACAGTAGTCAAGTACTGATGGTATTGGGGATCAAGAGTGACGAAATTAATAGTTATTACTTTAAATTGATTGTGCATAATGAGTTCATCATATTTTATTTAAATTCAATATAAACCTTTTTTCTAAATTTACACAATAAGCATATTTAAAGCCGCTGATTGCAATTTGAGGGATTGTTAATCTTTTGTAAATTACAATATTGTGAAAGATGAATCTCTAAATTACAATATTGTGAAAGATGAGTCTCTAAATTACAATATTGTGAAAGATGAATCTCTTAATTACAATATTGTGAAAGATGAGTCTCTAAATTACAATATTGTGAAAGATGAATCTCTTCATTACAATAATGTGAAAAATAAATCTCTAAATGACAATATTGTGAAAGATAAATCTTTAAATTATAATATTATGAAAGATAAATCTCTAAATTACAATATTGTGAAAGATACATCTCTTCATTACAATATTGTGAAAGATAAATCTCTAAATTACAATAGTGTGAAAGATAAATCTCTAAATTACAATATTGTGAAAGATGAATCTCTAAATTACAATATAGTGAAAGATGAATCTCTAATTGGAATATAAGTCCAATAATTGTTTAATTATGTTCAGTATTTAGAAAGTTATGAAGAATTGAAATTTTGTAACATTCTCTGCAGAGTATATTAACAAGCCAGTGTCCCTGAAAAGTTTTGCCTGAAATTTTTTTATGAACATCTACCATTATTATTTTGGCTTTGTTGTCTAAATTAAAAGTTAAATAATCAGGTTGAGTCCATATTACCATGGATCAAACCATAACAAATTAATTCTTGTCTGAAAACTTCAAATGGCAATGAGCAGCTTTACCAGCTTTGATCAACTGATAAAGTTGAAGAAAATATAGAGATACACAGATCAGCATACATAACATGACATATATACAATTATCAATTTATAGCCATGGAGCAGATTTTTCACGTCACCATGCAGACAAATTTCCAAAAAAATTACAAAAGTATATCTATTCAACGTTTTTTTTTATTTCTCAAATCTAACATTCAGTTTTAATAAACAATGCCACAAGTTCTCCCAAACAATCTTCAGATTTCAGAAAAGATCACTAGACAGGGATAAAGAGAGAGGGGTGGGGAAGGGAAAGGGGGAGGGGGGGACAAGAAAAATAACAGAACTCAGGGGGACTGGTTACCATAGCAACAAAACAATATGATGGGGCCCAATGTCACAGAACCACAATTAGCGGGTGTGCTCCGATTGTTTTGAATACATGTATGTATATACAAACCTCGGCATGGTGTTCTTCATTCTGCTGCAATACCTCAATACATCGTTCTGCTAGATGCATAACATCGTCTAACTTCTTTTTAGGAGGGACCTCATCGTTTAAACTATCTGTAATCATATTAACAATCTTTGTTTTACATATAAATATTACAAATAATATGGTATATGACCAATTAAATAATTCACATCTATTCTCGTGGGTCCAATTATAAAGAGTTAAGAGAAAGTAAGCGAAGAAACAGTTTTCATATAATCATAATCCAAAGAAATTCATTCACAAATGTAAAAGGACAGGATTTAGAATATGATCATGGATAAAAATAAGCGGCTGTAGTTGTTAATTTATCATTATTAGCAGTTAGAATTACATCATTCATGTATCAGTATCAGAGTGTATTGTTAAAGATGCATTATGTACAATTTAGATAAAGAGCTGACAGTTCAAATAGTTCAAATATAGATAAATTTAGTCAAATTACTTATTCTGATCGAAGTTACGAGATTTAACAAGATGGTCTCGATTGTCGATTACTTCTGTTACGATAAAGAACAAAGTCTCGATGTATCCATTTTATCGCTTAAATATTAAATGGCGAGAGGGTTCTAATCTATAAATATATCTAAATAATCTGATAGCCTAGAGAGTTGATTATGGACTTGTCATATGAATAAATGTCTAAATAATAATTCATATAACATTTGAAGCTAGAAAAATGTCGGGCAATAGGCAGATTTAGCTCTTACATTATGCATCTTTAAAATAGCATCAGTCTGCATGCTACAACATAATTTGTTAAGACATGTTCCTGAAAGTCAATCTGTATTTGTAAAGGCCAAAGGGTGCCATCTGAATTGAGACACAGGATCAGTTGAACAAATATTTCTGCCGTGAATTTGATAAAAAGTTCAGGTCAGCACGCTTTCATTCTATCGTATGACGACAACACATTATTTTGTATGAATATTACTGACATAAATTTGAATACTGCACAGGAATTAAATATGAAAAATAACAAGGTGCACCTATTTTTTACTACGTACGAATTTGAATATTTTGTTGACATGTCATTTTTGTGTGTGGGCAGAAATGGCCTGCATAAATAACAGTAAGAGTTATGTCCCTTTATTTTCGGTTAAAATGTCTGGCAAGAAAATTTTTTGAAATCCCAACACTGATTCAGTTCCCATAAATGATATATATTGAGTATATTAATCAAGTGGTGTAGTACTTTTTACAACTTATCTATCCTTGTGAATGATGTTCTGTTTTTATATTTCAAAAATTATAACTTACAAATAAAATCTTTTGAGAAGAGCTGCAAAGCACTATTTGTTTTAAATTAGTTTTCAATAGGGATTGTCGAGAACCAAAAATTCAAATCAGTGTGGCCTCAAATTGACTTTCCGGAAATTTCAATATGTGGTGGATACGGCTGGTAAATATGCCCCCAAAAAGAACTATAACTTTTAGAAAGTATCTTTTTTTAACATTTTCCTCTGCCCTTAATATTGAAAAATACCCATTTTTTAGAGCAGGATATTTTAAAAGTAATGAACTGATACATATAATTACATGCCTCATGATTGATACCATTTTGTAAAATCAATCCAATAAAAAGCCAACAATATCCAACAAATGATCAATATGATATGAACTTAAAAAAAACCCACACAACACAATTTAAATGGAAAATAGGCACTGGTTTCTACATATAGCACGACTTTTCGACTAGAGTTCTATTATTGTTATCAAGGACATATGGTACAATCCAGTGATTGTTTTCCATATAAATTGGGTTGTGTTTTTTTATTGTGCCCAATTGCTAAATGTACTTAAGGATTATGATACTGATTTACCTATGTTGTTTATATTAAGTAATCCGTTCGCCAAAGTATACAATATGTTGACAACGATGATATTAACTTATATAATAAATTCACATTTAACACAACATAGAAACTTCTAACTACTTCTAGAACATCTAATACCACTTCTCAATTATTTAGAATATCTAAGGAGGTAATTGTTTAGTTTTCATGTCTTCATATACAAGCCAATATATTTTGGCATTTTGAATATGATTCACCATAAAAATAAACATACTTGTATGGATATACATGTACTACTTCTTAATTTTATTAACATGCTACGTTTCAATACACATACTGGTATCGTTACAAACAAATAATGATTTGTTAACAAAAATGTGGTGCAATATATAGATAAACGCTTTGGAAGCAATTTAGCAGATAAATCAATAACAACAAATTAATTAACGTGGCATGTTAATAAAATTCAGAAGTAGTATATCCATATAAGTGTGTTCATGTTTAGTGAAATCTATATGTCTTATAAGGATTATGATTCACCATATCTTGATGTCCGATTGGGCATAATCCCAGTCAGACGTTTACCAACTCACGTAGGACATGTACGGCTAATGCAGGCAAAACGGCATGCATGCTTGTAATTCTTAACATCATACCCCAGTATTGAAAAAGAGAAACTGGTCACCGAGAACAATGATAAATAAGACTCATTTATCCAGCGGACTTGTATATAATTGAAACACAGAAATGGTTAAATTTATAAAATTTCTAATCAGCAAAAGGTACAACTACTATAATAGGTGGATGTGTGTACAAACTTTTATAAAAATATTTTGATGGCTTTAAGAGATATGATTCAAAAATAAAACCGTGTACATGGAACCTTGGTATTTCATCCCATTATAACAACTAAACACCTCAGTTTTTCCGTCCCATCCGAAGGACTTGAAATGCAGAATTGTGAAGTACAACAACAATGATTACAACATATATATACTACAACCACTAACTAATATGTACAACATCTATATATTACATACCAGCACCTCCTGTAATATATCCAATATGATATGATAAAAAAGAGAAAAAAGAAGCATGCATTAGTAAATGAAGATTAGATATATTCTAATGCGGAATGAATAATATTAGCAATGTCAGTATTAAATATAATATATTAAAAACACTTTATGTGTGAGATATAGAGAAAGAGCTGGCCGTTCTTGCTATAATAGTTCAAAAATAGATAATGCAAAATGGATACATTGAAAATTTCATTCAAATTACATTAGTCTGAGCGAAGATATTAGCCTTTGAAGGTTTGACAAGATGTGTGCACTGATTGTAACCACCATACTGGTTGTTCGAATCTTGGCCTCGATTCACCATTTTTAGATTAAATCATTAAATGGCTGATCCATGGCTAAATTATATATATCAGACCTGTTCGAATGCTAGATCATACTAAATATAAGACAAAGGACAATTCTCGTATTACTTGGGTTGGTTCATTAGAATGATCCAAGTAAGGTAAAAAAAAAATGTCTGGCTTCACAGTCCAACAAACATATTAATGTTTCTTAATACTGAATGTAGGAATCCAGACTTTCGACCGTTTGGAAGTAAATTTGTTCAAATTAAAAATTAAAACAGTCTGGCAGTAAATTAGATCAAATCAAAACAGTCTGGTGATAAATTAGATAAAATCAGAAATCAAAACTAAAGCTATCGCTAATGGAAGTTAAACTATACAAATAGTATATTTTTGTTTGTCACATTTGGATACTTTTAGTTTGAATATATCAATATGAAACATAAACTACAGCTATTTACACAACTATGCCCCTGAATATATGTGGTGTAAATAAAACAGCCCTCAAATAATATTTTCTGGATGATAAGATCAAATTAATTATAACAATAAATTAACTAAAATGTGTGATTTCAAAAACATAATAATAAAAACACAATTTGACTGCTGATAGCTACAGAATCATTTTACTGCTACTTGTGAAATCAGTCTAATAACAAAACACGATTCGGTTGCTGATAGCTACAAAATAAGATTTCTACTACTATTGGAATCAGACGTGTCATAAAATAAAGATAAGTTGTCAGGCAACAAAATATACTCCCACGCAGCTAAGTCGTCTGAACAGTCAACAAGGGTTGTCACATATTTTCTTTTGTCAGAATTGAAACCATTTAAAACACACTAAAATCTGATCAGAATTTGTAGTTCTGCCCTTTACTAAAGCTTACTATACAAAACATTCAATATCAAGGGCGATAACTCTGGCAGTAAATATCAGTAATTGTTAAAAATCAATAGGATTTTTTTGTCTCATGACCTTTAACAATGTGTATAAATTTACAGTCGATCGAATATTTTTCAAAGTGATCAAGGGCAGTAACTATGGTAGTAATTATAAGAAATCCTTAAAAATCAATAGGCTTCTTTATCTCATGACCTTGAATGCTGTGTATAAATTTCAAGTCAATCAGATATTAACTTTAGCCTCTAGTGTGTCCACAAGATTTTTCAAAGTGATCAAGGTCCATAACTATGGCAGTAATTATCAGAAATCGTTGAAAATCAATAGGTTTCTACGTCTCATGACCTTAAACATGTTAGCCTCTAGAGCGTAAACTTGCAACTGTGGATGGTGGACAGACAGACAGGGAAGACAACAATATATGATAACATTTCAATGTGGGTGTATAAAAACACAATTCGGCTGCTGATAACTACAAAATAAAGTCTCTACTATTTGTGAAATCAGAGTCTCTACTATTCGTGAAATCAGTCTATTTAAAAAAAAACAACATAATTTGGCTGCTGAAAGCTACAAAATAATGTTTCTACTATTTGTGAAATCAGTTCAATAATACTACTCTAAATCTATGCTGGTCACCTTTTTTACGTCCTGTATTGTAAAGCAATCAACAGAATAGAATAAAGAAAGAAATAAGTTAATGTTCGACAGCCATAGAACTCTGCAGTTCAAACAATATGCTATATTATATATATATAAATATAAGCAAAGAATATTGGTATTTCAGAAAACTACCCAAGAACCAAGCAACTTTAAAATATTTTCCATGACCAAGCAATATAATGTTCCTTTAAAATATCAATTAAAATACAGTAACGAGAAATTCATTTCCAGGATGGTTCATAATAGACAAGTAAAGATTTGATACAGGTTAAGTTTATATTGACTAGTTTCAAATCACTGATCGTTATTTGCATTGTTTGGACAGTCTTCTGGCCGGATCAATATAGGTGGCGCTGGCTTGTTTATGGCATCTGCACAGGATGCCGAATGTTGTGAAATTTTAATTCATCATATCTTTGTAAATACTGCATGGAACTGAACCAATTTTGGATTGATATTTCCTTTGGAGATTTAACTTTTATAATATTGTAGTTTGCAAGGTGTTAAAAATGCTTAAAATAGGGATCAGTGACTGTAAGAGCAGATTTAAGTAACATTCGGTTAACCGAAATGAAACGAAATGGGGTTTAACGTTCTACTGTTCTGATCATTCAGTTGACCAATCCTAGACATGATGACATATTGTGATAGACAGAAAGACACCAACCTTCGATTTTAGCATATTCTGATATTCGAGTATAATTGACGAGTGCTGCATTTTCAAGACATTTTTTAATAACCTGTCGAACTTCTTCAGGTGGTACTGGTGTAACAATGTCTTTCATTAATACCTGTAAAATAATTACAAATAATCATCAAGGTACCTAAGAAGACCTAGTCATAAACCTCTGATACGGGGGGAGAGGGGGAAGGGGAGAGAGGGAGAGAGAGAGTGAGAGAGAGATCCACTTAACACAAACTAGGTCATTTCGGGACTAACATATGGTTCATATTTTATTTCAATAATTCACTTGTGCGTAAGGGTCTTTAGCAGTGAGAAGAAACCGAGGAAAACCAACAGGGTTGGACAAGCGACCCTACTCCTTGTCACGTACAAGTGGGGAATCGAAACCAGACTACCCAACCCCCTAGGGGACAAGGGGTAAAAACAGGGGGAAATGAGCAACAAGATAGTTGAAATGAGCAACAAGATAGTTGAAATGAGGTACAAGATAGGGGGAAATGTGGTGCAAGATAGGAGGAAGTGGCTAGAAGATAATAGAAAGTGGGGTACGAGACAGGGGAAGTGGGGTACAAGACAGGTGAAGTAGGGTACAATGAGGTACAAAATAAGGTAAAGTGAATACAAGATAGTCGGGGTGGGGTACAAAATAAGTAATGGGGTACAAGATAAAAGGAAAGGGGGTACTTGATGGAGATTGAGTCTAGTGTTCATTTTCTCATTTCAAGAAACATTTGATAGATTTACTTCCCTTGATCACGGTAAATATGAACGTGCGGAAATTAGTAACTGTTTTTATTTTAGTTTTGATGACACAGCGGTATCTAGCAACCAGAATATTTTTTTGGTGTGGCCTTATCAATAAGGAATAGAATGAGGTGTAATTTCTAATCAACGCAATACTTCATTTTCAGACAAACATATATTAATTATAGTTATGTCTATTTGAATTCTCTCTTCTATCTATGTTTTTCGTGCAGTCTTCCTGCAACCTATATGTATAAATTTTATTTATTTATAGACTTACCCGTTCTAAGAGAGACAGTGTTGCTTTCAATGCCCCATCAGGACGACCAAATGGAAAACAGTATCTACAATTAACAACAAAAAATTGAGTTAGAGAGATAGAAATGGGACTAACACATGGTTCAATTTCATTACAACAATTCACTTGCGGTGGCTTACGCATAGGGGTCTTTAGTAGTGGGAGGAAACTGGAGGACCCGGAGAAACCCCACGAGGTTGGACAGGCAGTTGACTCAATGACAGACCTTATGATACAGCGTGCATATGCTAACCATTCGGCCATCCAACCCCCTCAAATTTAGTAAGTAAATAAATATAAAACAAATACTAAATTGTGCAATATAAATGTACCTTCAAATATGTTTCACTGCTATATCATTACCATGGAAGCAGACATTAATCATCAACGAAGAACACAGATTGTAAGAAAAAAAATATAATTGGGAGTTTTGGAAAATAGTTCAAGGGAAACAACTCTATTTGCAGACCTACCCATCATATTATCTCCCCTTAGACCACAGACTGTTGTCTGCAATCACATAATCAACTAGACGAACACCAATTGTAAGAACAAAATTTTCTTGGAGTTTTTGAAAATAATAGTTCATGGGGAACAATTATATTTGCATATCTAATCATCATATTATCTCCCCTTAGTCCACATATTTATAGGGGATACTGGATTGAAAGTTTCGGAATTGAATTCTCTCAACACCTAAAATAGTGACATCAAGTGAAAAGGGGGATTTTGTGTCGACTGCATGAGAAAATATCTCAACCAACCATGCCAGCTGAAATATATTCATTGTTTTTAATTAAGTCACAATTCTACTCACACCACCTCCGTTGCGGTACTGACAAAACTGTGACGAGACTGAATTCTGAGTCACTTGGCTACAATTCTGTCATATCTGGACATTCCAGACTGACAGTTGAGCATCTCTGTTGTCTCCTATATCATACAGATGAACATAGATTTAAAAAAAAAAAATCAAAAAAAAAAAAATCTTTTTACCTAAAATGAGTAATCTGGTTTTCCAGTAATATTCTTAATCTTTCCTTGATTTCATCAAACTTTTCTCTTTCTGCTAATAAAACTGTTCCGATACCATCAGGTCTGGAAAAACAATAATAAATAGTTGAAGTTCAGAAGTGTTCACCACAATAAACAACATTCAGATATAACTAAAGAACTAAAATCTCTTTGATAGTGCCAATTCAGTCTGTGTATAGGTGGCAACAATATTTTCCATTAAAATAATATCAAACGAGATGTATGGCACTGGCTCACTAACACAGAGAACCTGGATTTGATCCCAGTCCGCCGACGTTTTATTTATGGATGGTACTTTGTTATGGAACCAACTTTATGTTATTCATGCTAGAGATGGAAATGTGATGTATCCACTTGTGTTTACTTTACAACCAGGCCCCAAGTTCACAAAGCATTCTCAGACTTAAGTTGAGAATTTACTCAAACTTGTTCACCATATTGTAACTAAAATATAGCTCTTTATAATAATTTAGTTGTTTTAATGTATCAAATACATCAATAAGAAACTATGTGCAAAGTTTTGTGTTTCTGGATCAAAGATATTTCTCATAAACAGTGATTGAAAGTTGAGTAAATTCTCAACTTAAGTCCGAGAATGCTTTGTGAACTCGGGGCCAGATTTTTTCTATCTATATAAATTACTTTTTACTTATTTTGTAATAATAATAATAATAATCCTTGATGTTTATAGCACAAAATCACTTTCTATTGCGCTTTGAAATCAATGTGAATGAGCTTCGTGAAAAAGCAGGGTTTTGGATTTGCTTTTTGAATGTTTCTGTTAATTCTATGGATTGCAGTTTCGTTCCACAATGAAGGGGAAGAAAAAGAGAAGGCACGTCTTCCTATTTCTAAATTAAACTTTGGAATACTAAGTTGACTCTTATCAGAGGATCCAAGGCATCAATGAGACGTGTGTGGAGTAACTAAATCTATCATATAAGATACCATTTGTATATAAATTACTTTTTCATTCCATTTTGTCTGTTTCAATGTTGTTTTTATGGAAGAATCTAGATTGTATAATCTGTTGTTATAAGCTGTAGTTGAAATGGGATGTTTTTATAGAAGAATCTATTTTAGCTATAGAGAGGGTATATAAGTAGAGATACATGTAATAAAGAGAGAGAGAAATGGGGTTTAACGTCCACTCGACACAAACTAGTTCATTTCGGGACTAACATATGGTTTAATTTTATTTCAATAATTCGCTTGCGCGTAGGGGTCTTTAGCAGTGGGAGGAAACCGGAGGACCCGGAGAAAACCCACGAGGTTGGACAGGCGACCCTACTCCTTGTCACGTACAACCGGGGATACGAAACCACACCAGTCGACTCAATGACAGACTTTATGATACAGCGCGCGCACGCTAACCATTCAGCCATCCAACCCCCCTAGAGATAATAAAACCAACAGACTGTATAATTTGTTGTTATAAGCGGTAGTCGAAATGGGTGGGTACCGAAATCACCAGTGAAATATCTCAAGATGTTGGCTCGGAGTGGATAAAAGTGGCTCACTAACCAGGTTCGATTCAGGTGTTGGTTGAGAAAGGTCCTCAGAATATTCCAGTCTGGTTTCCACTTGTCTTTCAGATAAGATAGCAGATGTGATAAGGGTAGATTCACAACGTAATCACACATAGAATATGTTTACTCTGCGATCAATTTTGGGGGATATTTTCTTCTTTTGCACTTGATATTTTGTTTGTTCAATTCTGACTGTGGCAAGGACAGAATTCAATTCTAGAATATTCGATCGAAGACACCCATAACAAAATGAATAAACAGAAAGATAAGTATTTACCGATTTCCGTGGACATGGGAGGCACAAAAGGCGAAACTGTAGTGGATGAGAGTAGGGTCAATCATTATGCCTTTCTCTGCTCGCTCTAACAGATCATTGAGATAACACAGATGACGATGGCAGCCACGATTACCATATCTAGCACAATATTCATCTAATACAAATACTTGACCTGGACTAAACCATCCCTGTAATAAAAATTAATTTAATTATTGACTTAAAGGAGCTAAATCGCTAACATTTGGGACTTAGAAATTGACACAAATGGGTCGCAACGCATATAATAATGTAATATGAATGTAAATAAACTGATTTACATTCAATCGTTTCCGTTTTTAATCTAATTTCAAAGCAGTTATGTTCGGCGAAATACGCCAGAAGTCTCAATCCAATGGCAATCTCTAGCGTCTGGTTATTCCAGTCTACACCGATAGTATTTATTGCGCATGTTCTCCAGATAAGAATATGGGGTCACCGTTGGACATGACTTGTGGAATTTGTCTAACCTCGTTCTTCTAGTCGCTTGTTACAAATTACACTGAAACGCATTATGGTACATGATTCGTGTACCAATCGTAAAATGTTTATTTTGTCTTAAATATTGGTTATCAGAAGCCCATCTTTTCCCGGTAAGATCACAACATCAATGTTGATTTAAATTGACAAATAATTTGTGTTTTCATTGTCAAAGGTTTTGGATGATACTGAGTTAGAGACTTAGCTACTTTAAACATACATTATGCAAGAGCTAAATCTTCTTATTGCAGGTCTTTCTCTGGATCTTAACTATTAATTAGACATTTATTAACATGACAAGACCATAATCAAGTCTCGATGCCATCGGATAGGTCTGATTTTAAATAGATTAGAACGGTTCAGCCATTTAATGATTTAATCTAAAAATGGTGAAGCGAGGCTAAGCTTCGTACAATCAGTGCACATATCTTGTCAAACCTTCAAAGGCTAATATCTTCGCTCAGACTAAAGTAATTTGAATGAAATATTCAATATATCCATTTTGCATTATCTATTTTTGGACTATTACAGCAAAAACAGCCAGCTCTTTATCTAAATCTTACATAATGTATCTTTAAATTAACTGCATATGAATATTGATTTTATGGCAATTTGCTATCATTCCATTTTTTTTTAAAATCCATAAAGACTTACATTTAGAAAATACTTAATAACAGGGAATAGTAATATAGCTATAAAGTAGATGCAATTAGCAGCATATTCAGTTATAACTTCACTCAGATAGAATGAATAGGACAGAAATTTTCTATTTTTGAACTATTATAGCGAGAACTGTCAACTATTTATCTAATCTTACATAATGTATCATTAAACAATTTATAATAATACTTGTTTAAGTGTATATTAGGCCATATATATATAATATTCTGGTTCATTGATAATCCTGCATCCCTTAAAAACACAAAAATAAAAACCTTCCTTCCACATAAGATTTTTGGTAAGGATTGTCTGAGAGAGAGAGAGAGGGGGAGAGAGAGAGAGAGAGAGAGAGAGAGGGTGTTTAATGCGCACTCGACACAAACTATGTCGTTTCGGGACTAACACAGGGTTCAATTTTATTTCAATAATTCGCTTGTGCGTAGGGTCTTTAGTCTTTAGCAGTGGGAGGAAACTGGAAGACCTGGAGAAAACCCACGCGGCTGGACAGGTGACCCTACTCCTTGCCACGTACAAGCGGGGAAACGAAACCATACCATTTGACTTAATGGCACAAATCTTATAATACAGCGCACACGTGTTAACCATTCATCCACGAACCAGGATATTTATTTTGTATGGCCTTACATTTACAGGTAGATCTAAGGAGTCAATATACTCACTAAACATGTATAGGCATCATTTAGTCTATAATCTAAAGTCAGGGTTTGTAACAGTTGAAATGATTCATGATGTTCAAAATTACATGGATTGGCCTGAACAAACTCATCTAGACCATGTTTTCTGGCTCGGTCAGCATCTATAATAAAATATATCAACATTAAATAGACTTCTGTAGATATATTTAAAATAAACAATTAGTAATCTTTTTACCTTTCCTTAATCAAGTTCTCTCAATATCAAAACACTACATGTATAATAACTACATTATGACACTATTCAATAACCCATGCCCCGAATTCACAAACATTCTCAGACTTAAGTTAAGAATTTACTCAAAATACAGCCCTTTATAAAACTTTTGTTGTTTTAAAGTAAAGTAAAGTGTGCAAAGTTTTGTGTTTCTGGATGAAAGATATTTCTCATAAACAGTGATTGAAAGTTGGGTTAATTCTTAACTTAAGTGTGAGAATGCTTTGTGAAACCAGGGCCAGGTCCTAAACACTAATAGGAGGCACTGGCTTCTTTACATTATCTACTGAAGATGCCAAATTGTGTGAAATCTTAAATTCATCATATCTTTGCAAATACTGAATTGAACCATTATTGGACAAATATTCCTTTTAATGATGGAGAACGCTAGATCGGAGATGGTCCTGCGCATTTTATGACGTCATATGTGGATTATGGGTTAGGGTAAGGGTTAGGCTTGGCCAAGGGCCAGGGTTAGGGTTAGCCCTGTCTACATCTCGAGACTGACGAAATCTGCAGGTCCTAGCCCTTACCCTAACCCACAATCCACATATGACGTCATAAAATGCGCAGGACCGTCTCCGATCTAGTGTTCTCCTTTTGTGACTCAACTCTCACAATAATCTCATCTCAAAGGGATCCAAAATCTCTCATGGAATTTAATGCATTTTGTTAACAAAGTCTTAATTATCAGATTCATTAAAATTGTGCTCGACTTTTCTGTCAGGATAGACCATGTGATCCCAATTGAGTATTAACTGGTTGGTTAAGTTATAGCTGTGTTTGTCTTTATTTAGTTTGAGTCATTCTATGGCTAGTCTATGTCTACGGTTGTATGCTGTCTATGACTTGCCATGTTTGTATTTTGCAAATTTCAAATATTTTTCATACATATTTAGCCAGGTGTGCCACTATTTTTTCATGTGTTCCAAGGTGTGCCGTTGGCAGAATAAGATTGAGAATCACTGTCCTATACTTAATAAGTCTTTAGGGCTTTAAAATCAGGGATCTGGCCCCGGGTATCGTCAAACCTCAGCATGCCATTGAAGCATGTTTCTTACCTCCTTGCATCCTGGATATTTGGGTGTTACTGATTTTATTTGTTTGTACAACAGGCGGTACTGGTTTATGTGTTTGTCCCGTTGCTCGATAGATGGCTTGTACCCATAATGCTCTCTCTGCATCATCTTCAGTAGCAAACGTAACATTATCTCCCTCCTTTACTAAGTTAAAGAAATATCTTCCACCTTCTAATTCTGAAATATACATAGCTCAGATATTATATCAACTCGATATTTTAATCATGTAAATTATATGTACATCTTCCCCTACATCTTATGTAAATGGAGCTTGCCAGAATAGGTTCACTAGTAGCTTCATTCGTTATCTGCACTATAATACTTTTCTGCACCAGGGGGTTGGGATGTCCTAGTGGTCTAGAGTGTTACGCTTTTTTACAAGGGCCATAACCCTAGATGTAATTAACGGAAATTGCTGAAATTCGATAGGCTTCTTTGTTTTACTAATTTAAATGATGCATATAAATTTCATACAGATTGGTTGATAATTTTTGTCGTTAGAGCGTTCACAAGGTGCAACAAAATGAAACAAGGGCCATAACTCCAGAAGAAATTAACGGAAGTTATTGAAATTAAATAGGCTTCTTCATCTCACTAATGCAAACAACATGTGGGCGTATAAAAATGATCTGCTTCTAGTTAATCCAAGCGTCTATCTGGACTAGGGAGTTTGGTGGTCGAATGGTTAGGGCAAGCGCCTTGTATCATAAGGTCTGTCATTGAGTCAGTGGACTCCGTCCATTCCGACATCGTGCGGGATCGATACAATATGCCGGATTACACAGCATGTCGGAATACTCAATTGCCTCTATACTGGAAGTATTATTGTACCTTTAAATACTGGAAATAATATTATAATGCATCCTTGAACACCCAGAACTTAAAATATGATATAACTGTATATTGCATGTAATGGTTTGTGTATAAAGCTGGTTTGTGTCATTATACAAATCTAATGCATATTCTAGACTAGAGTATAACTGATAATACAGCTATAATACGGGGAGAGAGAGAGAAATGGGGTTTAACGTCCACTCGACACAAACTAGGTCATTTCGGGACTAACATATGGTTTAATTTTATTTCAATAATTCGCTTGTGCGTAGGGGTCTTTAGCAGTGGGAGGAAACAGATGACCCAGAGAAAACCCACGAGGTTGGACAGGCGACCCTACTCCTTGTCACGTACAACCGGGGAATCGAAACCCCACCAGCTGACTCAATGACAGACTTTACAGTACAGCACGCCATCCAACCCCCCAGCTATAATACAACCGTCTGTCTGATCTAAATATGGGATGATTTTATTAATATTGACATATAACCAATTATTGACTTTGTTAAATGACATAATAACTGCTTTAGCTGTTTGAAGTGTGTAAAGTATTTCCTATTTTATCTTCAACAGATATCAAGTATCATGATTTATTGGTAAATATAAGAATAATGCTATAAAGCTGTCTCTGTTAAATAAATATAAACTGTTGTTCTTATTGTTCTAGTTCCCATCATTTATAGATAGCAGCTAGTCCAAATAGAGAGAGAGAGAGAGAGAGAGAGAGAGAGGGAGGAAAAAACCTAGGCCATTTCGAGACTAACAAGTGGTCAATGTTATTTCAATATTTTGCTTGCGTGTAACGTATAACAGTCTCACTACATATAACATGAAGGGGGGTTGGATGGCCGTATGGTTAGCACGTGTGTGTTGTATCATAAGGTCTGTCATTGAGTCAACTGGCATGGTTTCAAATCCCTGGCTGTACGTGACAAGCGAATTATTGAAATAAAATTCAACCATATGTTAGTCCCGAAATGACCTAGTTTGTGTCAAGTGGACGTTAAACCCTCTTTCTCTCTCTCACTCACATATAACATAAGGTTAAAGCACCATGCCCTAGCTTAATCATAAGAGGCTTATTAAGATTGGCCTCATGTCTAAAGATATACCAGTTGTCTCATGATACTCGACTAATTGGATCAGTTTCTTTCATACTTGAGGGAATTTTTTTTCAAGCACTGACATCAAGAATGATTTATTTATTGGTGTGATTTGTCATTCATTCCAGTCCAAAAAAGAATATTTTCCTTGGCAATGACTTGTATTATTTAAAGGAGTCATCCCAAAAAATGCTTCTAGCTGTGTTTGTGTCAGACTTTTACCATGTGTACTAAATAATGTTCTCCGTTTTTTGTTTATGTCTTTTTTAATGGATTAATGTGTTGTAATTGTTGTAATTTTATAATAGTTGTACTTATGGAAAGCGTCCGAGAGCAGCTCGGTGAATGGAATTGCTGGCGCTATATAAATCAATTAACGATAAAATGGACATTCAAGGTTAAGTCTCCGTTGTCAATTATCCTTGCTACGATAATGAAAGATCTACGCTATTATCTTCAAACAGTCATAATTTAGCTCAGAATATAGTAATTTGAATGACGTTTTCTCTATATTAATTTTTCATTATCTATTTTTGAATTATTACAGAAAGAACGAACAGCTCTTTATCTACATCTTACATACTGCATCTTTAAATGAATTTTAGAGAAAGAGAGAAAGAGAGAAAGAGAGAGAGTTTAAGTCCACTTGACACAAACTAGGTCATTTCGGGACTAACACATGGTTCAATTTTATTTCAACAATTCACTTGCACGTAGGTGTCTTTAGCAGTGGGAGTAACCAGAGGACCTGGAGAAAACCCACAAGGTTGGACAGGAAACCCTACTTTTTGTCACATACAACCGGAGAATCGATAAAGCTGACAGCCCTTATGATACAACGCGCATGCCCTAAAAACTCGGCCATCTACCCCCACCCTCCCCAAAAAATTTTCAATAGCTTTTCATCTGTACCTGGTAATGGTTCACAATAATCCACAGTAAATCCATCTAATTGCATCATTTCTGTTGGATCTGGTTTCTTTTCACGGTAACTGCACATAGCAAATGTATATTGTGATACCTGTAATAGCAATTAATATAAAATTAATATAAAATTTTAGAAAAATTCTCATAAAATAACAAGAGAGAAATAAATGGGGTTTAATGTCCACTCGACACAAACTAGGTCATTTTGGGACTAACACATGTTTAAATTTTATTTCAATAATTTGCTTGTCCGTAGGTTTTTTTTAGCAGTGGGAGGAACCAGAGAAAATCCATGAGGTTGGACAGGCGACCCTACTCTTTGTCACATACAACCAGGGAATCGAAACCACGCCAGTTGACTCAATGACCGACCTTATGATACAGTGCGCACGTTCTAACCATTCGACCATTCCCCCCCCCCCCGGACCCTCTCTTATAAAATAACAAAACAAACTTGTTAGGTGCATAAAAATGATGATGAGTTGAATGATACTAATGGGAAACTGGAAGATATCTGTAGGCTGATTCTATCTTTTTAATGATAGTAGTGGGCAGCTTTATGGGAAGCCAAAGAGTTCTGTAGGCAGTTGTAACATAGCTAATGCTGATAGGACTGTCCCTACTGTGTACACGATCTGGTACGTGCAAATAAATTCAGATACCATCAACACAATTGCTATGACTGACCTCAATATATGATAAGACCTGATAGGATCACTACGATTACTCCACGATTAAAATCATGATAGTTGGAACCCAGCATTAACCAAGTAAAGTACGTAATACATAGGTACATGCGTACAAGTAGCTTAATAATCTTTGGCATAGGACAGGCTTGTGGTTGGGTAACTGTAGCAAAAAAAATTGAGTACCTGGGGCCTGTCTCATGAAAATTTAACTAAAATAAAATCCAAAATTTAGTAATTTGATTGGATAATATTAGATTGATTTTAGTGCTTAGCCAATCAAAATTGAAGTATCTACTAAAATTGGATTTTATCTTTAGTTACGATTTCGAGAAACAGGGCCCTGGTATTTGAAATTTGGGGAGGTAAAAATAATCTCAAGCTTCAGGCAACTAAAAGAAACCAGGAAGACTACAAGATTTTGTATGCAGTAAGGAACAGTAACTTGAGGTCCCTGGTAAACATAATTACTTACTTGAACTAAAACAAAGTATCTTTTCTTCCATTTCTTCCAAACTGTTTTTCCTAATGCATACAGGTTTCTGTAATGTAAAAAGCAATGAATGAATCGATTACATCAGCCAGGATTAACCAATAAGTAGGGTACACAAATAGAGGTGAGAGAGAGAGAAATAGGGTTTAACGTCCACTCGACACAAACATGGGCCATCTTAATAGACATTCTGATCAAAAACCTGGTACATCAACCCATAGCAAGATGATCATCATTCCTTTCAATTTGATTCTTCAATGTGAACTTTGCTTAGCTATCTTTTTTTCAAGGACCACCTTTATTCCTTGTGGAAACCCATGCAGACCCTTTTGACTTTGCGAACCAAAATTTGCTCATGGGCTTCAATTTGTAAAGCACTGTCCTACTTCACATATCCTTAAGATGAAGAACCATAGATTCACATCACAACATCATCTGCACCCTGTTCTAGTCCATATAATGAGTAAATGACAAGATGAAGAATCAAATATTCATCCACATCAGGAAACTGGAGGAATCAGAGAAAACTCATGAGGTTGGACAGGTGACCCTACTCCTTGTGGGATCGAACGCGCGCAACTTGACACAACAACAGATCTTAAAGCTTACGATCTTATGACCACCTAACCTTCCTCCCAGGAAAACCCATGAGGTTGGACAGGCGACCCTTCTCCTGGTGGGATCGAAAGAATGCAACTTGACTCAACAACAGTCTTTATGATCTTATGAACACCCAACCTCCCTCCCAGGAAAGCCCATAAGGTTGGACAGACGACCCTACTCCTTGTGGGAACGAATGCACGCAACTTGACTCAACAACAGATTTATTGATCTTATAGCCACCCAACCTCTCTCCCAGGTTGGAAAACACTGTCGCACAATCACAAGATGAAGAACAGACAATTCACCCACATCATCTAACCAATACGTACCCACAGTGTTTTAGGTTATTTGGTTTATCTATTCTCACTGCTATCTTTATCTTGAGATCATCAGGAAAATTCTTCGTGGTTGTCATTTTAAACCATTCTGGTATCCGCCCACTATTACACGTTGGACGAATCACAACCTGAAAGACCATTAGAACACATGACAAGACATCTAATATTTAATTAATTAATAAATAATAATAATAATAATAATAAAGTTTCTATTACAGATCCATCAAAGTTAATGCTCAAGGCACTCAACAGAGAGAGAAATGGGGTTTTAGCAGTTGTAGGACCCAGCAAAAACCCACAAGGTTAGGTAGGTGATCCTACTCCATTATCACATACAAATCTGGGTTCGAATCTTCGATACCATTACACTTGACTCAATGACAGACCTAATGATCTAAAGTACAAGTGTTTGAGAGAGCGAGAGAGAGAGAGAGAGAGAGAGAGGGGGGGGTTTAACATCCACTCGACACAGACTAGGTCATAACGGGACTAACATATGGTTTAATTTTAGCAGTGGGAAGAAACTGGAGGACCCGGAGAAAACCCACGAGGTTGGACAGGCAACCCTACTCCTTGTCACGTACAACAGGGGATTCGAAAACCACACCAGTTGACTCAATGATAGGCCTTATGATACAGCGTACACATGCTAACCATTCGGCCATCCAACCCCCCACAAGTGTTTGAACACTTGGCATCCCAATCCCGAGATAATCACTGTAGACAGTGTTAAGAATGTCTTAAATACTAATGCACTTATCTATCCATTTTCAACATGAACGTAATGTTTAAATGTTGAACAAGACTAAAAGTAAACATTGAAACATGACTAACCTTGCCCAGCTCTTTATCTTCTAGACTAAGCATACCAGAACTTTCAGTAAATAATTTCACTTTAACAACAGGTAGTGGATGAGTCGTAGTAAAATCACCTTGTGTATCCCAACTAAAAAAATACAAATAAAATATAATATTTCAGTTAGGCTGTGACATTCAGCTCATTCACAGATATTTTAATCACGATGTGTCAGTCATTTTAGTTAGGGTGTGACAGAACAGTTCATTCACAGACATTTTAGTTAGAATTTCACTGAACAGCTCATTCATAGCCATTTTAGACAGTGTGTGACAGTCATTTTAGTTAGAGTGTGACAGAACAGCTCATTCACAGACATTTTAGTTGGGATCAGGGCTGCCGACAACCAGTATCGCAGCGCAATTTGCGATACATATTTTGTCCGTTGCTAACCAAAAATTAAAATCTAACGTTTTTGATTCGCAGTTACTGCGAATCATTAATATGCCTGTCATTTTGGATATTGACACAAGAATAATCCACATTTTGAAGACTAGAAGGCTTACTCAACACTTTCAACCTGTATAAAATGTTGAATAAAATTTTATAAACAAAACTGAATTCTCCGTGTGACATTTTCTTATTGAACTGCCCAGACACAATACTATATAACACAGGGACATAACTCTATGAATAGGGACTATTAAACCGGAAATAGGGAATCAAGTAGTACCACTCACGTTGTGAGACATCAAGTAATTATATCATATTCATTTTGAAAGAAATAAATCCATTGTATCTCCCACGTATTGTAAATAAAATATAAAAAAAATAAACACATGTTAACGTATTGTAAAATGATAAATCAAAGTAAAAATTCCCGTAAAATATTATTGTTTATATCGCGTGTGTCTAGTTAATCGAGGTGCGCCCGATTGAACAAAAATAATAATACACGATAAAAAGCAGACAAAATTGTTTTCTAACGAAGATTGCTAACGTAACAAAAAAATTACAATTAAAATGAGTGGGGCTTCGGAAGTCACTGTCAAGAATTGGCTTCAGACGTAAGACCTAACTAAATGTCTACATCACATTCACAAACTGTCACAAGTACTTGTGGCAGTGCTAAAAAATCTAAGAATAGTCAGAATGGAATCTAATCATATTTCAATTCGTTATGAATTAAAGTAATATCTTGTTATTTAGGTGTTTTATGTTGAAACTGAAAAACTGCTAATCAATTTTTAAATTTGCTAATCAAATTTGGCAAAATTGGACTTTTTGATTAGCAGTGCTGCTAATCAACTGTGAAAAATTACCGACAGCCCTGGTTGGGATGTCAGTGAACAGCTCATTCATAGATATTTTAGTCAGAATGTCAGTCAGTCCCAGAATAGCTCATTCACAGACATTTTCAATCTCATTAAATTACAGATCTATATTTCGTTTTTTTATACTTTCAATGGCCTACACTACATGAAGATCTGACCGGTTGTAGTGGAGGTCGCGTCAGAGGTCATACGAGCGGCTTTTGACCCTATGACATCAGACATTTGATTAACCAATCAACATTGATGTTACTAGTGGATTACCCACAGTTCTGTGCAAAACACGCCTAAATCTCGCCGTAACAGACCGTTTCATTGGCTAATCTCTCACATCATTCAGAACCGGTCAATGATAACAACTCTTCCAGATCCTAGTGTAGTAAAGACAAGTAAAGCAAAATTTTGAACTATAAAAAATGAAACAAAATAGGATCTGTGTTTAAATCAGATTGGGACATTTTAGTTATGGTATGACAAAACAACTCATTCACGGGGTTTACAATCCAGTATCTAACTAATATTACCCAATGAAATAATCTAAATGGGCTGTGAAATATTCAACGATGGAAAGAAGATTATTTACCATGGTTTTGATGCTTCCGCTTGATCTGTTTGTAGTTTTTCTCCACCCTCTACCTCCATAGTACAATAAACTATCTTATTCGATGCTAAAGCCTTTAATCCTTTTACTTCTATCACGTGTACCTGGTCAATGTAAAAAAAATACCAATATTTGAATCACATAATACAGATATAAAAGATGGGTTGCCAGGTAATGAAACATACCCCCCCTCCACCAAGCTTCCCTAACAACTTTGTCATTTGAGTGAGCAGTCAACAAATGGCACATATTTGATATTTTAGTAGGTGACTGGAGCATTTACAAGATACTAAAATCTAATCAAGGGAAACAATCTATGTTGTAATTAATACGGATGAGATATGTTGTGTACACAGAAATGCAGCTTGAAATGGAACATGCTGTCATATTTTTATATTTTAGTAGGTGACTGGAGCATTTACAAGATACTAAAATCTCATCAAAGGCAACAATCCATGTAGTAATTATCATGGATGAGATATGTTTTGTCTTCAGAAATGCAGATTTTGTCTGCAGAAATGCAGCTTGAAACTGACAAAAGAAGTTAAATTGATTGTTGCTTTACCTCTAATGTAAAAGAAAGGACAACATCTAACTTCGATAAACCAGGATCCGTGTCGGTATCATTCATATCTATTTTAGACAAAGATGAATGCTGTGCCCTGAAATAAACAAATGAAATTTTTGATTCAGTACTGCGATAAAAGTAATTAACAAAAAAAATAAAAGAAAAAGAAGTATGAGTATATGATAGGAACAAGGAAGCCATTGCAGCCATCTTAAAATAAAATTGCTGCCCATCAATCGATGTGCAATTGTACTTGAATTGGTGGAGGCATGTCTTTTTTTATGAGAGAGGAGACAGACACAAACCAGGCCATTTCAATTCTATTTCAATAATGCGCTTGCGCGTAGGGGTCTTTAGCAGTGGGAGAAACCAGAGGACCCAGAGAAAACCCACGAGGACAGGCCACCCTACTCCTTGTCACGTATAACTGGGGAATCGAAACCATACCAGTTGACTCAATGAAGACCTTGTAATACAGCGTGCACGCGCTAACCATTCGGCCATCCAACACCCCCTTTCCCCCTCCAAATAATTTGGACCGGTGTTAACACTGGATAAAGTATATATAATATGTTATACATAGTAATATTACCTGTTGTATCGTTTGAGTTTTTGTAGTGAATATTTAGAATCTGCTCCACCTTTAGAGACAGGTAAACTCTCTAGATTAGCCATTAACATATTGATTGATGCTTTTAATTCATCTATGTACATACTCTCCATCTCTTTTACAACAAACTTTGGATGACGTCTCGTCTGAAATTTAAACATCATTTAAACAAAGAAGTGAACAAACAAATCAATGAATGACATTTCTACGAGAACAAAACAAAGGAATGATGCATTAACTCTTGATATTTACAATGCACAGTCAATCTTAAATATGAACACGAAAGATAAATATTGTTTTAAATTTCAACTGATTGATTTTATAACATGCCTATTCAGTAACTGTAAGGCTTGATGTCACCTATCTCAATTACAAAATAATTAAATGATTCTCATTAATCACTTGCACATTCATCTTTTTATAAAGGCATTAAACTATAATAAATGTCAACTTATAAAGCGCAAAATCCACAAGAAGTTTTTGTGATCTAGCAAGCAAATGGTAGCTTATGCTAGGTTCCCACTATCACGATTCAATTGAAATTGTGGAGTAAACTTGGTGATCCTATCAGGTCTTATCATATATAGATGCCAGTTGTAGCAATCGAATCGAAATGTATCCGAATGCATCTTCACGTACCAGATCATGAACTCAATAGGGACAATCCTATCGTAATGTATAGCACGATAGTGGGAACTAGCATTACTCTGCATTTTATGGAAGACAAACAGCTCTTTATTCAGTGTTCTTAAAACCAATATTGATTTTAAGATACAAATGTTGTTTTTAAGATACAATTAAGTCATCTAAATATAATAAATGTCCTTTTATAAAGCGCAAAATCCACAAAATGTGCTCATACTCTAGCAATCAAATTGTATTATAAGACAATATTTTCTTGGCTACCTTGATGTTAAACATTCATGTTTTAAGTAATAACCTAAACATCTGTCATAAAATGAGTATGCTCTAGCATAACAGTTTAACATTCTTGCATGACAAATTTTACTGTTTCATCTAATTTGAGAGGATGAATTAGAAATCAAGTTTATAGAATAATCAGCAAAGTATTTGAATCACGCCCAAAGTTGAAAAACAAAGGTCCTATACAGACTGTACATTGTGTAAAATTATAACATATTTAAAGAGAACTTACTCTTGCCATCATTTCCACCATTTGTAATCTATTATCAAGTTCTCGTCTAACCTGGGCAGCCTGCTCATCGGCATTATCCAACTGAAAAATACAATAACACAATAGGTTTAATCCTTAGAAAACAGACCAATAGATTGGGCAAAGGGAAGTAACTCATATTTTATTGCAACTTAGTTTATTGTGGTGAACGTAAACACTGATACTAAGCCTGGTATGTAAACTGTTGTTTGATTGGTTCTTAGAATCAACCTACGATTCAGGACTGATAATTTGAATTCATGAAAACCCTGTGAATGGACCCAGAGGTTAGTGGAGTAGAACAGAACTGTACCACTGGGGATACTAAGGATGCATTCATCTATGTATTGTTAATACATTAAAAAAACAAAAGTTTTCGAAAGGGCTATATTTTAGTTAACGCTTTCGCCGTCAGACTTCCATATGGAATGTTAACCAGAGAGAAAGAGAGAGAGAGAGAGAGAGAGAGAGAGAGAGAGAGGGGGAGAGAGAAAGAGAGAGAGAGATGGGGGTTTAACTTCCACTTGACACAAACTAGGTCATTTCGGGACTAACAGACTGTACTAGACTGTACTAGTTGAAGGACACAATATTAAAATTCTTTCCAAAATTTCTGATAATGTTTTATCACGAGGTTGGACAGGCGACCCTACTCCTTGTCACATACAGCCAGGGAATCAAAACCCTGCCAGTTGACTCAATGACAGACCTTATGATACAGAGCACACATGCTAACCATTCGCCATCCAACCCCACATGACCTATAAGTAAAAACATTTTATACTGGGTACTGAATAAAGGAATTCAAGATCTTTCCAAAAATATCTACATTTGTTTGATTTAATCTTAAATTTAAAGAATTACAGGATATATTCTTAACTATATGTTTTTCCTAGTCAAAACCCCCAAAACAATCACACGGTTAAGGGGTTAAAATAAAGCGAACAATTTTGAGTAAATTCTTAACTTAAGCCTGAGAATGCTTTGTGAACTCGGGGCCTGGTCTGGCACAGATTTGTGTTTTTATTGATTTTATTGATTTTATTAATACACATCAATATGACAGGTACTAGTACAGTAGGGCCAGACATTATATCTGCTTGGGTTTAATTGGGGGTTTTTCAAGGTCAGTCCAGGGTTTCACAAACATTCTCAGACTTAAATTAAGAATCTTCTTAAAAATGCTTATTTTAACTAAAACATAACCCTTTAAATATCTTTTGTTGTTTTAATGTATCAAATACATCAAATAAGAAACTATATTATATGCTGTGCTTCTATATCAAAAAATATTTCTCATATACAGTGATTAGTATAATTTATAGCTAAGTAAATTCTTAAGTTAAAGGGACTATCCCGATATCAAGAGTCTCAAAAATAAAAGTCGGAGTATGTATGAAATTTAAGCGCCAAAATATAGGGGAATGGGGTATTTACCTTCTCTCAAAATTCCAGCTCAAATTATTGAGTCGTTTGGACGTGAATGTCAAAATTGCTTATCCGGACACGTAACCCTTTTAAGATTTGGGGTCAGTTTTTTCGTTGGGTGACCTGATAATCGATTTCTGTTCCTTGAGAGGTCTATGTATTGAATGACCCATGTGCTGTACTTGATAACGAAAGGTAAATTTCAACTACACGTTATTTTTATAAAATAAAAGTCTGGTTTTATCCAGACACCACATAATACAGCTTGGGACACCGGTCTCCATTTACAGACGAAAACTGACGGGTTTAAATGGTTTGAAAACTTATCACAAATAATGAGTTAGTTGCTCGGCCCTCAGCTAGAGGATTTTAAGAAATTTTAACACAAAATTAAGCAGTTTTATTCTCCCAAAAATATCGGGATTAGCCCTTTAATGTCATACTAGGAAGTTATTATGATAAACTTTAAGTTAGACAATCATAAATTGTTGAGTAGTTAAGATTAGATAAAACATTTCCAAGACTGTCACGAATTAACTTCTAACTAAAGTAGTAGTGGGTGGAAGAATCCCTGTAAGAGTGAAAGTCGGCATTAATCCCAGTGATACCCTAGGGTGGAAAATAAAGAAATTCTTCGAAATTAATAACAAAATAAAATCCTGTAGCAAGACACCCACAAGACTGTGTGGCAAGGTCTAAGAGAATTCTCTTACACAGTCTTGTCAGTGTGCTGCTAGAGACTTTTGGATTTTTCTAGATATAACGGTTTTAAAAAAGGAAAGGGGTGGAAAAGGGAGGACAATACTCCTTTTTTTGGTCCCATATCTATATACAAATTTAACACAAATTTAATTGCATCAGCTGTCTGAAACATGTGAAAAGTTGAGAATTCATATCTTCATTCTGATCTAAGTAGTTTGCCAGAAATTTTCAATATGTCTACATGAAGTCATTTTTTTTCATTACAGCAAGAACGGGCAGCTCTTTACTTAAATCTTGCATAATGCTTCTGTAAATAGTGACACCTAGCGAGTTTAACTGAAATAATCTAACACTAACAGTGCATTCCCCGCTGACTATTATAAACCCTAGTTTGTATTAAATTAATATTAGACAACAGCCCTGCTGACAGATCCAAAAGTAACACGACAAAAAACATCACACTGCTGTGAATACTTTACAATGAAGATAGCACACAACTCTTAGTTTCCACATCTATTTTGGGAGAGGAAAAAGGAGAAATGGGGTTTAAAATCCACTTGAAACAAACCAGAGACTAACATATGGATCAGTTTGGTATCAATAAATCACTTGTGCACAGGTCTTTAGCATTTGAGAGGGAACCACAGGACCTAGAGAAATCTCAGGAGACTGGACTTGTCACAATCTAATTAAAATATAGATCTATATTTCGTTTCGTTTTTTTATACTTTCGATGGCTTACACTACATGTAGATCTAACAAGTTATAGTGGGAGTTCACGTTCTATGACGTCAGGTACCAAGCAAGCGACATTTGGCCCGATTACGTCAGTCATTCGATTAACCAATTAGCGACCGCCATGTAATTTTTATCTACTTTTGCTTTGTTTTGATTTCTATTGCCGCTAATGTCTACCCACAGTTCCGCGCAAAAAAGGTCAAACGCTCGATTCGACAGACCATTTGATTGGCTGACCCCTCATTTCAAGCAGAGTTAAATAACACCGCTTCCAGATCCAAGTCTAATAAAGACAAGTAAAATCGAAATTTTGAACTATAAAAACGAAACAAAATTGGATCTGTGTTTTAATCAGATTGGGACTTGTCACATACAAGTGAGGGATTGAAGTGTCACTTGGCTCAATAACAGACATTATAATCTAACGAGCATGTGTTCACCCATTCCGACACCCAACCACCCTTAGCGTATAGTATGTGGGTCACATATTGACTGGTTTGTTGAATAGTATTCCTAATGAACTGATATTACAAGAAAATTGATTGGTCAGTCTGCTTATAGAAACAAACTCGTTAATTTTTAATACATAGTAAAGCCTATAGAATAATCTGAGTAGTCATTGATCCAGTTAGGCCAAATCTAGTTTATAAAGGCTAAAACACACAAGGTTGGACAGGCGACCCCACTCCTCTTCAAGTACAAGCGGGGAATCGAAACCATGCCACATGACTCAATGACAGACCTTCTGATCCAACGCGAATGCATCAACCATTCACCCCCCACCCCCACCCCCTAATCATTTGGAACTAAAAGCTTTTGATAAGAACAACTAAGTACTTTCGGTTTTGAAATTAATATTTTTCCTGAAGAAATCGGAGGCGGAATTTTAAATAGGTGTTCACAAAAAAACAGAAATTCAAATTGATGTGGCCTAAGATTGCATTGATTAAACAATATCACATAGTGAGTCTATTGTCTGTCTAACTTACATCGTGTTTAATTAATGAATCAACTAACAAAACACATTTTTATTCGCTTAAAGTGGCAATAACTGTATCCAATAATAATTTGTTGTTATTAATCAGATTTTAATCATTGATAGCCTACCAATTTAAAATTACCAAAAAAACAACTTTATTTGTTTAAAGTGCAAGAGAGAGAGAGAGAGAGAGAGAGAGAGAGAGAGAGATCTTATGACACAATGTGCATGCGCTATCCATTTAGTCATCCAACTCCCCCTTAAAGCGGTAATAACTTATAAGTCTATTCAATAACTTGGGGGTCAAAATAGAGAGAGAAGGGTTTAATGCCTGCTCAACACAAACTAGGTCATTTCGGGGCCAACATATGGTTTAATTTTATTTCAACAATTCGCATTCGTGTAGAGGCTTTTAGCAGTGAAAGGAAACCACGAGGTTGGACAAGCGACCCTACTCCTTGTCACGTACAACCAGGGAATCGAAACCATGCCAGTTGACTCAATGACAAACCTTATGTGTTATCCATTCAGTCATCCAACCCCCCTTAAAGCGGTAATAACTTATAAGTCTATCTATGCAATATTAATTTGTTATCATTAATCAAATTTTAATCAATGATAGCCTACCAATTTAAGAATTAAGAGTTTTCAAAAATATCTGAGGAATGTGGATGTTTTGAAGATTCAATAGGTTTGGTAGATGACCATATTGTACCATGTTTTTACTCTATGCAAAAGACAGGACAGGGTTAGTTTTTAATAAAAAAATAATATTGCTACTTTGATGTTATCGAGCGTGATTTGAGACTTTCTGAATCCATTGAGAACGACAATATTGGGAAAGTTTAGCAAAATTCTACATCTCTACAGATGATATAAACAAGCCAGCAACAGTGTGAAATCTTTTAATGGGCTTGTTTTTACACAGACTGAATCCAACCCACAAGATTATCTACCCTTGATCTTTGTTTTCATAAATCTGCTTATCTTCATTTGCATTTTTCAGACAATAAATGTCCAAGATTTAATTAAGGAAAACAAATCAAATATCAACAGAAGAAAATCTCCCGGTTTGGATTGGCAAATTTTAGAGGTGGCAAGGGTTTGTTTTGACTATATCCTGTTTAAATTGTCTGCAGAGGGTAAGGGTTAGGGTTGAAATGAATAAATCTGCCTATTTTAGGCCGTTTTTTAGGCCTGAAATGTTATCTAAATG